TAAAAAACAGAATTTAAATTACACTAATAGTTTAGAAGATATCGCGAACATAAACAATAAAGGTATGCGTAAAATCAGCTCGCAAGCTACCGAGCTTAGAAATTTGCAATCTTGCATCAGTAGTTATCTGTTATTACGTAGATTATTACTAAGTGAATACTTTAGGTAATAGGTTTAAAATAGGGGCGAACGGTAGTGTCGATCTTTTAAACATCACGCAAACGAAGTCGTGGGCAACAGCCATACAAATCATCTCTACAAATGTCAAAAGTAGCCGCAACTTCGAATATGACCGAATAAGTCAGTATCTCCGTCCTATTTTACTATCCTATTAATTTCATCCTAATACTATTTCATATAACGTACAAACAAAAATACTTCAATATATTTTTATAGCACATTTGGCAGTTCGTACCAGATTCAAGCGCCAAATACCAAATTTTAGCGGAGTACGCGTACCGTACCGGATTTATATGCGGTGGTGACTCCGGTATAGCGCGACTGAACCTTCTTAACCGTTTCGTAAGGACCGGCTCCGCCCTGTCTGTAAAAACCACGATGAAAATAAAAATACTGCACTGTGTTTAGGGTTCCTTTAGCGGTCACAATAAACCTTTATTTTAACTAATTTAATCGATTCATTCAATGCTTTATTGAAACGTAAGTAATGAAAATAACATTTGATTATATTGTTTTGTTTCAATGTATTTTTAGATAAGCATAACTTTATTTGTAATTAATTAAACAAATATTTTAAATGTCCATTTAGAACTTTGTTTTCTATATTTCTAAGCTAATACTCTAACTCAAAAATAACTGGGCCGTTTTCAAAAATTCATTCACCATTTTAAAGCTACGTTATCAATGAGTAGCATAGGCTATGTTTATATTATTAACTAAATTTACATGGGCGAAGTCGCGAGCAACAGCTAGTACTAAATACAGCTAAAAGAATTTCAGACAACGTTGCTGCAGCAAAATAATATGAATACGGAACCCGCATACCGCATTACTATTCGCGGACCGATTTTTTTTTAATCAACCACTATTTGGTTTAATTTCGCTGAGTTTTTCAGGCGCCCGCCGACATAGTTATACTTTATTATTGCACAGTTAAAACTTTGCAAGAAGCGTTTTTGCGGCGTGCATTTTTATTCACTTATTTACATAATATCCTTTTTTGTTTGAACCAGCGTATAGCTTATGGGAGGCATTATGCGGGAATCGAACCCAAGTCGCCATGTTGGCAGACTACTTATGTTTTAATTCACTACTACCTTTCGCCCGCGACTCCGACCGCGTGGAATTAAGAAAAACAAAAGTGAGTAGCCTATGTTTTCTTCCAGACTATCCTCTACATCTATACCAAATATAATCGAGATCCGTTTAGCTGTTTAGGCTACAAACTCTAACAAACATTCATCCATCTAAACTTTCGCATTTATAATATTAGTAATAGTAATTAGTAAGATTAAAATTTCACTATTAAAATAAAAAATAAGCCGTATTTTTAATTTCATAAATATTTAAAGTTTTAGTTAGTTTGCATGTAACATTTTTTGATACGTTTATAACTTCAAAATTAGGACTTACCACGGTGGAAGTTGATGTTAAGGGTTAACGAGAAAAGGAAGACATTAAGTAAAAACTTATTTATGTCTATTCATCCGACTGTTAAATCATTTATGATTTGTAAATTTCAAAAGGTTTGAGGAATTTTTCATGCCAAGATGAATCGTGTGTAGAAAAAAAAATACAGACGAATTGAGTACCTCCTTCTTTTCGGAAATTGGCCAAAAATCTATATAAACGTATCATACTAACTACCTAATTGCTCCATTAATTTGTGTGAGTAATTCTAAGTAAATAGAATTCTAAGTAATAGATAACAGATTCTAGGTAAAGGTAAAAACCCTTTTCTTATAAGCAGAGGATAGGAAGGGGAAGTGGATTTGACTGAGGAGGAGATACATAGGAAGGGGAAATATCCTCTTTATGTGCATCTCCTCCTCTGTCGGATAAAGTTAGGCAACGCATCTGCAATTGCGGATGTCTATGGGCAACGGTCGCTTCGCTATTTTGGCGCATTCAGGTGGCCGCTTGCTCGTTTACTACCTTATGTTATAAAAAAAAATAATGCTGGCCTATTGCGAATAGATTTACTAAGCAGATCTGTTAATTTTTTCGCTGGTATTGCAAGCTACACAATAATATCAAATAAATGTATATATGAAATACTAAAACACGTTTGTATAAGACACTAGCTGTTCCCGTGCGATTTTACCAGCATAAATTTATTTTATTGTTTACATGTGTCAAATTGTCAATCGCAAATGTCAAAATGACATGACATGACAAAACTTGGTAATCTTGCTTCCTTGATGATGGCAGCAACTTATGGTCTCTGTCCCACGTAAGGGTTTTAATCCAAAATATTTACTCCCTTAGTTTAATCGCGTGAAAATATATAGCCTAAAGCGTGACGTTAGTGTAGGGCTTTTTATTAAAAAAATAATAATTCAAAAATATGGTGTAATTGCTAACATCTTAGGCAACAAAGTGTGTGTTTACGCTTTATTATAATAGTATAGATTGAGCCAGGACCTCTAAATTTCAAGTGCTTGCCAAATACTGCACCGACGCTCTTCAAAGGTGAAACTGCAAACTCTTTATAAATGACTTGGGAAGATGAGATACTGCAAATTTACGAGTGATCTAAAGACGAAAGAGTCACAAGAAGTTGATTCTTTAACAAACGACAGGGAACTTTCCCGAGGCTGTAGTTTTTGCACGGTCGCCATGTGAGCGCAGTTTTTCCTACGTTACCACGGTTTTTCCGTCATCTATGTACAGTAGAGTGAACTTTTTGCTGCATCGATTGTGAATGTAGGTGGTTAGAAACGTGTTGATACTTGAAATATTATATATTGAAAAAAAATATTTTTTTATATATCTTTTTTTTAAAGTTTCATACGAACAAATATAAAATACATATTTATATGTGTTGCAGCGATTCAATTATGTTAAGTTATTATTGTTTTTTCTTTTATGATGGCATTATATTAGTAAAATCATAATTATTTATACATTTATAACAAAACATTCTGTAAAATTAAATGTAAATCAACACATTAAAAAAAAGATTCAATGTTAATACAATTCAAATATTTCAAAACAAGCAAAAAACAACACAAATATTTATAAGTATTTAGTAAGGATCAAGATCGTTCAGTCCCGGCCGCATTAAGGTTGTCACAAAAAAGTCTTTGTAAGACAAAGCGGTGCGGTGGCTCAGAAAAACACAAATTACGTACGGTAGCGTCTTCGAATCGAAGTCGCATCATGCGAATTTACTTCTCGTTCGCTAGCATATGTTTTTGCGTAACCTCACTCTCGGAATTGCAGATAAAAAACGCAATCGTCGCAGGAAATGTGACTATAAATGTGATTTCATTAATCATATTCTGCAGTTTATGTTACAGAACAATTGTGTACATCGCCAATGTCTAATATGACTAGTCGAATTACAATTTGTCGTATGCAATCGCAGTAATTTAACTATTTATCGATAAAAACCTTTTAAAGAAGTTACGCGGTTTCCCAGATTTTAGTTTAAAACATATTTTTCTCTCAAACCATACAATAATTTCTTTGAATCTTAAGTTAAAAACATTTTTTTAACTAAATGTCGGAATAACTAAGCTATTTCGTTCTGTACATTTTTTGTTTTCTTTATTCTCGTATTTCCATTCATAAAATCTCGGCAAACAGACAAAGATATCTTTACTCGTAGAATAAACATTTTTAAAGTACATTTTTATTTTTCAATATTGCATCGTTAGTAAGTTCAATATATTACTTATTGATTTTATATTGCTAACATGTTTTTTACTTTTAAAAATATATGAAAACAGTCATACAAAGACTTCTTAATTGAGTAAAAAACCTACACTGACTATAACCAATTAGGACACAGTTTAGTAGTAAGACAAAGTTCACGTAAACATTTTTTTTAATAATTAATAAATTAATTTACTAATATTTTCTTTTACCATTCCAGCTAAGTTCTTGCCTTGTGTTAGAATATGGTTCACAATAGTCGAACGGCGGGATTCGAACTCTCGACTTAATATCGGTAGTCCGTACCAAACCATTACGCTATTGGCACTTAAAATATAAATGTAACTTCTGAACTAAGAACTTACCTTCTTTATCTTGTAACCAACTCAATTATATCAATTTATTATGAAGAAGTAGATACAACTAGTTGAGTTTTTTTGTTCATCTTTCCTCGAAGTTAACGCGGGAACTATGCTAATGGCCACTTGGTACGTACATGGCCAAACTGTTGCTCGGGAATTTATGAAAAAAAAGGTTTTATAGCTCTATTTATGTATCTGTATTGACGCAAGAAATGTTTAATTGACAAAAATAACCGATGTAGGACATTAATTAAGCTATATTGTTCGATAAATATTTTTACTTGCATGCCTAAATACGAGTTCTTATATACAAGATGAAAAATAGTTAAGTTAACGGTATTCGATACTTACTTACTTTTTAATATTATTCGAACTTTGTCATCTTATACGCAATGTAAGTAATATTTAAAATAATTTATATAAGTTAAATCTCATGTCTTTGTTTGTTAATGTAAAAAATTACAGTACAAAGCTTTAAGTTTCTGATTCTTATTGGAATTTAACAAAGTAATATAATATAACCTAGAACCAATTTATTTTTGTAGATCATACGAGAAATACTTTGTTCGTGAAAAAGCGCGCACTAAGTTTAACGCGTTAAATTAATTGAATACTGCAAAGTTTTTCCTTACTTGTATTTTGATTGTTACATACCTCGAGGGCATCGTAAAAACATTATTCTATTAGCAATGCAAATATGTCAGTATGGGAGATACTAATTGGTGAATTAATTCAGCCTTATTTTTGGCTGCGATGCGTAAAAAACTTGTTAAAATGATATTGCACGAGGTGACTTACTGGTCCCATTCACGTTTCGTCCGATGATCTTATTGGATCCGTTGGGCTGCGACGCGGCGGGGGCGTGCGGCGCGGGGGGAGCGCTGCGTCCCGTTTCCTCGCCCGGGCTCTCCATGTCGCCCCTCTCGCTCGCACACATCAACCCGCCAAATTGAAAACTTCACAAAATTTTCAAGTGTCAACTTTGTTTGACATTATAACCTAGATTGAAAAACTGTCACAGATTAAAAAGTTTATTTTTTTCACACGTCCGATTAAATAATTCGGATATGTTTTTAAAATTAATTTAATTTATTGAATGTGTAGCCGTGACGTGAGCGGATTGAAGTTCGCGCCGCGACTGTCGGCCGGGGCGCGGGCCCTACGAGTGCAGCTGCACGCCGCTCGCCCCGCCCAGCGCCCGCCGCCTGTCACCCCCCGCCCGGCACCCCACGTGGCCACGGCCCCACCAGCCCCACGGCAGCTTTCCTTGCCCTCGACTCTTACATAAAAAACCAATATAAACTACTACTGCGGCCTACGAAATTCTGCTAATGTATGCGTGACTTACGCGAGTGTTTGTGACTCTATGTAGAGGGTCGGAAGGGTAAAGACTTGAGGGTCGACGGGTCGCTTTTTAATTTAAAAATCCGACTTGCGTATCGATCGAAGTTAAGTAAAAAAGCATAGTAACTTCGAGCTAACTGCACTAACGGTCAAACATTTTTGCCCTATCCATAATCGCGATTTTAAAATAGGAAACTAATCTTGGTATTAATAAAAAAAGATGTGATCTATCTATGGTTTTATTATGTTATTTTTGAGAGGCAATTCAAGATTTCATAAGAGCCGGTTCAGAAAGCGCGGCCGGCCTGATTAATACGTGTAACCTATATTTCGGTCTGAACATGGTTAGTTTTTTGCAAATCACCCAGTACCGTTGTCGGATCGGCCATTTTATAAGTTTTTTATAGTTTCCGAGAAAACGGACTGCTTTCGGAGCCCTCGGACGAATTAAGCTTTTGCAACTGATTATCATTTTTAATTTGATCACCGCACGAAAGGGTCGAATGGTATTCAGTTTTTGTAACTATTGTGGGATTTTTGTTAAGAAAATACTTTAGGCGTTTTAATCAATTTTAAGCTCTAATAGCCTAGGTTTGGGGTACGGACTACCGATCTTGCGCTCGGTTCGAATCCCGTCATTCTATTATTGTGAACCATATCCTAGCACAAGTCTAGAGATTAGTTCGATTGGTTAAAGGAAATTAAAAAAAGAAGATAATAAAAAAAAATATCTAAAATAATTTTAAGCCAGTGCTTAATCTTTGGTATTTTAATAATTTTATTAAAGCATGTCTAACATATGTCCATGTTGGTAGCCCTGATCTCTTGCCGGCAATGCGGCGAAGGAAAGTGACGGACCATTTGCCGCACGTGGGAAAATAGTTGGCGAATATTTAACATATTTACAGCCTTATTAAATTGATTACGACTATCAACGATCGTTCGATACTGATTTAAAATACTATCGCTTTAATTTCCCATGAGAATGTTTCAGATTATTTTCTTACACTTACGTGCATACCACCTTCCTTAAATAGTAATATTGTAACGTAACACTCATAGTAAATCATCTATCTAAATATTACAAATGCAAAAGTTTAGATGGATGGATGGATTTGATAGCATTTGTAGCCTAAACGGCTAAACGGATCCCCATGAAATTTGGGACAGGTTTAGAGCGTATTCTGGAAGAACACATAGGCAACTTTTTATCCCGGTAATAGTGACGGTTTCAGAGGGATTCATTAATTTAGTTTTTTAATGTTTACTCCATCATTCTGTAACGGTTCAACATATCTTATTGAAATTTGGCACAGATATAAAACAAAATCTGGAGTACACATGGGATATGGTTCATCACCGAGAAATGTCCGGTTCCCGAGGGATACGTAGCTTTTTGATATTTATTTAGTTCATAGTTCATAGTTCATAGTTCATATGTTTTCTAATACCACGCGGACGAAGTCGCTGGCAACAGTTAGTTATTAAATAAATATTAATATTCTATATACACATTCAATTTAAAATTAGTTACAGATGACATAACAATTGCGAAATACCTGGTATCTTCCACCATAACTTCTCCCTTTATGTAAAATACTAAAGTGTTAGAAACAATTTTTATTTAAGTATACGTTGTAAATACTTGGCAGTGTTTAACAGGGGAATAAAGCCGGTGGCACACTTGGGATTCTGCCAAAAAAATTACCCGTAGACGTGACATGTCATATAATTCCGATACTTACTTTAATATAATACTTAAGTGAGTTTAATTATTTTACACTAGCATTCGCCCGCGACTCCGACCGCGTGGATTAAAAAAAACAAAAGTGAGTAGCCTATGTGTTCTTCCAGAACATCCTCTACATCTATACCAAATTTCATCGAAAACCGTTCAGCAGTTTAAGCTACAGACTCTAACAAACATCCATACATCTAAACTTTCGCATTTATAATATTAGTATGAAGTATGATTGGTTCCTTAGAGATTATTAAAGTGTCGATTATGTGATCAATATTTTAGCGTAATTACGATACTTTGATTTAATTAACTTTAGTACTCTCGTTAATTTAGTTTGATGATTTTTTTAGTTCATAATGACTTACTGTAACTTTTAGTTAACTTTTTTCTTCAATCAACCATTAAAATTAATATCAAAACACGTTAAAGTTTCTCTTAACATCAGCTTTTTAATATGAACAGTATTCTCTCACAGTTTAGAAAAGCGTTATAAGTTTTTCCTGGTCTCGTCTGAGGGCAGCGTGGCGGCGGCTGCGGGGCGAAGGGCGGGAGTCTTCAATACATTTCCCACACTACCGGTGCCGTTGGTCAGAGGTATCGACGGCATAGTTCCAGCGATCCGTCGTCACGGACGCCTTTCACCGGCCATAAAGAAAAACTGATACCGCCTTAACAGAACCTTTGATATTATTTGCAGAAAAACCGAGGCTAGGAAACCAGCGACAACTACAGCGAGACGTATTAAAGAATTTAAAAATCAAATTTTTATTGTATAACAAGGACAAGTATTCGATATCACATACTGATGTTTAAAAAGATTTATCTATAGAAGGTAAAGAAAAGTAAAAAAAGAAATGATGATGCGTAAGATTTTATTCTGTTTGAATTTATTTTTATTACTTTCATCATCAACTTGCCCTTATCCCTAATGGAGGGTCGGCACAGTATGTGCTGCTCTTCCATACATAGCAGCCGTCATATCTGAATCCACTCCTTTCTTAAGCATATCCTCTATATTAATAAATAATACCTCAAAAGACTTAATTTACGCATCAAAAATATTCACTTATATAACATTAATTTGTTAATAAACATTTTTCATTCAATATTCTAATTGGATGAATTAAATTATTTAAAATTCTAATCCGCTGTTTTCATGGCCCGTGCTGCAGTAAGCCACTGCGTTCAGTTATTTTCTCACGCGACGCGGCCTTGCGACGAATTCCTTATCACATCGTATTTATATCGTTTATCTGCCGTATTGCTAAAACATTGCTAAAAGCAACGCCCACGTAACACAAGATACGGTACACGCCTACTTAAAAAGCAGTTTACGAATTGCAATGATCGATAGGGTTACCAGTGCTAAAGTCATAGAAAAAAAATTGTTTTTTTAAATAAAATACATAAAAGTACATTTAATGTAAAAATAAATACATTTTATTTACATACTAGAATTTGTTATTAGAATTTTGTGTGTCAAATTTTAACACGAACAGACAAAATTGATTCATATTGTCATTTGTAAAGAAACTACACTAATCTTTATTTTTCCACCATTATAAATAACTAGCTTTCGCCCGCGACTCCGACCGCGTGAGATAAAAAATAATATATAACATATTCTATGTTACTCACTGATAATGTAGCTTTTTAATGGTGAAAGGATTTTTGAAGTCGGAACAGTAGTTTTTGAGTTATTCTATTACAATCAAACAAAGTTTTCCTCTTTATAATATATATTAGAAGAGATATCCAAATTGTATTTAGTTTTAATGAAGCAAGGAATAATAAAAAAGAGTAATTTCAATACACTCATTTTTTGCTATTAGAGATTTTTTTTATTTAAAAACTTACAAAAATATCCGGAATTTTACACTTGAATGGTCACCGTGCGTATGATTCATATGTACTCTGCAATAAACGTCGCATACTTGGATTTATATAAGTTTTTACATCGCCTATTTTCAAGTTTTAAGTTACATTAACATTTCTTGATATATATTTATGAGTTATATAAAAAAATCCAATTCAAATGACATTAAATTTTTTAAAATATTACACCAGAATTGATTTATTACACAAGCTGAAACAAGTAAAAATTAAAATTAAAAATGAAAAGTTTTTTAAACCTAGCCTTAGTGCGCGCAGTCCTTTGACAAAACTATCACACAACGGTTGTGCGATTGTCGATTGTTTCGCAGCCAATTCAACTGTTTAGCACAACTGAAAATCAAGTAGTGTCCGCTCCATATACTATTATAATAAAGCGTAAACACACACTTCTTTGTTGCCTAAGATGTCAGTAATTACAGCATATTTTGGAATAGTTCTTTTTTTTCGAGTCAGTTAGTGAACTTCATTTAGTTCTTTTTGTTCTGATGAGTGTGGTGCCGGAGGCCTAATGTTAGACAATTTCCCTTTCTACCCTTTTCTTAAGAGGAAAGGATGGGAAGGAAAAGTGGATTTGACGGGGCAGGAGACCCATAGGAAGGGGAAATGTCTTTTTGTGGGTCCCCTCCTCCGTCAACAAAAGGTAGGCAATGCATCTGCAATTGCGGATGTTTACGGGCAGCGGTCGCTTTCCATTTCGGTGGATTTAGGTGGCCGCTTGCAAGTTTGCCACCTAATATTATAAAAAAAGACAAATTTACAATTTAATTATATTGTTTTTTATACACATTACACAGATAGAAAACAGTAACTTATAAATAGAAAACACATAAAAACGTGTCGTATGATTTCAGTCAGGTTAGGTCGCCAGGTTGGCATACGAACAGGAAATGTAGAAAGCGTCTCTCAGATAATTTTAAAATGACAAAAACAAGGCTGAAAGATACCAGCATAGAGTAGAGCGGGTTCACTACAATCTCAGTAAAAACCTTGTTATTAAAAGAAAACGACTATTAGAATCGATTTTTACATAACATCGATCAGCTACTACTTTGGGAATTAACAAAATCGATAACCAAATATTTACATGCCTCTCTTTGTTCACGACTTCGTCCGCGTGGATTAAAAAAAAAACTAGTAACTAAGTACGCCTATGTGTTCTTCCAGACTGCCTATGTATGTTTCAAATTTCATCGAGATTCGTGAGCCGTTTTTAGATATTTACTTTTATTTACAATAATTACAACAAGTAAGTGTGTATGAAACATTTAAAGCGTATGTCAACGCACTTGATTCATTTCTGCATGGTTTAACATTTTTTATCTGTTCCTTCAAGAAGAATGAAAGAAACAGATCTTTTCATTCACACCTTAAAATAAAGTTATTTAAAAAAATACTGTTCATTCTCATTTTATTACTTTAATGAAACCGTAATTAAAACAACTTTTAAATAATTAGAACAAATTACTAGCAAATACAGGTTGCATTACAATGTATGTTAGCATCATCTTTGCTGTTCTATAATCACCCTAAATTACTCTCTTACAGACACGAACGAATGCAGCAGTTGCAAGCCGTACTTCTGAATAAAATTAAATTTCACACTACGTAGTTATTCAAGTAAAAAATTAACCAATTACAAAATTTGTTAGGGTTATAATAAAAATACTTTCAGACAAGATGCTAAATTCTCGTAAGCTTAAAAACGACAGAATAGTAACTATAACAATTGTACATTTTGTTATTATACCAATAAAGATTTTCATGCAAGTGCGTATGCTAAAAAAAAGATATAGTTTTCTCTTAATAAGCAATTCACCTGCCGCTCCTGTGCTCTTGTGAATGTTTTGTTAAAAACATTAAACACCAACCCCTTTTATTATTCAATAAGCATACATTCCATATTTTTTACTTGACAAACAATTTTAGGAACGCGACATCATTTCGAAACGGTCGCGCGCGGGAAAAACTACAAAATGGCCGACGTCGGGACCGATGCAAATTGCGCGCGGGAAAAAAACACTTTTGAAAATGTAAAAACGTAGAGGAACTCATAGTATTTCATCGCGACGCGAATTATTGAGTGGAGTGAGAGTTTTTATTGAGATTCCCGTGCTCGCGGCTCGGCGACTCGGTCGGCTTTTTGTCGGTCGGGCCGAGTCTGGGAACTCGGCTCTGTTGGAAGGCAAAAAGCGCTCGAGAGGGCCGCCATAACGCTACCAACCGACGCAAAAACGCAGAGACATACGGGTAGAATTAATGCGGCGACTCTTTAATTTTCTTCAAGAAAGCACAAGAGGAAACGATGTAATGAGAGTGCTGTACCCGCAAAAAATCTTTGTATAATGATGTTACTCGTTGATGAGATCTATTTTTTATTATTAACCTAATTAGTACAAAATATGCATTACGAGTTTTTGATGCTGTTCAGTAAAAAACTGCTATCTTTAGTTCTTTCATATACTCAGTAACTTTGGTGAAGACCATTGGGTTAAATCAAAAAGTGTTATGCACTTTTTTTTATAATTGACATATGAATCGATAAGAGACATTAATGATTAAATCATCAGTGTCGGTCTTTCTTGATGTGGTTTTGAACTTTGACCTCCGGACTCGTAGTTTGTTGGTACAAATCATGGCTTTCCGATCATGCTCATGGTGAAAGTGAGGCTGCAATTAGGTGATTTGGAATTTGAGTGAAAGTTTATTAGTTTTCTTCATTGTTTTGCAAATTTACGTAACATTGCTTTTGCTTTTATTTTTACTTTTACTTCAAAATGTAGACTTCCCTAGCTAATTTATTTAGCTGCCATCTAGCGGTAATAACTAGCACTAATTGAACTTGCCATTTTAAAATTTAAAAAACAACATTTTTAAATGAAGTTGGTTTTTACAAGCTAAAATATTAGTAAGGTATTGTTAAATTATATTATATAAAGAATTTAGTTTTTGTTTAATTCGATTCATTTCAAAAAATTTTTAAAGATTCAACCTTTTGTGTGAAAGCATTTCCGAACATACTTTTTTTGCTGTAGCAACACTGACGTAAACGATAAATTTGAATTTGTTTGAATCTCGATGTAACGTATAAAGTGCTGTCTAAAACTTTAACGAATATCGTTTGATATTGTATAAACTTTGACGGATTTTTATATATTTTCTACATAATTTGTGTCATAAAATTAGTGCACGCATAATTTGTTAAGTGTTTTTGGAATAGTGCCTCGAGATGACGTCCGAAAAAGGAGGCAGGAAAGAAAAGAATCAGAACATTCAAGTTTTTGTTCGTTTGAGGTAAAATTAACAATAATTGTTTAATTACTGTCTCTTATCTATATAAAATGTATTAGAAGTCATATTTACATCGAGTAGTTGAGTTTGAATGCCATGTAACATCATACATGAGTGTTTTTATATACGGCTTAACCGAGCACAATTATGTACTTGTGTTTCGATATAAAGGTATTTGAGGCACTGTTTACAATCTTGTACCAATTCACAAACATTTTAAATGTTACTAAGACAATGTGTTAGTAAAAACGTTGATGTATTTAATCACAAGAGGGCTTTTTGTATTATTAAATATCAACACTAAGAGCAATGTAAGCCTCATGACATTAATTGTTGCTTCTTATTGCTCCTAGAACAAAAATCCACAGTATATCGTTAATAAACATGATTACATCTTACAAATAAATTACCATTTTATATAAATGGAATGAAAGAAATCAAAAGTTTGGGAGTATAGTGTACATGTGATCTCTGCCATCCAAGATACCTATACCTATAGTTAGACAGAGCATTGTTAATATTTTTAGTGATCAATGTTACTTTTAATAACTTGTAATTCTTTTAATTAACATTTGAATTGTTAAAAATATATTTCAGACCTCTAAACCAACGAGAGAGGGACATCCGATCTCTTGGTGTGGTTGAAGTTGTCAATGGACGGGAAGTGGTAGTCCGTCAGTCGCAGCAGACTGCACACACCAAGAAGTTCACCTTTGACAGGGCCTTTGGTCCTAACACCAAGCAGGTATAGAAACTTTACAATAACAGTTTTATATTCACTCATATAAAACACTGCTTGTCCTCATCAAATTAAAATGTAATTAAAAATATAGTCTTAAGTTACCAAAAACATAGCTTTTTAATTGTGAAAGAATTTTGAAAACTGCCTAGTATGTTTTGAGTTTTTTCAATACATACAAAAATACAAATCTTTCCTCTTTATAATAAATATAGTGTGATAGAAATAAATCAAAATTATATGCTATTAATCTGTTAGGGTTTTTAAATATTTTTTAACAACATTAACCAAATTTAATGTCCAAAAGGTCTAGTCCACATATTTATTAAAAACAAACATATTTGTATGATCAAGATAGAACAATAGACAACAGAGAAAAGTCTAGAATTTAAAATAATCGACTGCATCTCTAATAAAATTTCAAATAATATAGCATTTTTGTAATTTCAAATGTAAACAAATTCCAGGTGGAAGTATACCAAGATGTAGTTAGCCCTCTGATAGAGGAGGTGCTGGCGGGGTATAACTGCACGGTGTTTGCATATGGACAAACTGGCACTGGGAAGACTCATACTATGGTTGGTGAGAATACCGGCAATGAGACAACATGGCAGGATGTAAGTAAAAAAAAAAACATTTAAAAACATCTCATTTGTATTTGTATGGATGGATTGTGTTAAAGAGGATATGCTTAAAGGAGTGGATTAAGATATGATAGCTTATAGAAATGTATGGAAGAGTAGTCCATACTGTGCCAATCCTCTGTAGGGACAAAGGCAACTTGATAAGATATCTTACATGTAACATGATCAAAAAAAGAGTAATGACTGAGATGACATATGATAGAGTTATGTGGAGGACAAAAACCTGCCGCTCCCACCCTACGGGACTAGGATAAGAATGAAGATTGATTTTACCTGTAACTCATGAAAAATAATATTTAATTGTAATATGTATTTTAAATCATTGTAAGGGAAAACCAAAAGTGATCACTTGGTGGGAGAGATGAAATAAAAATAACTTCTAAAACTTTCATTTCATGTCATACTTCCTCAGGATCCTCTTGCTGGTATAATTCCTCGTGCCCTCAGCCAGCTATTTGACGAGCTCCGACTGACCAACACGGAGTACACAGTGCGGGTTTCATACCTGGAATTGTACAATGAGGAACTGTTTGACCTGCTCTCCACATCGGAAGACAACTCCAAGTTGAGGATATACGAGGATGTCACCAGGAAAGGATCCAATATTGTTAATGGCTTGGAAGAGATTACGGTGAGTTTAAATTGCAATATAGCTGCCCGCGACTATGCGCGGAATTAAAGGAAACTTGTAGATTATGAGTTTTTCCAGGCTATGTTCTACAAATATGTCGAATTTTAGTAAGATCTGTTATGTGAAAATATAGATAACTGCATAACTCCAAAAGCTTAGTTTTTTAAGCAATTGCTAATTATTTATTGTAATATAAGTTTAATACTAAAATATAACAAAAAAACCCTAGTTTTAGTCAATTATCGTTGATTTACAGGTTTATAATAAGAATGAGGTGTATAAAATAATGGCGCAAGGACAAGAGAGGAAAAGAGTTGCTTCTACGCTTATGAATGCTCAATCCAGGTGAGATTTAAAAAAAAAACTTGTCCGATTAATTTGTTTTCCATATCAAAATTGGATATTTTTATAATTTTGTTTAAATCTTTCGAAATAAATGTTTTAAAACTATTCTGCTAATTATTACTTAGTACTATAATTTGTATTTTTCGATTTGTAGTTTATATTTTTTACATTGACGACGAATTGTTTTGAACATTGCAGCAACTCAAATGAAAAGTTAAACTCATCGCGTTTGTAAGTTATATTCTGTTACATAAAACTTGTTTATGTTTCCTCCCATAAAAAAAAAAGCTTTTCTATTAAAATGTATTTGGTTACTGCAATGTTCTTTAGAGGAAGCATATGCAAAGTATCTTAACATTTGTGTAGTGTATTTGTAGCTAGTAATTGTATTACAAATATATAAAAATACCTTATGTTGTAGGAAATTGTACCGAAATTTAACAAAATTGAAGTAATTTTGATATTATTTGTAATGTTAGAACTTATAGTTTTTAGTATAGTAGTTATACATGTAAGTAAAAATCACTGTTTAACTTGAAAGACTCAAACAATTTAGTAAAAAATGCATAAAAGAATAGAGTCATTGCACATGCTTCTTAAATAACTATAGACTGTAATTAAATAAAAAAAAATAACCAAGTATGTCGTAGACAAACATGACAATTTTTTATTTTATTAGTTTTTTTTCTGTGATATCTGCAGCCGGTCGCACACAGTCTTCACGATCGTGATCCACATGAAGGAGAACAGCCCCGAGGGTGAGGAGCTGGTGAAGATCGGCAAGCTGAACCTGGTGGACCTCGCCGGCTCGGAGAACATCAGCAAAGCGGGCTCTGACAACCCCGCCAAGCGCGAGCGCGCGCGCGAGTGTGTCAACATCAACCAGTCTCTGCTCACCCTCGGCAGGGTCATCACCGCACTCGTAGAACGTCACCCTCACATACCGTACAGGTACCATCACCATCATCATCACCAGCATACTGTGCTCAATAAAGACTCCTTGTATCATCTAGAAAGTTTTACAGTTAATACAGGATGTACAAAAAGATATTTCCTCTTCCTATGTCTGTCCTCCATTAAAGCTTCTAGCTACTTCTTCTATCGACACTTTGCTCTATAAGAAAACATTAGGAAGAAATTAAAATAAGGCTTATCGTCAGTCCCACTAAATGCAATGTGCAAAATATGCGATGGAATTGATTTTGTTACTTTATCTGACAGTGACGGCATTTTAAGTTTCTGAGCCTCTATCAGTCAGTGGTGGGATAGGCCCTAAGGGTTCGGCTCGCCCTCGTCTTTATTATGTTGTTTTTCTAACGAAAAGAACCATGGCACCTTCTTATTCAGTTTTAAGTCATATCCTCTTAAAAACAACTCGAAACCAAAATCGCAACTTCTAAATGATTTAAATCCGAAACTTAGGATTGTATTGTTTTAGTTTTTAAGAGAATTCAAAATAGAGAGGGCTCTTAATTCGATCGGTATTTTATGTGTGTAAATCGATTACTCTGCAATATACAAAATCTGCCATTCGGAACATTCAAAACTAAAAACTATACAGTAGTTTTTGAGTTTTCCTTAAAAGTCTGTTTTCTTTCATTAGGGAATCCAAACTGACCCGCATCCTACAAGAGTCTCTGGGCGGTCGCACGAAGACCTCCATCATCGCCACCGTGTCTCCCGGACATAAGGACCTGGAGGAGACGATGAGCACGCTGGAGTACGCGCACCGCGCCAAGAACATACAGAACAAGCCTGAAATCAACCAGAAGATGACCAAGAAGGCCATACTTAAGGAATATGCCGAGGAAATTGACAGGTTGAAGCGAGATCTACAAGCGGCAAGAGATAAAAATGGTGAGATATCAGAAATACATAATTTTTTACTGTAAATTCATATTTTAAAGTTATCTATATGTGACTTTTTACTAACTTACTAATTTAAATACATGGATGTTTGTTTCTGGGTATTTTCAAAACTGCTTAACAGATCTCAATAATATTTGTTACATGTAGAATTATTTACTAATTCTTTTTTATTTGGTACAGACGAAGTCGTATGTAAAAGCTAATCTTGTAAATAATTATCACTATGAAAACTTAATTTTTATTAACATCTTATTATCGTAAATATTTTCAAACTAGGTCTAACCCGCGACTTTGTTCAAGTAAAGTTTACTATTACAGCCTTACAAATAAACTCCGTATAAACTTAAATTTAGGAATAAACCAAGCATAAAAGATATTAGTACAAATTTTGCTTATACCCAATTTGACTTTTTAGCGCGTTTATTTATAAGGTTGTTAGTGTTTTAATTAGTTAAACTAATTCTCAGGCGTATATCTTGCCAATGAAACATTCACGGAGATAATGATGAAGCAAGAGGAGCAGCGTAAAGAAGTACAAGAACTCCTGCTGAGGAAGAAGTCGGTAGAAGAAGAGAAGGAGAGGATAGAGACGATGTTTAACTACCAGGGCCAGGAGCTGCAGCGCCACCTCGCAGAGCTGAACAACACCAAGAATATATTGAACAGTACTACAGATAAACTTGTACAGACTAAAAATGTGAGTATCTCCATCTATCTATACTAATGTAAAAAGGAAACACGCATATTTCATTTTTATGTAGAATGTCAGTACACATTTTTTTTAATAAATCTTTTTCTACTAAAAAGCCGTACAATTACGACACTGCTATTGGTTTGAATAGCAGCAAAAAAGCAACGTTTCTATTGTTACTTAATTTCTCAAGCAATATCTTGCAAAGAGTTGAGGTTTCTGTGTTTGCTTATCTATAATAATATTATAAAAATGAAAGATTTGTGTTTATGTATACGTATTAATAACAAGACTGGACCGATTTAAAAAAAAAACGAAATTTAGTTTACTTTTTAATTTCATGGTGACAGTGGCGTACAAAAGTAATTAGTAAAAAAAATTAAGACCTTAGCGTCGTTTTTATGCAGTAAATCCTTTAAAAGACTGTTTCAGTAACCCAGTTTCGTTTCCCAGATGCTGGAGAGCAGCCGGCAGCAGGCGGAGGAGCAGAGGCAGCTAGTGCGGTGCCACGAGCGCACGGAGCAGCAGCTGTGCGCGCACGCGGCGCAGCTGCTGGCGGCGGCGGACACGGCGGCCGCGCACGCGCACTGCCTACACGACACTGTCGATAAACGGAAGTCAGTAGCCCTAAGTATTTTAGTAGCCTTTAACTATTTTTTTTAAATTAAATATATCGATGGCTGAAAAGTTAGTTTTAAGCGCCGTTAGGTTCCACTGCCTACATGATATTCTCGATAAAAGTCAGTAAACCTACGTATTTTAAAGTCAGCATGTACTTTTACATGCTATTACCATCATATCTAAAAACACTATGTTCTTAAGCATGTCTTCTGCAACACAATCTATCCACACTTCTACTTTTGTAGCCACCTATCCGATGAATGTAGGGAATATTATTTTTTGGACCTTAAAAAGTTAAACGCAAACCTTGGCATTGTAAAGAATTTGAATTTTTTTTTTGTTATTAGATAAAAATAGGGCGATATGAATATTAGACATTTGCCATTTTTTATTTATTTCGATAAACCAACAGGACAAAACATTTGTACACAATACAATGAGTAACATACAGATAATTTAACTTAATTATAGGTTTACTATTGTAGACTTTTATGTATGTTGTACAAAAAAAAACAAAAATAGTAAAAAAGTAGGCAGATATTTTTTTAATATTGTTCTATTCTTATTTTAACCCAAAACGTACAATTAAATTTCAACGATAAACTCTTGTAGATTTTTTAGTTTATAATCGACTTCGCAATGGATATCGCCATACTAGTCGATAAAGTTAATTTTTTTAACTTCTAATTAACGAATGGTATATCAGACGTGTGGAGGAAACCAACCTGGAGGTGCGCAGTCAGTACCTGTCTGCGGCGGGGCGCGCGCGTGCGCAGGTGTCGCGCGCCGCTGACACACTGCTCACACGGCTGGCGGACAACTTCGCTGACATGCAACAAGCACTACGTATGTACTGGCTAGTTTTCACCCGTAACTCCATTCGCGTGAAATTAAAAAAAAGTAATCTAAGTGTTCTTCCAGACTATTCTCTACATTTACGCCAAATTTCATAAAGATCCGTGCAACCGTTTAAGCTACAAACTCTAACAAACATCCATCCATCCGAACTTTCGCATTTATATTAGTAACATATATTGCGGCAGAATGAATGGATGTTAGTGTACCGAGTAACTGAACGGATCACGGTGGTGTTTTATTCTGCGCTGTTAAAATCATAGGCGACTACTAAAACAAAATACATGTAATCAAATAACAATCGAAATTAAAAATTTGACAAAGCTAAAGCATCTGTTACTGCATTGCATTGCACTGCACTGCAAGCATTTGTACAGACTTTCAAATATTTTTGTCAAACTACTTGTCTAGTTATTAAGTTGTGTAAATATAGAAGTTAAAGCAACTATGAAATATGACTAAACAGAGAGCTACAACGCGGCGAGCGCGCAGACCTGCGCCGACAACAGGGCGCGGCTGCAGCAGCTGCTCGCCAGCGCCACTGACACCATCAACAAGGTAGCTAGCTATAGTGACTAGGGTCAACTTATATTGGATCATAATAACGCACGTGATAAGATGTAACAAGAAAAATGATTATAAAGGGGAAGGGGGGAAGCAGATGACCAAAGGTAGTTTAAATAATACTATTTTTCTGGTATCTTAAAAATAGTTGTAAAAAATACACGTTCTTGGGAAGAAATACTTGAATCGATACCTAATATGCATTTTTTTTATCTAAGTTTGGTCTTGGTAATATTCGAAAAGTCTAGTTTAATCTTAACGGGAGTTAAACTAGAATATAATTAACATATTAGCGAATATTACACACCATTTATTTAAATCGATAAGGAGAAAGTTAATTTAAAATTTTGTTCACCAGATGTCGGCATTACACAGCGAGTTAAGTGCGCACATCGACAGCAGCAGCAGCGAGCAGCTGTCGCTGCTGCGCGGCGCAGTACTGGCGCAGGCGGGCGCGCTGCAGGCGGCGGTGCATCGCGCAGGGGAGACAACAGCTGACGCACTTACTGCTGCAGATGTCGACATTAGCACACCACTAGCTGATTATCTGGGACAATGGGTTAGTTATATGTTTCACTCTAAAACTACTGAACTAAATTTAGTGGCATTAAAACTAGTGTATACAACAGGACATGTATGATATTTGGCAATTTGTTTGATTTTGTCGTATTTAAAATTGTCAGTGTTTACTAATGGAGTATTCTAAGTAGATTTGACACTAAATGTATGTTTAGGGCGACCAATTTGTTTCAAGTGGTTATATTAACAAGAATTACGTTGCCAGTCGTTAATTACACCAAAAACTGAATATTGGAATGTAATTGAAATACGTTCAGCATTTTAAATAAGGACACATTCAAACTACAAATTCTTACATCTATCAGATTGTAAGGTCGCTTACGCTATTTAAGTTTCTATTCTGTATTTATCCAAAAAATCGACAAACTAGTTGAAAGTTACCATTTGTACTTGTTGCAGTACGCGAGCGTGTGCGCGAGCATGTGCGCGGTGCGCAGCGGCGAGTGCGAGTGGTCGCGCGCAGCTGCTGGGGCTGCGGCGGCGCGCGCAGCAGCTGCTCGGCGGCAGCGCGCAGCTCGCCAGGCGCATGCGCAGCGCACTAATGCAGCCATACACGCACGGATTGCGGTACGTTTCATACTTCTGTACAATACCGATTATCTGTCTCTATGTGTCTATATTAAAAGAAAAATTCCAGATTTCGGGAAGATGATGTATTTGCGTTGCTGATAACGATTCCTAAATATTTGTCTGTCTGTCTGTCTGTCTGTCTGTCTGTCTGTATGTCCGTATGTTGCGTTTGTTCCGGGCAATCTCCGAAACGGCTGGGCCGATTTCGACCGGACTTTCACTGATAGCTTGCTGACATAGACGGACATATTATCGGCTACTTTTTTTTATCTTTATATTGCGTCGACGACTAATAAAAAACTTAGAAATTTCGTTGTTATGTTCATAATTGATTTTTTGTTTGTAATAGAAATTTAAGGTGTAACAAGGTGTACAATTTTTTATATTAAAAGTCGACTCATCTAACTAGCGAAAATAAGATAATTTTATAAAATGTTTCAAACTACACACATCAAAAACACTGAATTAAATTACATTTTATAATATTGATATTTCTATCTATTTTAGTAGTTTGTAATTTTAAAAAACTTAAGCTTTATTAATTAAATAAAAAACCGTTGAAGATATAGATATTGTCTAAACAGATTTAATTAAATTTTAATTAACTTTCTTACAGCTCATAATGGAAGACAAAACAAATATTGAAAAACAAATAAACGACCAACTTCAAGACATAAATAACGAAAGAACGGAAATGGAGTTCCGTCTAACAGAATGGATGGAAGAAGAGAGACGTCTTCTAGAGGAACGCATCGCGAAACACGTTGAGAGAGAACGAAACTCTTTAGAAGAGAGGATAAAGTTAAGGTTATCAAGAATAGAAGATAATAGAAGAAAAATGGAAGAGAATATATCACATAATTTGGAATGGCATGAGGCTTTGTTGAGGTTAAATGAACAAGAGAGTGAAAAACTTGATGCAGAAGTGAAGGAGAATGAAGAAGATGCTGAGAAATATTTGAAAGAGATGGAGAGTTTCAAACAAATTTGTGATGAAGGTAACATAATAATTTTCGAGTTATTTATGAGATAAAAATTACAAACAACTACATACATCTTTATAGCAGAATAAAAACCTATTTGTATCTCAAAAAGTAATCAAAAACCTTAACCTTGATTTTAAAAAAATGTAACATCTAAATATTGCTTTAAAAATGAAAAAAAAGTTATGGGAAGCGAGATTCGAACTCGATTTTACTCCAATTCTACATAAATATACTAGCTTTTGCCCGCGACTCCGTTCGTGTGGAATTTAAAAAAAAAAAGCAACTAACCTATGCGTTCTTCCAGACTTACATCTATGACAAATTTCATTGAGTTCCAAACGGCAGTATAGGCTACAAACTCTAACAAACTTCCATCTAAACTTTCGCATTTATAATATAAATAATGTTGTAGGAATGAACGCGGTATCATCGGAAGTAGATTCCTTGACCGGAAACGTTCTGTCTGTGGTTGGAAAGATCAGGAACAACATGCTGGATGTTATACACTGCGCGAAACAGAAAATTGAGGTTTGTACACTCATATTGAATACATATTTCTAACAAATAACGAAAACCGACTTCAGGACAAAATTTTCCGACCTTCGGGACGCTTTTTTTCAAGAAAAACTCAATATTATTGGATTATTTGTAGTATTGGTTAAAAGAGGGACCAAAAAGTTCGTATTCCGCATAGAATAAAAAAATATTTACGTAAATCGGATAATAAATTACAGAGTAATCGATTTACATACATAAAAATACTATTTGAATTGTGAACTTTATCATTTTTTTAATTTTAATGATATCTACTCATTTTCAGAAACATGTTTATTTTTTTACAGCCTTTTTTTTTATTATCACCTTTTATAGTTGAAACATAAATAAATATTATAAAACATTAATACAGACTATTATTAAATAATTATTATTATCTTATTAATAATTACAGAAGGAAACAAAGGATATGTTATCAAGTAATCAACAAGCGTCAGAGCAAATATACAACAGTGTGGAGGTGGCTGTACAGACTGTCGTCAAGGATTGTCTTCAAGCTGTCACTGGAATGCTGGCACATGTTAATGTAAGTACTGTATTTTCATATAAAAATCGTTCAGACCTGTTACGCCATTTTACGTAGAAATATCCATCCTTAGAAATTATTGCATTATCTATACTATTATTATAAAGAGGAAAGATTTGTATTTGTGGATTGTATGTATTGAAATAACTCAAAAACTACTTAACTCATTTCAAAATTCTTGCACCACTAAAAAGCTATGTTATCACTGTGTAACATAGGCTGTATTTCTATTATTTTTTTATTTAATTTCATGCGTGCGAAGTCGCGAGCAAAAGCTAGTATTTCATTAAAGTGAAGACGAATGCTTTACTAAAATCGCATTATTCCATTATTGGAAAAATACAAATAATTTTTTATACTTCAAATTTGTAAATGGTCGTAGTACTTAAAAAATGAAGCAATGATACGAATTTTGAACTGTCCATTTGCAGGAAAACACAACAACAACAATACAAGAACTGACAACAATATCAACAAACAACACAACATTAGAAACATCCACCTCCGGCCAGTCGGAGGTGCAAAGCTCTCGACTCACCTCCGCGCAGGCGGAGGCGGAGGCGTTCTATTCCAGGCTGAAGGAGGAGATGAACACATTGGAGGAGGTGGAGGAGAAATGTCTCAAAGAGGAATACAAAGTATACTCACCTACTGGTAAGAACATTTGTAGGTTTATTTTTTTTTGTCTGGGCCTGTCCCACCAAATTGTAAATTTTCTGATAACGTGTAAAATATATAATGGAAATATCGGATTTTGTTCCCTTAGCTGACAGTGATGTTTTTATGCTATCTGAGCCTCTATCAGTCAGTAGTCGGTCGTGCGTAGTTCGGAGATTAGCAACATTAGAAACACTATCCTTAGTTGACCACCATCTTAATTGATAACTTCTCTACACACTCTAAATCGAATTGCAAACATTTACAGAGATTAACCAATTGATTTTACAAAAACAAAGTACATTATTCCACCATCCAAACACAACTGTCATCAGTCATTCTATCTTCGTCTTGACATCTATCAAACGATGCACAATCAGCCAGTACTCGAAATTATTAGTTGCCAGCTACTTTAATCGTACAAAAAGTATTAATAATTTCGCCACGTTATATATAAAAAATAAAAAACTACGGGAGTAGAAGTAGAGATGTTTTTTTTTATATAATATAAGGTGACAACTATTAGACAACTTATTTAATTGATACTGTCGCTTTTAACTCAGAGCAATACTTCTTTCTTTCTTCGTCAAGACTTAGGATGCGCGCCAAATCTATCCATACTTCTAGTGACATTGACAGCTGTCAGCTAGGGACGTGACGTTTATGCCGATAATCTAGAGTTGCGCCAATTCTATAGCACGGTACTAATTTTATTCCTAACACAACCGAGCAAGTGACCACTTGAATCCACCAAAATGGAAAGTGACCGCTGCCCATAAACATCCGAAATTGCAGATGCGTTGCCTACCCTTCATTGACAGAAGACGCACATAAAGAGGACATTTCCTCTTCCCATGCGTCTCCACCGTCAAATCTACTTTTCTTCCCATCATTTAACAAGTTCTAAGTTGTATAAGTTACCGTTATGTTTGCAATGACTATGTGTGTAGGTCGCACGCCGGCGCGCACGCAGTACAGCTACCCGCGCGCGCTGCCGCACACCTCGCCGCACGCGCGGCTGCTGGCGCGCTACCGGGCCCGCGACACACACCACGTATGTACACACAACCCCACTATCATATATATAGCTGGCTATCCCCAATCATCCCCCATACCTCCTCCATCATACATATACCTTATTACCTTATCTATACTATTATAATAAAGTGTAAACACACACTTTTTGTTGCCTAAGATGTCAGCAATTACACCACATTTATGAATAATTCTTTTTTTAATAAAGACCCCTACACTTACATCACGCTTTAGGCTATATATTTTCACGACATTAAACTTAGGGGATAAATATTTATCTCTAACTAGCCTTCTCACGCGATTTCGTCCTTGTAGAATTAAAATAATGACTTGGTAGCTTATATGGTCTTCCAGACTATGTTCTACAGCGATGTCAAATTTCATCGAAATTCGTGTATATAATAATAAGAACTTTCCAATTTTTAGAAAATAATTGTGTTTGTATAGTATTGCATTATCTGGCTGAGTTTAGAAGGGGGTAGACGCCCCCCTACCCTGATAACGATGTCATATTGTGATACCAGGACGACTGCATAATGGTGGAGTGCGAGGAGACACGAGGCCAGAGTGACTGCGAGTCCTCCAGCTCCGAGGACTCCGCGGTGGTGTTTGTGGCGCCCTCCCCGCCGGACCACCCCGCACCACCTTCCCCGCCAGAACACCCCACACAACCACCCCTCACCAAGTGCACCTCCGAGACAGACATCTATGTACGGCAGGTCAGTTCACACAAACCAATATACCTTAGAGCAGTAGCAAACATTTTTGGCACGTCGATAGTTATAAAAACGCTACGAAAAAATATGAAGTAGATGAAAATGTAATAATCGCAGTCAAAATTATTCAATGACATATCTAAGACCGCATTGTACTTTTAAGAAAATGGCACTTTTGCATTAAATTAAAAAGATATAGTCTATGTTACAGATACCGTAGCTTTCTAATGATGAAAGAATTTTAGAAATCGGCTCAGTATTTGAGTTAATTCAATACATACAAATATACAAATCTTTCCTCTTTACACAAGTATAGATGGGGTTTCTATGTGTAACGTACCATATTAAAAATTAACGTTTTTCTTTATAGCGTCAACAACAGCAAGGCAAAGAGAACGTGAATCGGTCAATGAGTTTTAAGAAACCCTCCAAGTTGCCCGCCCCCGCCCCCGCCCCCGCCCCGCCCTCCGGCAAGAAACCTCTCTGCGAACGCAACGCATCCTGACTACACATTTATTAAAAAACTAGCTGTTCCCGTGCGACTTCATTCGCATCAAATTATGAAAATTGTTTTATTGATTACATTTGTCAAATTCAATTGCAAATGTCAAAATGACATGACATGACAAAGTATGGCAATTTTGCTTCCTTGATGTTGGCAGCAACTTATGGTCTCTTTCCCACATTAGGGTTTATACCAAAATATTTACCCCTAAGTTTAACGGCGTGAATAAAATAGCCTAAAGTGTGACGTAAGTGTAGGGCTTTTTATTAAAAAAGTGTTATTCAAAAATATGCTATGATTGCTGACATCTTAGGGAACAAAGAAGTGTGTGTTTACGCTTTATTATAAAAGTATAGATAAACACTATTATTAAGTATATTTCACACGTAAGGAATTTATTTTCCCAACTAATTCGTATGACCGTATTTAACGCTAGAGTAATTAATATTTTATAAGTACTGTGTACCCTAATTAAATATTTGCAGATTTATGTGTTTGTTTTTAGTTTTAGGACAATTTTTATGTAAAAATAACAGAAAAATTCCACTATCGAAATATTTTTGTATTGAAAATTGTTTTTTTTTTTCATTGTATTTAATTTTAACTAGTGAAATCTTTTTCTTTACTATTATTTTAATAATAAATTAAGTATCAGGTTTATTTGAAGTTTGACCAAAACTTGTCAATAATTTGACCAAAGTTATGTAAAGAATAGTACACAAACAAACATATCCGATATTCTAATAGCTTTTTTAAATTATTAAAATCGTATAAAAGTTCTAATATAAAAAAACTGCAAGTCAGTTTAAAAAGCATAGAAATCAATTTGTATCTTTTAGAGCCTTTCCCATCACTGGCTGATAGAGGCTCAGATAGCTTAAAAACGTCACTGTCAGATAAGGTAACAAAATCCGATATTTCCATCAGATATTTTATAAGTTCGATTGTTATCAGACAATTTACAATTTGGTGGGACTGGCCCTTAATTGTTCAGAATTTAAAAGATAAAGGTGTGTCCACACCTGACTACTTCGCATAAAGCGGTGTGTGTTCACCTTATTACGTTAGATATTATGTTTTTAGTATGTTTGTGTGTTTGACGTAAGTATTATATTTTAATAAATTTGGATACACTCGTATAGTTTTATATGAATGAATATATTTTTAATGGATTTTTTGTTTTATGAGTAATATCTTTTCTGGTATGTAGTTGTAATTGTGTACGAAATAACGATTTATGTATGAATTATAAAGATTATTAGAATTTTTTTTTCATTTTTTATCCAACACTCGAAATTTTTTAAAAAATACAGGTCTGTCTGTTTGTCCGAAATCCACACAAAGCGACAATTTAAACTAATAAAAGAATATGAGTACTCAGCTAAAGGTAAATGGAAAATAAAACAAAAACTAATTTTTAATAAATTTATTTTTCAAACAAGTGTATCTGCGCGTTTAGTCGCAACACTGACCTTAATAAATGGACAAGCTAATTTCTGCCGACATGGAATAGGTAATTTCTGCCGATCTGATTTCTTTTTTGGCGCTGACGGTCGTTGGTAAAAGTGAGTAATGGTGAGAATTGGAATTAATAATAGATGTATTAACTAAAAGCGATATCATTTCCAAGCAGACCTATCCATTTATACAGATCAGTGGGCGCAGAACAAACAGCTAGCACCAAAAATTATATTTACAACATGACGAATAAATAATTTAAGTGACATTAATGGCTTGAAAGAAATATTGCATTTATTTAATTACACCATAGCCTTAAAACTATAATAAATTACTAGAATACATAAAAAATGCATAAAATTTACTGTTTGGTCTCATACTTATACTAAATTGATCCCACGGGAACATTGCTGTCACTAAAAGCAGGTGGAAATATTAAATAATCTGAACAACATGGCCATAAATATAAATGCAAAATAGGCCATAATTTAGGATACATATTGTTTGAAATTATATGCTTTTTAAATAGTTGCTGATTTTATGAAAAATAATGGTGGGAAAACAATAATAAATGCCACATACGACTTAACTATAATAAATAAATTAATCTAAATATAGAGAAATAAAAGTCTATTTACATTTTTTTATTCCTAATAAAATTGAAAACTTTATAAATATGCTGTCGTTATTTTCAAAGACGCCATGTTTATAGCCTGAACAGAAATATAAAATAAACTATCGGGTTGCCGAAAAATTTTTATATTCTTGCTCATGCTAAAATAATTAACGACATAAAAAAACTGTTATTTCACTTTTTCAAAGATGACAATATTTTTGTATGAAAATATTGACAGTGGAACTTACGGTCATTTTTATATAATTAGGCGTCTTACACAGTTCACAATTTTATAGAGTTCTCGTTTAAAACATAAATCTAACATGAGGTCTATTTATCTCTAACTGGAAGACTATAATAAAATAAATGCGAATTATTTTGGTTATCAAAATGTTTCTATAGTATTCTAGGTCAATAATTTTTTTAGGTTATGAAAATAAAAAATTGTCTATGCTTTTGCTAATTTGTAGGTTATAATTTGGATAGTCTTCCAGTGTTGATGGTCTATGGATTGTTGACGGATATGATCTGGTTGATCCAGCCGATGAAAGAGGAGACCTTGACGTAGACGCCGGGCACGTCCTGGCGGCCGCAGCCGAAGCCCCAGGAGACCAGCCCCACCAGCTCGTAGAAGCCGTCATCCTGACACACCAGGGGACCGCCGCCGTCGCCCTGTACACACGATAATCGTTTTCTTGGAATTCTTTTTAACAGACAAACTGCCATTTTCGCTTAAATTCATAAATGTTTTTGTCAAAAGTTACAAGTTTTTTCGCATAGCTTTTTTTTGCCGACTTCCAAATTCCAATTCTAAGGTACAATACAGAAATATTTACTACAATAAAGGAGTTCTAAATAATTTTAGGTCATATTTCCTTACTTATAGTGTAATATTTTTTGAGAATGTTTTGGTACGTTGTTTGGAAGTCGGTTTTGGTTTTCTAACAAATATAACTAGTTTAAAATTTTACTCAAGACTATCACAAAAAAAGAGTTGAAAATCGTAATAGCTATTTACGTTTAGACGTTCTTTTGTTTACTTTATTTCGGTTTTGGAACGAACAGAAGACAAAAGATTGACCTTCTACACCATTTACTAACATTATAAATTAGAGGTTAGAATTTAGTTAAAATTTGTCAATTTTCCTAGTTTAGTTTACCTGGCAGGCGTCGTTGCCCTCCTCCCCGCCGGCACAGAAGGAGGAGGAGGGGAGAATGAACACCTTCTCAGTGACCGCGTTCACCTTCCGCACGCACTCAGAGTCATTCACTATGGGCAGCTCCGCCTCGCGGATACGCAGAGGAATAGGACCCGCTGGAAAATATACTTTTCATATTTAATTTCGTTAACAGACAATTTTTCAAATTTACTAAGATTAGTAGATTACTATTTTAAGATCAGGATAATTCAACAATCCTACTGCTGGCAAATATTCGCTAGAGATTATCAAAGGTAAAGAAGTATTTTATAGACAAATGCACAGATAACTACTTTAAAATCTTTTGATTAAACTTTGTTTTAGATATTTTTTTTTATTTAAAATTTAAACATATCAAATGTACTTATAATATTTAATACTAGCTGTTGCTCGTGACTTCGCTAGCGTGAAATAAAAATACACCTTACTTTACTAACTTTTTAATGATGATAGATTTTTTGAAATCGTCCTAGTAGTATTTGAGTTATTTCAATACATACAAAAATTACTAACATTATAAATGCAAAACTTTAGATGGATGGATGGTGTAGATGTCTGGAATGACATATAAGTTACTTGGTTTTTGTTTTATACTACGCGGAAGGAATCGCGGGCGAAAGCTAGTACTAGTATAGAAGTATGATGTACTCACTCTCCCCCATGTACCCGTAGCCAGTGACGGTGCAGCGCTTGCCGGCGGCGTGCTCCTCGTCCCGCGCCGGCAGGCACACCAGGCACACGCCTGACACACAGCCATTGCAAATATTTAGAAAACAAGGTAAACTCGCAAGCTAACTACAGAAAAATACTTGTGTAGCCGGCATTCTGCGGCCAGGAAGAATTTCAGGGGAGGACATCTTTATTCAAAATTGTTTAATCTTACAAACTTTAATAATGGCCGGTTTCCCAACTGCTTTTAACCATTCGCTAGTATTTCGAATTTCATGAATCACGTTTTAAACTACCTAAATAGAGTTTAACTTTGAAAGTTAGTTCAACTTAACACTAATGAATGACTAGGTAACGATAGAATAAACGGAAACTTGAGCAACTGAACATAATTCGTTTTTTGACCGACTTCCCAAAAGAAGGAGGTACTCAATTCGTCTGTATGTTTTTTTTATTTTTTTTTATGTGTTACGGCATAACTCCGCCGCTAGTGGACCGATTTTGATAATTCATTTTTTATCCGAAAGGTAATGCTTGCAGGTGGGTCCCATTTTTTTGTTTGATTTTTGGAGTCAAAGACTACGACGTAGTTAAATAGTTTTTAAGTTATCTAGAGGCTTTAGTGTACTGAATTATTTTACATTTTCAGGGGTTCGTAGCTTTCTCCTGCTTAATTAGTGAAATCTGTATGGTACACATTACACTGTGTATTTTTAAACAGAAAAATAGGGTTTTATGAAACAATAAGCATATTTTAAAAATGTAAAGTACATGTGACTGACCGTCTTTCAGCTCCGCTTTAGTCTTCAGTTTCAGTAATGCGATATCGTTGTCGAGAGTCTGGCTATTGTGGTTGTGGTGTATATATGTAGTAGCGACCAGCAGAGTCTGAGCGCTGGGGGAGCCGTACTTGCGCGTCAGGTCGTTGTCACCAACGCGCACGAAGTAATCATCACCGGAACGTACGATGCTGGAAATTTAAACAAAGTCTTATAATAATTGCAAAGATTTATAAAATTTACTTGTCAATAGTGTACAATGTTCATACTTGGTGAGGCAGTGATAGTGTACAATGTTCATACTTGGTGAGGCAGTGATAGTGTATACTTGGTGAGGCAGTGATAATGTACAATGTACATATTTGGTGAGGCAGTGATAGTGTACAATGTTAATACTTGGTGAGGCAGTGATAGTGTACAATGTTCATACTTGGTGAGGCAGAGATAGTGTACAGGGGACATACTTGGTGACGCAGTGCGCGGCGGTGAGCACCCACTGCGTGCCGACGAGCGCGGCGCCGCACACGTACTGGTTGTTGTTGTTGATGAGCGCCACCTGCCAGCACCACTCGCCCGGCAGCCCGTCCTCGCCGCCCATCACGCGGCCCGCGCGCGCCGCCGTGCCTGCGCCACACAACAGTAACTAACGAACACATACTCGTAAAAACAATAGACGTTTTTAAATCAAGAGGGAAAAATAATTTTAATAATTAAAATGCTGCTCGCGACTTCGTCTGTGTAAAATTAAAATCGAGTCTAGTCTGTGTTACTCAAAGATAACGTGGCCTTTTAATCGCGATTGAAGTTTCTCAAGTTATTTTAATACAAACAAAAATGCAAATCTTTTCTTTTTGTAATATTAGTATAATAACTGGATATAGATAAGCAAAAAGTTGTTGATCGACAAAAATCACACTTGCTTTCTCACGCAACTATGTCCAAATGGAATTAAAAAAGAACAAAAGTGAGAAGCGAATGTCTTTTTCCAGACTATTCTCTACGTCTATGCTAAATTTCATCGAAATCCGTTCAGCCGTTTAGGCTTCAAACTCTAATAGTTAAACATCCTTCCATCTAAATTTTCGCATTTATAGTATTAGTAAAATTACAGTGACATTTAAAATTTACTGACTAGTCGAGTTTATTTTTTTATGTCAAACCTTTAACACCGCAAACGTATTTATTATATTTCTCTGCAGAATGCATCATCGTGGTGCCATAGCTCGGCTCGTAGGGATCTGGAACATAGATGATAAACAACATTTCTACGGTGAAGACATTTTTAGAATAACCAAAGAACGTAACAATTGTAATTGGTAACGGAGGCCTGGTTCTAGTCGCTACTCCTTTTCACCATTTTCTTAAGAGGATGGGAAGGAAACGTGAATTTGACGGCAGAGGAGACGCATAGGAAGGGGAAATATCCTATTTATGTGTGTCATTTTCATCGACTAAGGGTAGGCAACGTGTTTATGGGCAATCGCTTCGCCATTTCGGTAGATTCAGGTAGCCGCTTGCATGATCGCCAATAAACTAGCTGTTGCTCGCGACTTCGTTCATGTGAAATTTTAAAATATGGCATATGTTACTCAGCGACAACGTAGCTTTTAATGGTGATAGAATTTTCGAAATCGGTCCAGTAGTTTTTGAGTTATTTCAATACATATAAAAATACAAATTAGTATAGTTAAAAATGGCCTTACATGCGATACGATCAATAGGCGTGGTGTGTTGAGGCACGTGGGACACGTGAGGCACATGAGGCACGTGAGGCACTATCTCGTTAGTGGTGAGCGCGTGGTGCTTGTAACCAGTGGTGGTGGTGGTGAGCGGGTAGGAGTCATTCCGCTCAGGGCCGCCGACCACTTCGATGATCTTGGACTTCGGCGCACAGCACTGAGTGCCCGCCTTCTTGCATTTAAATACATCTGTTATTTCCGCGTTGTCTGCAAACATAAAAAACAATAATTATCATACTGATATTATAAATGCGAAAGTTTAGATGGATGGATGTTTGTTAGAGTTTGTAGCCTTAACAACTGAGAGGATTTCGATGAAATTTGGTATGGATGTAGAGGATAGTCTGGAAGGAAACATAGGCTACACACTATTATACTGCACAGATTTCAATATAGTTAATTAAGTAAAAGGTCTTCTTTTTTGAACCGGAAAAAAATATGTAACTTCTCTGTTTATTTCTTTATTTCTAGGCTCAAATTACTGGTACTTTTTGTACTGCAAGTGACGTTACATAAAGGCTTTTGCGGAACATTAACGCTTATTATAAATAAGCACCATAGCTGAGTGTAAGCTCCATTATCTTCTATATGGTCGATGAATTAATCTTTTCATCCTAAAGTGGTCATAATCAATGCTTTTAACAAGGTCATGAAGACAGGATAAGTAATACTAACGGAAGCAGGTGAAGGACAGCAGCGGCACTACGCAGGAGCCGGGGCAGTCGGGGCGGGGGTCGGCGGGTGCGGGGGGCGCGGGGGGCGGCGTGGTGGTGGTGGTGGGCCGCGCCGTCGTCGGCCGGGGGGTCTTCGCCGCTCTGAAATATCACACTCCTTAATTATTGTCCAGTTAATTTAAAACTCTGAATTTAAATTTTGGTCCAATAACATTTTTACGGACTCCCGAAAAGTTTTACAGACAGTTTAGTTGGAATGGTTAAAGAAATCTTAGTGAAATAACAATAAAATAAAACAAAAATGAAATTCATCATCCACTTGCCCTTATCCCTTTACGGAGGGTCGGCACAGTATGTGCTGCTCTTCCATATAGCTCTATCAGCCGTCATATCTGAATCCACTTCTTTCTTAAGCATATCCTCTTTCATACAATCCATCCATACTTTCTTCGGACTTCCTCTTCCTTTGTAGCCATCCACATTCAATCTTAACACTTTCTGGTTTATGTCCCCATCAAACAACAAAATTCAACAAAATTCCAGCTGAAATCTTACAACTTACAGTAGGTACATTATTACAAGAGTTTCAAAGTAGTTAATATAAGTTTGAACCTGGTGTTATCACAACAGAACATGTTGGCGAGCCGGCAGTTGGTGTGCGCGTTGATCTCTGAGGGGTATTTGCAGAAGGCAGCCATCACCGTCGGCAGACAGAAGCTCGGGCAGCGTGGCAGCGGCGGCTGTGGACATACAGTATATATTAACAAGATTACAAATACAACATTACTAATAAAGCGTAAACACACACTATACTTAGTTACGAAGGAAATCAATCACAGTATATTTTTGAATAATTATTATTTTACGAGCTGTTGCCCGCGACTTCTACCGCGTGGTATTAGAAAACATACAAATTACAAAAAGTTACGTATCCCTTGGGTACCGGGCATTTCTCGGGGATGAAGCTTATCCCATGTGTACTTCAGACTTTGTTTTATATCTGTGCCAAATTTCAATAAGATATGTTGAACCGTTGCAGAATGGTCGAGTAAACATTAAAAAACTAAATTAATGAATCCCACGGGAACCGTAACTACTCCCGGGATAAAAAGTAGCCTATGTGTTCTTCCAGACTATGCTATAAACTTGTGCCAAATTTTATATAGATCCGTTCAGCCGTTTAGGCTACAAATGCTAACAAACATCTATCTATGCATCCATCCATTTAAACTTTCGCATTTATAATATTAGTAAGATTTTTTAAAAAAAACCCTACACTTACACGCTTTAGGTTATATATTTTCATGCTATTAAAATTATGGGCTAAATATATTGGAAAAACTCGTCATTGGGGAACGGGACAAAAACTAAAACTGACAACATCAAAAAAGCACGGTTGTCGTGGTAACGGTTATTGTTATCCAAAGTCAAATTCATTGTTATTTGTACATTTGACTTATGATTTCAATTGGAAATTTCACAAATGTAAAGAATAAAATAATGTTTTCATAATTGCATGCGGATGCCGCATAGAACCAGCGCATTCACTAATAAAGTTATGTTAGTATGTATCTCACCGGTGTGGTAGGTCGTGGCGTGGTGGTTGGTCTTCTCGTGGTGGTATCCTTGCTGTCGGTGATGCAGCAGGTGCCGCCGTCGGCGCAGGTCGCCTGCTCGTCCACGTGGTCGCACAGCAACACGAACAGCCCGCTGATGCACTCCCCGCGGCACTCGCGCTCCTTGTGGCTCACTGCTGTCTTCTTCTTCGGCGGGGGCGTTGTTGTTAACTGCAATATAGTTTAAATTCTAATTAATAACATGATCGTCGGTAGCTCAGGGCTTTAAGCACTTGACTTATAATCAACAAGTCCTGGGTTCGAATCACGTCATGTGCCAATGTGATTTTGAATTTCATATGTATTTACCTGACGTTCTAACGTTGAAGGAAAACATCGTAATGTAACCTGCACATATCGGCAAGTCAACCCGCAGTGGGCCGACAACTAGTGCCTAGTTGCCCCTATAGGGTGAGCTCCGAGACCCTCATTGGGAACGTATAGTGAACTCATGATGATGATGATATATCTTTTCTTCCTCAAAGCGCTATATCTACGTAAGTTAAAAATTCCCCTTACAGCAGTGCTAGGCTTCTTAGTATGATGATGCTGTTTCTCATTAGGCACCACGAGGTCGTCAGGCGGGCTGTCACCATAAAAGTCCCTGGCGACGCAGCAGACGCGGCCGCTGGCGCACAGCCCCGGCGAGCTGAGGTACGCCTGGCAGTACTGCGCTAGTTGCACCACCACGCACACGTCAGGACACGCTATATTACCTGATAAAAAGAACAGATATCCCAATTAGATAGTACTTTTAAATAGGATAATCTAAAGATATCCAAAAGTCCATTGTGTGTGCTGTTTCGATTTTGTAAAAGCATTTGAAAGAGTACATCATGACAACATGATAGACATCCTTTAATATGTTTGTTTTTAATTAAAGAGCCTACGAAAATAAACTATACGATGGATTTAAGAACCGAATATACGTGTAGACAGTAAAATGTCTGATGAAAAAAAGGTTTTTACAAGGAGTGCTTCAGGGATGTAATCTTGGCCCCAATATTCGTAGGTTAACTTGTATCCTTGTTATTTTGAATCTATTATTTTTGATATACTCGCGTTAATGAAGACCTAATATGTAATATGTGTACCTAATAATTACCACTGTCTTTGTGTCTGTCGGGCGTCAGTGTGGTGGTCTCGTCTTCGTCGGACTCCGTGGTCGTGTAGCGCGTCGTGAACGGACGCCGAGTTGTGATTGCCGTATCATTGTCTGAAATTATAAAAATAAATACAAGAAGCAAAATTACTTTATTAAAAAGAAATTAAGTTTAAATAATGTGAAATATACTTTGATGCCAATTAAAATATAACTCACTGTTTTAAAAATTGTAAACTAAACTTTTTTAAACATATTGTAGAAAACAAATACAATTATTGCATAGTGATTCATCATATGCTTAAGTTATATTAACTATTTTGCAGAGTCAAATATCCTAATGTTATAAAATATGCAATTAAAAATGCTCGCCTTGCGGAAAATATGGCGAGATATTAATATCTTGGTGGAAAAAGTGGTCTAGTTAAAAAAAAAGTGCCTTAGTTAACAAAGTATGTATATTAAAATGTTAAATGTATGTCAGTATGCTAATAGTAACTACTAACTGTGTTAATTACTGACAGGAAGGGCAACGATACAACGAGACCGTTAAACTGCATACAAAGATTAGAAAGGCTTTTACAATCTCAAACAAAGTTGTTAACAATGTTGCGTTCACATGAATACCTTTTACAATTAAAATTATAGAAATAAACAATCCCACGATCTTGTTTCTACTGTTTATCTCAATCTAAGCAGTTGTAAGATTTTGAACAGTACAATGTGAAACAATGTCAAAGTGCGCACACCTTTGATTAATCGCACAACTGTATAGTCGCACTTTGACTCTTATGAGCTTATATATATATTTTTTTATAACATACGATGACAAACGAGCAAGCGGTCACCTGAATCCGCCAAAATGGCGAAGCGACCGCTTCCCATAGACATCTACAATACCAGATGCGTCGCCTACCCTTATCCGACGGAGGAGGAGACGCACATAAATAGGATATTTTCTCTTCCTATGCATCTCCTCCATCGTCAAATCCGCTTCCCCTTCCTCTCATAAGAAAAGGGTGGTAAAGAGAAAGGGACTTCGGCACCACACTCATCAGACGAAACACGGCATTGGTTCCATTTCACGCCTGCCTTCTGTGTGGTCGTGGTATTACTGGGGGCGTGCCGGCCATGCAGTACTAAGATGTTAAAGCGGGCACTACCACTGTTTTATGGTGCGCACACTACTTGATTTTTAATAAATAAACAATTGAATTGCCTTAGAAACAATTGACACTCGCACAACAGTTGTGCGGTAGTTTATTCAAAAGCGCTCGCTCTTTTAGAGTCAAGTAATCGAAGTATTCGCTTCGAATTTGAATGTAGCGTCGGTGGCGTAGAAAACTGATTACACCAATTTGCAAAAAATGTTTCTTAATTTTCGCATATTATAAGTAATAAGAGAAACCGTCAACCGGCATTAGGCTGTGATTGACTAAGACATAATCACAAAAGGGGTGTTACCTAAAGGTTCATCCATGCAGCACTTCATGCCGCTGGGGCAGTCGGCGTCATCACGCACATTGGAGCAGATGAGCGCTGTGAGGGTGTGCATACACGCGCCCGGACAACTGCGCGTCTCCACCTGCGTGTCCAATGACTCGAACAGATCTGTAAGGTAACCACACGGTTATTAGCCATCGTCATAGGTTCAGATACTATACAAATTGCATAAAAAGAACAGCGTAAATATCACAGGGTATTCTCGTCATGTTTTCTGTTATATGAGTGATTTTATGGCACGATAATGTCGAAGATATAAATAAAGATCAGGAAATACAAAGCCAATTTCATTGATCCTTTTAATAGCTTAAAACCTATAACAATGTCAGACAGTTTGAGGAGTTGATTGACTTAGCACAGGTCTTCAAAGATCATATATGTTCGTACAATCATTGCCCATAATTACCTTCTCCCTTTCCATTTATTTTAAATTAAAAGTCGCCGAGCAAACAGCTGCGGCTGAGAAAGCCGCCCAGCGACTTCCAGTGACGGCGACAACTTTGCAAAATGTTTTTTCCTTCATTTTCTAAGAATCTTTTCTCTGCGCTGCCTATATGTGGCAGCGCGGCGCCACTCGCGCCAACAGGCTAACACCCTCCCCCACTTCCCCCTTGATAAGCCATTTAAATATTTAAATTACGGCAATCGAACAACAATCCGAAAACTTTAATAATCCAGTAAAATAATTATTAAATAATAACTATGTAAATTACAATGCCTATAATACTTGTTAAATTTATTAAAACAATCCAACAACAATCAGCATTACCTTAGGTAGAATTCAATTGTTTTATAAAAATACTAGATGTTCCCGTGCGACTTCATCAGTGTGAAATTATGAATGTTTTTATTGTTTACATTTGTCAAATTATCAATAGGAAATGTCAAAACGACATGACATGACAAATCTTGGCAATCTATTGATTGATGATGGCAGCAACTTATGGCCTCTTTCCCACATTAGGGTTTTTATCCAAAATATTTACTCCCTAAGTTTAATGGCGTGAAAATAGCCTATAGCCTTAAGCGTGTCGTAAGTGTAGGGCTTTTTATTAATGAAAGGACTATTCAAAAATATACTGATGTTGGTTTACGCTTTATTATATTAGTATAAAAGTGTATATAAAAGTGCAAGCGAAAAATTTAGCTGAATCATGAATGAACACTGTTGTAAAGTTCAATGAAACCGCAAATTCGCCATTGACGGTGCCAAGCGAGTCTCGACCTTATTACCTAACAGTTGTCCTAAACCGAACCTACTGGACGACATTCCTGAAGATGGGCTGACCGTTAGGTCGACTGTCCCGGCGCACCTCGGCACACATAAAGACAAATGAAAGGAAAACAGTTTGTGGTCCGAGTTACCAGCGTTTGCGTCATACTAAGTAACTTGTTCTGTTCCTACAGTGAAGTTTACTTATAAAACGCGCACAGAAGTAAAATAATAACTCAGTTTTTCTAATAAGAGGTTATTTTTTGTGTGAATCAATGTTATAAACACGAATGTTTAGATGGATGGATGTTTATTAGAGTTTGTAAACTAAATAACTAAGCGGATCTCGATGGATTTTTTTATGTAGAGAATAGTCTAAAAAAACACATAGGCTACTTACTTTTGTTTTTAAATTCCACGCGGACGGAGTCGCGAAAGCTAGTATATTAATGAGATAAAAAATTGTATGATTTTGCATAGGAAAGTCACTTTTAGTACACAAAACTGTAAGGTGTTAGGTCAACATACTGTACAACTTGGGCCATTGGTTATAGGACCGTTACGAGATGACCTAACACGGGCGGCGTGGAGAGATCGTCCTCTCTCCCTTCAGGCCCCTGGACCCCACCTTGTGCGCCAGAAGAAAACGAAAGTACCCTACACGCCGTGTAACGAACTAAACAGTTATGTTTGATGTTCAAGGTTTCCACACTTGTGTGAACCCGAATATCATATGATTTATATACATACCTATGTCAGTGACCACTCTATGCCAGTCCAGTTATAGAGAGCTACTGACTATACCTCACTGGCCAAGTGTAAACAATGGAAAGATACAAAGAATCATGTTTTTTCGTATAGATAATAATAAAATAAGCTTGAATAATGAAATAACAGTTTGGTTTCGCGTGACTGCGGCCAATTTATCTCAATATAGCAAGTTGCAGTAATGGTGATGACTGAACTTAACAATGCTTTATAATTGATTCAAATTGTTTATTCTCACTTTAAGTGTTTGAATACGATTATGTAAAAATTAAACGAAACCCAAGTCTGAGAGTCGGTGACTCAGGAGACTTGATTTGTAAACCGCAAGTCCTAGGTTCGAGTCCCGACTACCAATGTGTACATTTGGTCGATGTTCTTAGGGCGAAGGAAATCATCAAGATGTCTGCAAATGTTTGGAAATAAACAATTAAAATAGATGCGTGAAGTCAACCCGTATGGGCCATTGATAGACTATGGCCTAATCACCCCTAACTTAGGGTAGGCTCCGAAACCCTCAGTGGTGCCAATAGTGAGGAGATGATGATAGTATACATACAATACTTAAATGTTAGATTGAGTTCTATTTAGTCTTCATTATTTTTGGATTATTTTTCTAAATTAATGTTCCTGTATAAACGACTAGCAGTTCGAGACTTCGAGCATGTGAAATATAAAAATATAGCCTATGTTACTCAGCGATAACATAGCTTTTTAATGGAGAAGAATTTTTGAAATCTGCCCAGTAGTTTTCGAGTTATTTTAATATACAAAAATACAAATATTTCCTCTGTATAATATTAGTATAAATGTAACAATTAAGTTGAAGGAGGTGTTTAGTTTTGAAAGCGTTACTGAGATTAACTTACGCAACATAGTTTAATAATTAATCATACAAGGAAAATAACAAGATAATGGTAAGTGAAAGTGGCTAAAATAAAATATGATTCACTGTATCTTATACAAAACTGAATCATTCAAAATTTTATTCGAAATTATCCTGATCTTTACATAGTACAAATAACTGGAAGCGTTATTTTATCTGTACTAATATAGTAAAGAGGAAAGATTTGTATTGTTATAACTACTGGGCCGATTTTATAAATTCTGTCATCATTGGAAAGGTAATTTATCTGTAAGAAACATAGGCTATATATTTTTGTTTTTAATTTCACAAGTTTGAAGTCGCGAGCAACAGCTAGTAATCTAATTTGACAATAGAAAAAAAACAATACGTATTGTAAACAGACATCTTGTTTACGTAACAATATTTTTTCAACAATGTCTACCATATTTTTATTGTTGTACTAGCTTTCGCCCGCGACTCCGTCCGCGTGAAAACATAAGTGAGTAGCCTACGTGTTCTTCCAGACTATCCTCTACATCTTTGCCAAATTTCATCGAAATCCGTTCAGCCATTTAAGCTACAAACGCTAACAAACCTCCATCCATACAACTGAACTTTCGCATTTATTATATTAAATTTTTATTGTTGTATTTATTTCCCGTAAGTTAACAATAAACTTGTAACTTAAGTACTTTTAAATGTAAGGTGTACAAAGTACGTTATAATCAAGAGTTAAGAGGAACGACCGGCCGCAGGACTTTCTCCGTGCCCCTACTCCTTACGGTAACAAACCGGACACCAACGCAAGGCGCACTTAAATTGAATAACGCACATAATTTATCAATGAACTTCAAACTTTATCAAATGTAATATTTGAACAAGCTTTGTAACTATATCTATACTAATATTATAAAGAGGAAAGATTTGTATGTTCATATATATTGAAATAACTCAAAAACTACTGGCCTGATTTTAAAAATTCGTTCGCCGTTAAAAGCTACGTTATCAGTTACTATATATTAAACATTTTGTATAAAATAAAATTAAGTTGCTTTAACAACTAGCAGTTGCTCGCGACTTCGCCCGCAGGAAATTAAAAATAGTGAAAAACATAGCTTATGTTATTTACAGACAACGTAGACAAAAACGACAAAAGTATATGTTAAAAAAATTTTTGAAATCAGTCTAGTAGTTTTTGAGAATTCAATACATACGAAAATACAAATCTTCCCTCTTTATAATATTAAGAAAGAAAGAAATCAGTTTATTAAAAAAAAATGAAAAGGAATTCATTCGGCATGTGCTCGGTGTACCCTGAAGCGCCGGTTTTCAATGATTCCTAAAAAACAGAACACGCAGTTTTACAAAATAGTAGAAGAAAAATAAAACATGTACTTAATGTTACACTCGGTCACAACTCGAAAACTTAATCTAAATCTAAATTTATGGAAAAATATAAAAAACAAAACACAAATAAAACACTTAGATCTTACTTAATGTACCTAAATTGTTTTAAAACTAACATTACTTATACTGGGTTGCTGAAGTTTCCATTCACTTTATCATAAGATATTATATATATTTATCATAAGATTAAAGATACAAACACTGTCTAAACAGTTAAATTCTTATTTAAGGTTTCTATGATCTCGTTACAGATCGATAATATTTTCCCATAAGTTTGTATTGAAAGCATATAGCGAGGCGCAGGTGTCCGCGAGGTGCAGGGGACGGCAGGGTAACGGCGCGCTCACCGTTAGCCGCGCCCCATATACCACCAGACGATACCAACAAGATACAACTTATGTACTTCGATAGTAATAGTAAATACCCAACCAAAGTACCTGTATCAAACATGCTATCTCAGTGTCTATGAAAAAGCAAACATAACTTCTGATGTCGAGACTGAAATCTGTACAGTTTATTTCAAAACATAACCTAAAAATTGTTAACATCACTTATTGAAGAATACAAACAAAAATAATCTATATCTATTCGAATATTATAAAGAGAAAAGATTTGAATTTTTGGATTTTTGTATGTATCCGATTCAAGTAAAAACTACTGGGCCGATTTTAAAAAATCTTTCACCGTTAGAAAAGTAGTTTATCTGTGAGTAACATAGACTATGTTAACTAATATTTCCACAGCTAGTATTATATATTTTCAACGGAACATTTATAACTTAGTAAAATGTTTTTAAGGAACGGCAAAAGTAACGTATAGTAGCGTCTCATAGAGGTTACAGATTCAAGAATGTCAATAGACAATGAGTAGAGTGGCGGCCATTAACATCCACAGATAACCTAAATACAGGCACTCATTTGTCTATTGTTAAGAAAGCGCTTGTGAATAGATTTTGGTGGGAAATCGAGATGTATCTCGACTCAAACTACATGTTAAAACTCTAATGTACTGTTATTTACTTACTGTTTTTTTTAAATTTAGTTAATTATAGTTTATCCCATTACTTCTAATAACAGTGCAATTTCGTCTACTATAAAATAAGTTTTGTTTTTCTTTCATAGACGTTTCATAGAGATTATTTAAACTATGAATGCAGTGGCTTTTTGTATTATTTATGTCCGTATTTATTTCACTGGACGCTCGCCTAACAACATTGCTCTAATCTGTACAATAAATAAAAAACAAATCGAGGTCATTGACCGGAGACAGATAGACTATAACTCGCGTTCTACTGTTGATATTTTCTTTATTAAAATTGAATTTATTTAAAACTAGCTTCAGCTAGTGACTTCAGCACATTATAATAAAACTTAGTAGTTACGTTATTTCAGAATGTAATCTTTTTTTCAAATTTCATTAATCTGTTCACCAGTTAAGTGAAGTTAGAGAGTTACCTTTCATCATCCACCAAAAGGAAGGAAGGCATTGGGAAAGGCCTATGTCCAGCAGTGGGCAGGTGAAGGCTGTTGATGATGATCCACCAAAAAAATCGACATGTATAATACAAATAATAGGAATTAGGATGTGGAAGCATGTATAACAATATATAATACTAGCTTTAGCTCGCGACTCCGCCCGCGTGGTATTAAAAAAAACAAAAGTGAATAGCCTATGTGTCCTTCCAGACTATCTTCTACATCTATACCAAATTTCATCGAAATCAGTTTAGCCGTTTAGGCTACAAACTGTAACAAACATCCATCCATCTAAACTTTCGCGTTTATAATATTAGTATGAAGTATGAAGTATGATAATAAATGAATCAATTATACTTGTCTTATATCAATTGTCTATTGTATTTAACAATTTGATTTTTTAACCTTTACTGCACATTCCGTCTCGAAGGAATTGAAGCAAATAATGATGTTATTGAATTTAAACAAATTATTATGACTTGTGGTTATTTAAAAAGTACGTACAGACCTACTTAAAGCTATATGTGTGAGTTAATTTTTATTATTTTTCGAACATAGTTACGTTCTGTCACAAATCGTATATAAATTAGAAGATTTTAGAATCACGTAATTTATGTGTAACATTTTATTAAAAGAATATATAACCTAAAAGTTTCAAATACAATAGTTTAAATATATGTATGTATACGCTAAATCTAGACAGGTAAGTAATAAGATATTTTTAATGATATTCATAATATCCAGTGGTCAAAGAATTAAAACATGTGTATAACTTAACAGTGGCTATTAGTGTAATATAGATATTATTTTTGTGTACTCGTTTTTGTCCTGTCATCGTTCACTACACGCTTAAAATCTTTTACGAAATAGTAATGTCGAAACATTGCGCAGAAAGTCCGAGTGCGGAGAAAGTATCGGCCGGCGGGGGGGCGAGGCCGCGGGGAGACGCCGCCAGGGGAGGGGAGACGTCATCGAATTTGCGACAAAACACTTTCCTACTTGCCCGCCGACAATCGATTCCACGCAATCGTTACGAAGCGATTAATCGATTTAAACTAAATCGATTTGAACATTCGATTTAATTTGAATATTCAAATATCAATAGCTATGTAAATACAATTTTATCATATGATAATAGAAAAGAAAGTAAACTCCTTTTAGTTTTCTCTGTCATTTGCATAGTTACGTGTTGGAATGTAACTTAGTTACTTAAGTAAGTGACAAAAATTTATTTCGTCTGCAAACTATTTTACTGTAGCAAAAGCTACAACTGACTTTTAAATCTTTCAATATTATGAAGTACAAAGAGTTTGAAATGTTAAATTACCCTTGGCCTCGAAGAACAGACTAGATTGGACCTCATGCGGAAGGGTATTGCATGAGGTCGGAAAAGTATTGTAATTGTACATGATTAAATGATTTTTAGAGATAATTTGTTAAAATTAAGTGCAAATCTCTTCTTTTTTCTATATTTAAGAGAATAAACGGGGTATGTCTCTGTTATAATAAATCATTGGATGTACAAGTTATAGAATTAAAAATGTATTATGCATAAATACAGTTTTGAAATGTTTGTTTACATGAAAAAGAATATCATCGAATAAGGTAATAAAGTAAAATATTCTGACATTTAAAAATTGGTTAGCAAAGTTATCTTGATTTTTTATTTATCGATGTTTTCAATTATAATAAAAATTTAAATGCATTTTATAGTAAACTAGCTATCGCCCGCGACTCCACCCTCGCGGAATTAAAATAGTTGAGTAGCATTCTTCCAGATAATGCGCTACATATTTACGAAATTTCATGGCGATCTATACAGAAGTTTAGGACATTGTAACTAAAATGATCCATCCTAAAATACAAACTTTCGCATTTATGATATTACATACAGTAAGATCATTTTATTTATTTTAATTTGAAATTGGATTGAAATCAATTAATTGATACATTTTATGTCTCGTTGAATTTATTGAATAATATCTCAACTGACTGAATTGTAATTAACCATGGTATAAAACCTTCGATATCACTACATTCATTGCTACTAAGATTCTCATTAGAAACCTTTTCCAAATGTGTATTAATTAGGCTACTTACTTACTTCAAAACTTTACCTATATTACTACATATTTAAAAAAAATAAAGGACATATGGGATATTAACATTCCTAAATAAATAAGGACTTGTAGTGTTGTGTTTTACTAATCAATAGATACTTTTACAAATAAAAGACTTAAACGGGAGTCAGTGATACACGTTCGCACAACACACGCCGACACGACGCGGCAATGTGGAGCGTTGTAACGGAAGTTATTTCAAAGAGAAATCTCATAAAACTTTAAGAAATAACTATGACGGTATCTACGACAAATCTATTCTACATTCTTGCCGAAATATACTATATATTCACATTATTGTATTCTCAGAAGCGATGTTTTTTTTTTTCATATGAGAAAAATAAATAAAAATTTTATAAATATCCAATTGGAATTTAATTTAGGCCCTTCTTATGGTAACTTTGGTATGTGGAACTATTATTCGCATTGCGGAATACAGAGCGGAAACGTCTCCGTTGTAACAAGAACACCAAATACGCAAACTCGATTTTCAATTCATACAACGTGCAACCTAAAATCCACAAGACTGTTACGGTCGCTAACGCATGCAAGTGGGTGAAAATTTGACCCAAAACAAGGCATCTCGGGCGGGAGAAAGTTTCTGGTGTACTGACCTGATATAAACGAACTGATCCCATTCTGTGCGCTCGCCGGGGTCAGTATCCCCAGGAGCAGGAGGGCAGCACTGACGCAAGTCATGACTGTCACTGTCACCTGTCACTGTCAAAGAGCTGCCGCAGCGCGCATGGCGTGGCGACCGGTCGCCGCGTCGCCTGATCGAGACTGACGAGCCCCGGTGAAAGAAAGAAAGGCGTTCGCAACATCACATAGACCAACGTTCGCCGGCTTTCACACTACACATTAATTTTACTGCCTACAGACTATACACCTCTCAGACCCCATGTAGCCATTACTACTTGAAGTCGCCTCCTCATAGGCAGACCTTCATTTATCACTAAAAATGTGCACTACCAGCAGCAGTTTTAAATGGGAATTTGTGTTCCATTTCTAAAATTAATTTATATTAACTAGGTACATTCTGTAGAGGGAATCTGAGGAGACAAATGGTATTGGTAGTGCACTAACCTCGAGTTAGATTCAAACATTCATAGCTCTGAAGCTATTCATAGCGCTGAAGCTACTCTAGTATTAGCGTGTTTAAAACATGTCTAACAGTCATTAACATGTGTGTTATTTCAATATTTATATGTCGCTTCTGCATTAACGTATAATCTTTGAAGGAATTATCACTGTTTAACGGCGAACAGGTAGGACGACGTAGCGAAGCGGCGAGTACTTGACGGTCACCATCAGACCATCACCACTATACACGTTTCACGAACTACGCTATCGTTGATAAGTCGCTTAACATCATAGACTGTCTACTGAGCAAAGACCTATCCAACAAGGGACTTATGTTTTTTTTAATTCCATTAAGTTACAATAAATAAAGCATGTGATCTTCAACTTATCTTTAGGAATGCTAAAGTATGACAACGCAAACAACAGTCGTCTAGTCCCACATTATCTACAATATTTAGGGTAACTTAAATTAAGTTCATTAAGGGATTAGTAGTGTGTTACTATTTCTACGAATAGAATAGTAAGTTAGTGATAATTTTTACGATATACTACAGAATTACTTAGTTCACTAAAAATATACTCGTAAATCTCTAAATAAACATATTAAAGAACGCCGTGATCCAGAAATACGCTATTTATTAATAGTTCCTCAATATTAGTAACAATTAGTAGCCTATGTTACTCACAGATAAATTACCTTTCTAATTTTGAAAGAATTTTTAAAATCGGTTCAGTAGTTTTAGCGTGAATCAACATACAAATATCCAAAAATACAAAATCTTTCCTCTTTATAACATTAGTATAGAAAAACTATATAATGAACATGCTGATTAAGCAATGACTAAATGTCAATTTCCCGGATTTGAACCCGCATACCTTTGTCAAACGTCACTAACCCAAGGTCTTACTACTTATCTAAATATAATAAAATCTACAAAAGCTACAATCGATTCAGAGTTAAAAAAATTATGTATGTAAATTTTAAATTTGAAACCGTTATAAATAAAACTATCTAAGTATACTAAGAACTTATCAAGAATTCGTGAGAACGTGTTCGTAACGTCATCGAAAAATTGTATTAGATTTATGCAGCGCCCCTACCAGCCGTAAAGTACATCAACAAATCTCATACAAATCGTATCGAATACGTTCTTTCGTGATAGAACCTCTGTTGATGTGTGGTCGATTGAGCTCAGGAATTAGTAATACTTATTAGTAATAACGGTTATAAAACTGGAAAAGAATAGGTCTAATACCTAACAACTAGAGAATCCCATAAATATTTACGATTCAGTACATACTAATGCAATATATTAACTAATTCCTTCATCATTTTTTGTTAAGATCATAGGACATAGGCGTCAAGTCTATTGCATTATTATAGTTAAGTAGTTTTTGTAACTATTTTACATTTGAATTCTCGACTACAGATCGCAATGAAATCTTATTCCTATTTCCTACAATATTATACATGCGAAAGTTTAGATGGATGTTAGAGATTGTAGCTATTGGCTGAACAGATATCGATGTAATTTGGCATAGACGTAGGGGATAGTCTGGAAGAACACATAGGCTACTCACTTTTGTTTATCTTAATTCTACGCGGATAGACTCGCGGGCGACATCTAGTATGTACATTTAAATATACGACAGAAAAAATTAACTTCTTCACAGTAGGGCAATAAATAGCAGAAGTTATTATGAGTACTGTAAATGTATAAAGGAAGTTCGGGTCATTTGTTGTTCATAATTAACGGCCACATTTCAGACCTCCTGCGGGTCAGTTGATAACTTAACGGTGCATTTGAAAATGGAATTCAGATGGTATATCATTATTAACTGAATTATAATTTTTATACAAGCGGATGCCCGTAACTCCGTCAGCGCGGAAGTTTAAAAAGTTAGTCGCTAATAAATGATCAGGTTCTGTTTAATTCTAATAAACTTGGTCGTAATTACAAAGAAACCAAAGTAAAAATTTCTTATTTTTCAAATGAGGGAAATGTTAAAATCGTATATCCCAGCAGTCGTAACTAAAACTCTATTCTCTAATTTAAAATTATGGATGTAACTAATTTTGTACGTGGTACGCAAACTGTTCAAAACGCATGAATTACGTTGGTAACGCCACGCCGTTAGATGTCTTGTTACGGCCACGAACAAATATAACGGTGATCGACTCGCGCCAACTCGCACTTTCTCCGCTAAACGCTAATCAAATCTATCAATAGTCAATAGCATGTGACAGGATCGAGCAAGTCATTCATACTTAGAGCGCCCACCTTGGACTAAACTATCGCACAACTGTTGTGCGATTGTCGATTGTTTCACAACCAATTCAACTGTGCAAACCAATACTAAAAATCGAATAGTGTGCGTTAAAAGGTTAGCATGGTAGAGGCATGTTATGAGGGATGAATCGCATGTTACAAGGAGAACGTTAGTAACGAGTTTGGAAGGGTACATCGGTAGAGGTAGACCTAGAAAGAGATGGATGGATTGTGTAAAAGTTTAACTTAAAACTTTGTTATTGAAGGGGTATTTTCAGAAACATTCGATGCGGAAAAAAATCACTCCAAAAAAAGTACAGTCATCACACTTCGCGGTGTTCTTTAGTGAAATATTGCCTTATTCCTTGCAATGAGACGCCTCTTACAAATACCTATTTATGTAGCGAATTTTGAAAACAACGAAATGATAAGCAGCCTTGGACTACTGATCATTTTTGTACATACTTTTAAAAGCTGTGCCCAGTGATTTTGCGTTGTCGTCTTAATGTGTACAAACCGATCAAACGACTTCAATTGTTAATGTGGAACACAGCCAAAATCCCTCACAGTACATAAATAGTGTGTCTAAATAATTTAGATTAGTTTGACATTTCATTTCAAATTTTGTAGGGATGTGTTGTGTAAAATCAGTCATGAATCTTATCAATTTTCGATTTGTATTCTTATCGAAGTTGGAATCCATAGATTTATTGTTATAACTAATGAAATAAAAAAACACTGTTTTCTCAAATTAATAATGACCATAACAATTAGTGAGAGTAAATAAATGTTTATTACTACTACAGCCGTACGTAATCGAATTGGATTTCGCTATTATTTCTGTCATCGCTAAATTCTCTACACTATAATCAATACTAGAATTGTCCTCTAAATTAGTGAATAAGAAAATAATAATTTTAGTTGAGTTTGATAATTATTTAAACCGAATATCGATAGTTCAAAATTGTTCGCTGTGTGAGTTTGTTTCGTCACTAAGACACCTGTCTATTAAGTATGGTATTTGCCTTCATACAAATTGAATTCGATACTTCATATGCGTCATTTATCATACTAACCTATTTTATCTTATTTAGACAAACTATACCATATTTTTTAATGGTTTTGTGATAGACAGGTTATATTTTGACCAAATGGAATAAAAACACATTGGATAAGAAAACTTCGTTTAATATTATTTTTATTTTAACGTATTTCGGTTTAAAATGAAAAACAGTTTCAATATTCACAGAAATGTAATATTGAATAACATTTTTTTTATATATTATTTACAAAAAAAAAACAAAGGTAAGCAAAAAGTGTTTAACAAAATAACTTCTGTATTTTATCTTTTACAATGCGAAAGAAAATCTATTAATACAGAATTACTGAGAATAGGAGACATTGAGTTAAGATAATAAAGAAATTATCAATAAAAATATTTTTTTCTTATAGCTCTCAACTGCAGTTTATTTTTTTCATACTGTTTGCATACAAAGTAATTTTTTTTTGTTCTCTTTTGAACAATTAAATTTAAATTTTACAAGTTTATTTATTCCTATATTTATTTTTAATGTCTAATATAGCTAAGTATCATTTACAATTTTTTAATATTTGAACTGTTTATCTTATTTTTTATACAAAAAAAAAACTACACTGTCCTTATTTGAAATTGTCATATTAAAGTTACAAAAATTATGTCACAACACAGTTTTAAACTAATATTATGTACGCGTTATATGCATTTTAATAATAAGATTTACCAATAACTTTTCTTCTGTATGGTTACTTATTTGTAAAAAAATTTCGTATGTCAGAGAAAAAATAGAAAATCATCTTAAAGTATAAAATGTTAAAGGCAATTATATTAACTGTATACAAAAAAATCACTGAGTATTTTAAAAGTAATTTAATAAAAAGAACAAAAGAATTTTATATAAAATTCTTAATAATTTAAAGCAGAAATCAACCTAACTTCTACCCACAAAGAAATGTTACAACTTTAAGACCAAACAAAATGAATGAAACCTAGTATTTTTATAATGTGTACCATTTTACTATTTTCATGAATTTGGGACTTGTTCTGTTTACCTAACAAAATATCTAACCAGTTAGGCAACAAGAATTTTTTTTTTCGTTTTAGTAACCGCTAGGGTTCACACACTTTTCTATTTTCCGGGCCATCTAGTACTATTATTATTGATTGATTTTGCATATTCGAGGCCTTACGTTGGTTTGTCGCCTTATGGTATAAAAATATAAAATAATAAAAAACGCGACCAAACCTAAAATGTCATTCAGATCGATATTAAATTGCGCTAGTTATGTGGTGTTGAAATCGACAGCTGATAATTTTAACATGGGATTGATGGCATGAAACTAGCAAAGTGTACCCACCCTAGCAAAAAAACATAACTCGTTACAAAAACGTAAAAAAAAATCTTATTATCTAACTGGTTAGGTAAATTTAATTAGGTAAACGGAATCAGTCATTTTTCGTATATAAGATAATTTTAAAGTATATGCCACTTTATGTCAAAAACATAGATTTATACTTCTAGATGGAGTATTTAGAGAATGTCACTTATGCATATTAGAAAACCCTATGGAGGCTTTTTGGTGGTAAAATTCCCTATAGTTATTTACATAAAAAATAAACGAAATACAATTTCGTGTTCTTTAATTTTATTTGTTAATTTCAAGTAAAGTTTAATAATATTTTTAAAACAGTAATTAATAATTTTATAGCAACATTACAAGTTTTACTATACTTTTAAATGTCATATGTTAGATGCTCCATCTAGAGGTATCATATCTATGGACATTTGTTATATTTACTAATGTCATATTTGCAAACTTAACAGATCTACATAATTGTATAAAACTTATAAGGAGTCCTTAACACAAACCTTGTAAAGTTGTAATCCTTAAGAAATTAAAAAGAAAACACCCAAATACTCGATATGTCAAATTATTTAGACTTTGTAACTCAAAACATAAGCTATTTTATTTATACTTGCAAATAAATCAGACTACAAAAAACACAAGATAATACCTACTTAGAATCCCCCGTCAAATACTTCTTAACTTGAAAACTTAGTAAATTTTTAGTATTTTTCTCCAATATATCAAGAATGCACTTTAATATTAAATATAGGTAGATAGTAGACAGTAGATAAATCACTTGAGGTTAATTTTCACACACTTTACACTGTTTATATCTTTGGTGGAGAAATTTTCAGTTTTTTTTACACTAAACACTGTCACAATCTATTTCCATTGCATTCTTCATATACATGTCTAATTCCTTATCCAGCACTGACTTGGTGCTGGCCATGTACTGGTCCAGTTGGGCGTCTAATTCCTCTTTTGTTGGCACTTTCTTTACATTCATTTGATTCCTTGTAATACCACCTGTAAATAAATAAAAATGGCTCTACATTACTACTGATTATATCTTTCCGTTGTTAAATTTTACTAAGTATCCATAACATAATAAGTGAAAATGAAAATGAAAAAAATATTTATTAAACCAAAAAGATTGTACAAAACAAATAACTTTGACAATACCTTAAAATTATACATACCAGAAAGTTAAAAATAGTCGTTATTTTAAGTTATTCTAGCTAAGCTTATCTGGTGATGGCCACACTAGACAATGCCTGTATCGTGGCCACCGGAAGTAGAAGTAGCCCAGAGGAGTAGGCAGAAACTTGATAAATCCATCTCACTTCTAAATTTATACATTTTTGTATACATTGTTTTGTGTTCTCTTAATTATCTATACTAAAATTATAAACAGAAATCTTCAGATTTTGAATGTATGAAACTCAAAAACTACCGAACCAATTCTAAGAACAAGCTACTTTCTCACAATTTTAAAATATCGTAGAAAATTGAAAAAATAATATTCCATGCATCTATCTATACTATTATAATAAAGTGTAAACACACACTTCTTTGTTTTGTTGCCTATGATGTCAGCAATTACTGCATGTTTTTGAATAATTCTTCTTTTACTAAAAAGCCCTACACTTACGTCACACTTTAGGCTATATATTTTTACGCCATTAAACTTAAGGGGTAAACATTTTGGATAAAGTCTCTAATGTGGGAAAGAGACCATAAGTTGCTGCCAACATCAAGAAAGAAAGATTGCTAAGGTTTATCATGTCATGTCATTTTGACATTTGTTGTTGACAATTTGACACATGTAAACAATAAAATTTTCATAATTTCATGCGGATGAAGTCGCACAGGAACAGCTAGTTATATAATACAATCTCTTAGTACAAACAATCATTTTACTAGAGTTAAAAATATAATTTGCAATCGGTATACCTTTGCCTCGTCCGCGCGTTCTTCTGCGTCCGTTCTGTTTGCGCTGAGTGCGTGTGTGCGGCTTGTTGGCCGCTCGGCCCAGCCCCCGCAGCAACTGCATACCGCCACTGACAAATAATACATTAAACACTGCTAAATGTATATCTATTCAATTTAATCTGCTAAATTAGAGAGAGTAACTTCAGAGATATGTATAGCCAAGAAGATAAAATACATGGCCCGAGGGTGCTTCAATCACCTTCAATATGGTCAATTAGTTCCATATATTTTCATTCACATGACATGGTAGTGACATGGTAGAGCCCGCTTTAACATCTTCGCACGAATGGGCCGGCTCGCCCGGTGTAATACCACCACCACACAGAAAATAGGCGTGAAGTGGAAGCAATTCAGCGTTTCGTCGGATGAGTGTTGTGCCGGAGCCCTAATTTTATCCCTTTCCTTTTCCACCCGTTTCTTGAGAGGAAAGGATGGGAAGGAAAAGTGGATTTGACAGTGGAGGAGACGTATAGAAAGGGAAAATTTACTCTTTATGTGCATCTCCTCCTCCGTTAATTAAGGGTAGGCAACGCATCTGCAATTGCGGATGTATATGGGCATTTCAGTGGATTTAGGTGGCCGCTTGCTCGTTTGCCACCTTATATTATAAAAAAAAAACAAGTTTCTTTTCTGGTTAAATTTTACATACTTCTTCATACATTATTTACATTACAGAAAAATACAATGCTTCTATTTACCGTAATCTACTTCTGGGTGTACCCACTCCCCTGCCTCGACGTCGGAATGCTTGCCCAAAAATGTTCCCTTGAGATAGATTGTTAAATGATGCAGAACGACTGAAAGGTGAATAAAAAAGACATTTTTAAGTATCATTGTCACTAATAGATCTGTAACATCAACTGCTGATTGACCAATGTCCATCTACTACACAATACAATGGTTAAAAAATTGTTTATGACTAAAAAAGTTAATAATTTTTTTAATTTTAAATTTAAAATCTTATACAAAATAAGGAATAAAGATATATGTGAATAATAAAAATAAAAATGGGATAACATATTATATAAAAAAACAGAATATGTTATCCCATTATTCATTGATAATTATTTTATTTTATTTTATTTCGTTTTTTATAAAAAATCATGTAAAATATATTATATATAAAAATAAGAAATAACAGATATGAGAAGAATGGGATAATAATAATTGTTTATTTATTTTGAATAACAAAGATTCCAAGTTAAACTGATGGAATAAGCATGAGCAACAATAGAGATGGAATAAGCAAGTGGTTGGCAGTTTATAAAACCATATAAAAACAAACTTTCTTTCAAGCAACACTTATAAAACCTTATGCTAGGCTAAGGCCAGGAATAAAATTAATTTCAATGAATATTTTATTAAGTAATTTTGTCCAGTAGAGAGTAATAAGTCTACATTTTCTTTTTATTGTCAGGTTTTTAATTCAAAAATTAATATTAATACTTGATAAATTACCTTAAATTATTATTAGAGTTTTGCCAGAACACTCTGTTTTTTATATTTTGCTTTCCATTTAAGCTGCTGAAGCTGTTTGCGCGCCTCAGAGCAGGCATGTTGTTGTCACTGGCAAACTGTTGACGCTGAATATTCATTCTGAGACGCTGTTTTATTGCTTGCTATAAAAAAAGAAACATCACAGGTTGTTCATTATATATTAACTTCTTCACTGTGTAATGAATAAGATTCATCTATTAATACGAAAACATAAATCTTGTACTCAGTGGATTAATTCCACAGCCGAAGCTTATTACATTTGTAAACTGTTAAACATCTTAAAAAAAAGATAATCAACAGAATTTAAGTGAAATAATAAGTTGAAAATACATAGAAAATATACCCTTTTAGCTTGTTGTATCTTTCTAGCTATCTGTTCTATGAGATCTTCATCGTCAAAGTTAAGGTTTTGATTTAAAATATTGCCGATGTTTCTTCTTGCCTGCGGATTCCTCGTACGTATCAAACGTTCTGGAACTACTGCAGCTAACATTGTGAACCGATCGTTCAGGCTTATGTTTGTCGCGCTTAAACCATATACTTTTTCTATGAACATTTTGTATGGTAGATACACTCCAATACACTGCTAATCACTTGTTTACATAAGTAATTATGCGAATAAAAATAAATTGTGGAAAAACAGGGTACTTCGAAAAAAAATACATCGACTTCAGCTATTGGAAATATTTTTTCACAACGCCGATCGCGCGAAACGCGGAATCAAATTGGTGCATTTCAAAGTCAAAGAGTAAATGTCATCTGTCAGTTTATTTTATCTGTGCGAACTTTCTGGTAAAATTAACATTGGAAATTGAAATTACTTGATTAAGAAACAAATGAAAAAGCTCAAATCTTCATATACTTACACTTTCACTGTTGTCACATTTAAGTGCAACCCTAAACACTGCTCTTATCGTATTCATCTTGTCCTGCATCCTTTATCTAGCCCATTCAACTGCCTTCAACCGTGACCATTTATATTTTACTTGAGTTTTTGGCTACATTGCATTGATGAACATTTTTTGTTTAATTAAAGTTAAACATTTCAAAATCAATAATCGTCATACTTTATATTTATGGTGTGTCCAAACAATTTAGATTAGTTTGATAAATGACGCATATGAAGTACCGAATTCAATATATATGAAGTCAAATGCCATACTTAATAGACAGGTATCGTAGAGTCGAACAAACATATATAGCAAACAATTTTGAACTATCGATATTCGGCTTAAATTATTAACAAACTCAACTAAAATTATTATTTTCTTATTCACTAATTTAGAGGACAATTTTATTTATTTACTCTTTAGACATTTATTTACTCTCATTATTTGTTATGGTCATTATTAATGTAAGAATGCAATGTTGATGTTTTTCTTTCATAAGTTATAACTATAAATCTGTCGATTCCAACTTCTATAAGAATAAAAATCGAAAATCGATAAGATTCATGACTGATTTTACACAACTCATCCCTACTAAATTTAAAATGAATTGTCAAACTAATTTAAATTATTTAGTTACGCAACTCTTGTGTTGGTGTTGCATAATTGACATTTAAGCTGTCTAGTCATTCTGACATTGACGTTTATGTTACTTTTCAAGACAGGAAGACTGAAAACACGGAACTAGGTAATTCGCTGTGAAATTAACCGCAAACCTGAATTAAAACACTGTCGGTTTAACCTCGTAATTAAAGTTTCGGGCTGTCGGCACTGCAAGTTGTCGTAATACGGCATTTTTGTAGCATTGTTATTTGTTTATGCGGATCGTGGTGCAACCCCAACAATGTTGATTTGCCTTAAAAGCGAGCGCTGCGAAAGCAGACCGCTCATTTCGATCAAACCTACGATGTCGGACGTTGACAACGGCTTCCCAGTCGACGAAGTTTGCTTGCTCGATATGGACGCTTGCTATGAAACATTTGACAAGGATGGGTATGTTACCATCTCTTATGTCATCTCGTAAATGTATCAGCACCATGTAAACACATTCAAACATCACTCCCATTATCAATGATTACTAATTTTAATGTTTCAGCAGTTTTTTTGATGACTTTTATACTTGTACATTTATAATAAAAGTCACTTGTTTATTGATCTGAAAACTAAGGTATTCCTAAGGGAAAAAGAACTTAAGACTTAAGACTACATTTCATATACTTTATTGCGAATTTAGGGTGTATTTTAATAAGTAAACAAACATCCAAGTCTTGTAGGAATTCATAATATGAGGTAATAAAGAAGCAACTTCTTAGCTTTTTTGTAGCTTTTAAAAATTATGACATTAAAGCTTCATTGTAAATTTAATTTTTTTAAGATAAATTTAAATAATACTCTGGTTTCTAAATCTTTTAACAACATTTAATCCTAGTCTAAATTTATTTAATTTATTAAATTAATTTCGAATAAAATTGTCTTTAAATTAACATTTTTACAGCACATAACATACATTTTAAAGAAATTTCCCATTAGACTCAAACTAAAATTTATTAATGCAGCTATATGCAACAAATATAGAGAATTAAGAACAAATTAAAACAAAAATGAGATTATTTATATCCTGGTTAAATATCTCTTCTGGCAGAACTGTGTTAAAAATCCCATTATCGTTACATAAGGGCTATATACTGGGGATAATAATTCTTATTAAGAACTATAGATGTATTATGTGTTTTTTTTTTAGAAAAAGCATTGGTAGATTTTTGTTAATCATACTATCTAATATTATAAATGTGAAAGTTTAGATGGATGGATGTTTGTTAGTTTGTAGCCTAAATGGCTGAATGGATTTCAATAAAATTTGGCATAGACATTGAGGATAGTCTAGAAGAACACAAAGGCTATTCACTTTTATTTTTGTCAATTTCATGCGGACGGCGTCGCGGATGAAAGCTAGTTTATTAATATTTCCTTTAACCATTCCAACTGAGCTGTAGACTTGTGCTAGGATGTGTTTCACGATGCTCTCGTCGTAATGGCGGGATTCGAACCTTCGACCGTAAAATCGGTAGTCCGTACCACATTACACTATTGGCGCTTTTATTTCTGATGTAGTTATGGGTGCAGCAGCTTTAAACTGTGTGTATTCAGCTGTGAATCCTCTTGTGTCCCTTTGTGTAGAATAAACCACGCTAAAGATATATGTACTTTGAATAGCATAGACCTCATGATTTAGCTCATAACAATAAAGAAGAGCCAGTATAACATTTAAGGCCTGTCCCACCATTGGCTGATAGAGGGTCAGATAGCTCAAAATGACATCACTGTCAGATAAGGTAACAAAATCCCATATTTCCATCGCATAATTTTACGTGTTGGATTAATATCAGACAATTTATAATATGGTGGGACAAGTCCTTACTATACAAAAAAACTGTTGATCCTGTTTAGTTGAATATGTGTTTAATTTAAATTATGTTAGTTTTTGTTAATTCTTATCATTTATCATCATCATCACCATCACCTCACTATACGTCCCCACTGATGGGCACGAAGCCTATCTCAAGTTAAGGGTGACTTAAATTTTTACTTTTCGTAATATTTTTATCTATTTTCCTGTTGTTCTCCACATTACTTAGACTTACTTAGTTTGTTATTATTTTACTTATGTTATGAATATGAATGTTTGGTTGTCACGAAACTCTAGAACAGCGTGGATAAAATTTGGCATTGAACATAGACTGGAGGAACGCATAAGCTATTTTTTATCCCGCGTTCACGGAGTCGCCGATAGCTAGTTTAAATATTGACAAATTTCCTAGATTAGACGAATTTGTGATTTACCGGGTTTCCTAAAATTTTCTTCTACAAACTCATAAATACACAGGTATAAAGAGGCGCACAAACACCCTTTATAGGCCCCGAGTTGTCCTACTTCATCCAACCTTAACGTCAGTACTGGTATCGATATTGAATTTGGTGTAATCAATAACTAATACCTTGTTTGTGTAATCATGTTGCAATAACCATGATTGGATTTAAATCAACGCCGCGCGGTCATAGTAATGGTTATAATATCTACCTGCGATAAAGGATTGACGTGTGTGCAACAACCAACAACATTATTGAATCACCACCTAGACTTAGTTCCGATCGAAATCATGTTTTATTCAAACTTAGAATATTAAACAAACTCATAAAACCCGCTACCAAGCCTAATTCATATAGTTTTCTCCAAGACGAAGTTAGAACTGACAGATCTACGTCTTTAGTGGACTTTGCACGAGCTATAATTTTCTATACTAATATTATATAGGAAAGATTTGTATTTTTGTGTATTGAAGTAACTCAAAAACTACTGGGCTGATTTTAGAAATGTTCGCACCATTAGAAAGCTACGTTATCGCTGAATAACATAGGCTATATTTTTAAATTGTACGTGGAACAAGTCACGAGAAACAGCTAGATAAAAATGATTATATAACGCACGTTATATGATAACAGAACTTTATTTTACTCTAGCGATGGGCAGCTGAACTTCGACGAGTTCCGTCTGATCTGCAAGGCGTTGTTTCGGAATGATAAGGGGCACATTTACCCCCTGCCTGAGGACAAGGCGCGCCACGTCTTCCAGATCTTTGACAAGAATGATGATGGCTTCATTGATAAAGAGGAATTCACCTTTTGTTGGAATCATTGGATTAAAGTTGTAAGTTTTATTCGATTCTGTTAAGAGCCAGTATTCTTAAGATCGCTACAGACGATGAAATTTTCAACAAAAGAGGTTGACTGTTCAGTTCAAACTGCCAGAATTAACGTCTATAGCAGGCTTTATATTGCTAATTACCTTGGGATAGTTGGTTTGGATCCCGCTATCACTTTCATCAGATAAAACGTTAAAGTCATTCGTACTTGAATGGTGTATTTTCAGTCTGAGTCTACCAATGTTTAGAAGTGACTGTTCCCCAGATCGTGCGTCCTGTGAGCGCCTTCCTGGTAGTGGATGTGCAGAACGACTTCATCTCCGGCACTCTCAACATCAGCAAGTGCAACGCGCAACAAGATGGCAGTGAGGTAAGATATAGTCCGATGTATTTATGCGACCCGGTGGACATTACACTTGCATACAATAGTCTATTAGACCAGTAAATAACACATTTTAAGCAAGATTCTATTGAAACTGTGTTGTCTTTTGTGTGTAATTTTGACTTCTATATTATATACAAGCATTCGCCCGCGGCCCCGTACATTTGAAAAATGAAAAAGTACTTGTTCTGCCTTAAACTTAACTTAAACTTTCGCATTTATAATATTAGTAAGATTAGTAAGATAGTAAGATATTATGATTAGTATGTTTATGGAAACTTTCGTAAGACATTATAAAAAAAAAAACCAAATACCTCAGTTAAGCCGTCTAATTCTTTTCAGAATGTGTTAATGAATTGTAAAAATCTTGTTTGTTTTTGCTTGCTGTTGTACTTGTATATATTTATAATTGATAGTTACCGTGTACCAATTAACTGTTGACGCAAATACATGCTCAAGTGGCTCGCCTATCAATCGATCTAACTTCCTCCTATGATTACCGCTATACGCGGAAACCCTTAGTTACCTGCGTTTATAAACATACTGAGTTATGCCCGCGACTCCGTGCTCGCGGAATTAAAAAACTTAGCAGTTAACCTGTATATGTTCTAGACTTCTACATCTGTGCCTAATTTAATGGATATCCGTTCAGTTTTGACATAGTTAAGATAACTTCTAACAAACAACCATAAAAACATGCAAACTCTCGCATTTATATTAGTAAAAATAAGATTTAATTTCAATAAATTGGGTTTAAAATAACATCAAATAATGAAAACTAAAAAATCCGCGACTTTTACCATAGAAATGTAACCATTAAAGTAAAATATGACTCAAGTAAAAGCCTAAATAACTTTGAATAAGTTTGCATGCCGCTGAAAGCATTTGAAACTTTTGAAAAAAATGGAAAAGCTCGTTATAATCTCAACTTATACCTGAAAATTGCTCAAGTCATTCCCTTGATATGTTTATAGTCAATCTAGATTTTATATTATTTCTAGATTTTACACATTCGACTTTTTAGTTAGTTGTTTGATTTATCTTTTGACTAAATAGTATAAAACAATGTCGCTTCCCACTGTCTATATGTATGTATGTTTAGATATCTAAAACTAAGCAACAAATTTTGATGCCGTTTCTTAATCATACTTCATTCTATCATAGAAGTTTGAAGATATTATAAATGCGAAAGTTTAGATGGATGGATGGATGGATGGATGTTTGTTACAGTTTGTAGCCTAAACGGCTGAACAGATCTCGATGAAATTTGGTATAGATGTAGAGGACAGTCTGGAACACAGACTACTCGCTTTTGTTTTTTATTTTAATTCCACGCGGACGTAGTCGCGGGCGAAAGCTAGTAGAGTTATACAAGAGGAATGTTTAAATGTAATACAGTAGAGATATACTGATATTTAGAAGTTTCTAAGGTGATTAACACAATTTCGTATCAGCAATGGATCCGTGCGAAGCCGGGGCGGGACGCTAGTGAGTAATAAAATTAACTGATGCCGATTTTTTATTGAGTTTTTCGTAGAAGGAAAATATGACCACTATTTTTCTCTGTCTTACTAATATTATAAATGTGAAAGTTTAGATGGATGGATGGATGGACATTTGTTACAGTTTGTAGCCTAAACGCCTGAACAGTTTTCGATGAAATTTGGGATAGATGTAGAGGATATTCTGGCAGAACACATAGGCTACTCACTTTTGTTTTTTTTCAATCCCATGCGAGCGGAGTCGCGGGCGAAAGCTAGTTCATACATAATAGTATCAAACAGTATATATAAACAGTTTATGTATTATCATCATTTTATTTTAATTTACAAGACATTGAGTAAAAAATAGGCATTTCCAATGTAAATTGTGAAACTTAATTTTCTTTTCCCAATACTGACAGAATTGAAATTAGGCTCGCGTGTTCAGCAGGCCTAAGTTTCTCCGGCCCTGTGCATACCGCAACTTATCGGTTACTTGGCCAACTTTAACCTTTCAAAAGTGCAATTAATCAATGTTTTTGGAACTAACCCAAGACTTATGTTTCGTGTTGGTAAAGTTTCAATTACTTTCCAAATTACTTCTGTACATTTCATTATACTAATATTATAAATGCGAAAGTTTGAATGGATGGATGGATGTTTGTTAGTTTGTAGCCTAAATGGCTGAACGGATCTCGATGAATTTGGAACAGGTGTAGAAATTGATTATTTTTCCCTTAAAGCTCCGAAATTACTAAACCGTAAACCGATTTGAAATATCATTTACCATTAGAAAGCTAGGTTACTAACATAGGCTAGACTATATTTCTTATTATATTTTTAATTTTGCCCGGACAGTGTCACCTAACTTATACTGTCAAATTATAGTTCGATTGCGTGAATCCATTCAAAACAATAACGAAACAAATAAAAACAATCTAAACCCATTTTTGGTTTGATATCAAATTTGCAATATTTTTAATGCTCGATATCGTTTACAACCATCCTATTTAAACAAGACCTAACCACAACCTAGTTAATAGACCTAAAATAAAACCTAATTCATATCTAAATTGCGACTCAATTTGAGTGACTGGTACTGACGACCGATTTATCAAACAAGTTTTGCTTTTTTCTATTACGTTATTCTCAAACGAGCATTTTTAGTTATTGTATAATGTCCTTGATATGACCTCAAACATTAAAAACCAAGCTTTAATAAATTGGATTTGCAGAATTGTCAGTTCTATTCTTTAAAAAAAATAAATACGTTTTTGCCTTTTAAAATTATTAATCATAGTCAACAGACACTTTGTAAATTACCAATGACTACCTATAATAACACTAGCTTTCTTCCGCGACTCATCCGCATAAAAAAAGCAAAAGTCTGTAACCTTTGTGTTCCTCCAGACTATGCTATGTGTGTGGCAAATTGAATCGAAATCCGTTCAGTGGTTAAGGCTACAAACTCTAACAAACATCCATCTAAACTTTCGCATTTATAATGTTAGTAAGATATTAGTAAGACTACAATTAAAGGCTCAACTGTAGTTCCTCTGGTGTCGGGGAACCTTAGATCTATTGCTCGTTTGCCCCTCCAGTTTAAAAAAAACTAAGTGTTCCAGTGCAATTTCGTCAGCATAAAATTATTTTAATGTTTACATGTGTCAAATTGTCAATAGCAAATCTCAAAATGACGTCATGACTTAGCAATCTTGCTTCCTTGATGTTGGCAGCAACTTATGGTCTCTTTCCCATTTTAAGGTTTTTATCCAAAATATTTACCCCCAAGTTTAATGGCGTTAAATATATAGCCTAAAGCGTTAAGTGTAGGGCTTTTTATGAAAAGAAGAATTATTCAAAAATATGCTGTAATTGATATCTTAGGCATCAAAGAAGTGTGTGTTTACGCTTTATTATAACTAGTATAGGTATAGATTCTAAGTAAACAATAAAAGTTACAAGTACTTGTAGAACCTTTCCACTGGTGTGATAATATAGCGTTAAGTTAACAAATGGCTTTGCCAGCTTTGATGTTTAACCTTACAAACGATAGCTATCGGTGTTGGTAATTACCGCGCCTGGTACCGCTCACAAACCCTCGCTACAGGGTTGTAGGGTTACTCGGCTTACGAACTATTCGCCTTTCAATCTGATAGTTTTGAATGACTTCCATTAACACTTAGATGAAGATAAACATTGTCTACGACAAGAATCACTATAAAATATACAACAAATTCGCTTCCCGCTGTCAGTCTGTCTGTCTCTATTAGGGATGTTGCGAATATTCGCATCCGCATCCGCAAATGCGGATCTTCCGCATAGATTTGGACATCTGCATCTGCATCCGCATCCGCATTAATCAGTGCGGATGTTCATGCGGATGCGGATATCATGCAAGTAGCCGGGCAGGGTTCCTAGCGAACAAATATTTAGTAGCCCGGGTTTAATTTTTGAACCTCTGCGTAATCGCCCTGAACCAGAAAAGGCGGCAATACTCCTGTTCATTAAGTATAATGCTCCTATTTTTAATTTTAATTACTAATTTACCAAAAGGTGTTTAACATACAGGGTTATTGGTAATTAGACGTATCATTTGTAAAAAATTTGACCCCTATATGCAATAACCAAAAGTTAACCGTTTTCGAGTAATCTTGATGTTTCGATTTTTTCAAAATAAGTCAAAATTGCAACTTAAAAAATTTATTTAAAAATAAACTATCCATGAAAACTTAATTTTTTCTTAGTCTTAGTCTTAGGAACTTAGTCTGCAGATTTTTTTAAAAACATGCCCGTTTCCTTAGCTCTCCAAAAAATGCATAATAACCAGGAACTTGTCCCCAGGTCACTGTAATAAACACATGATTTCAAAGGAATCGGGCGGTATTCGTACTCGAACTAATGTTGGTTTTGAAAACTCCCATAAAAGTATTTAAAAACCATAACAAACGTAAAATAAACCAAAAATACAAGTTTAAATAAATTGAATTAATGAAATTAACAATGAATATTAAAGTAACAATCAAGTTATTTTGAAGTTTCCCCTCGGCCATCCAATAATAAGGAAAATCGCAGCTATCACCTTTTCTATTCTATTTTCTATTTATGGCTCTCCCTCAGCGGATTGGGCAACAGCTATCACCTAACATTACCACCAAAATGTGAAGGTCATCCGTCCTTCTTGTATGTCATGCTTTGTCCTGTTACCAAAGGTGGGTTTTCGAAGAGATTGTTTTAATGACAGTTATTTATTAAACTTACTGGTTCTAAATTTTATTATGAATTTGTGTTTTTGGTTTATTTGTCGTTTGGCACTGTTTTTAATTACTTTTATGGGAGTTTTCAAAATCTACCGTAACTTTAGTTCGAGTACGAATACCAACCGATTCCTTTGAAATTATGTGTTTATTTCAGTGACCTGGGGACAAGTTCCTGGTTATTATGCATTTTTGGAGAGCTTAGGAAACGGGCATGTTTTAAAAAAAATCATCATCATAATGATTTTTTTCGTTTTTAAGGCATTTCAGTGGATGAGAATCTCGAAAAATATTGAATAATTAATTACTATATTATAATATTACTCGAAAACGGTTAACTTTTCGATTATGCATATAGGGGTCAAAATTATCACAAATGATCCCCTCTATTACCTCCTAACGGGAATACGTCTAATTACCAATAACCCTGTATACTAATGTTTGATTAATTACAATAAAAAAATGAATATTAATAATAAAGGCTGAAATGATGATCACGGTTTACATATTATCTTAACATCCGCATCCGCATCCGCGGATGTAAGCCCTCAAAACTCCGCATCCGCATTCGCATCCGCGGATGTGAAAAAATCAACATCCGCAACATCCCTGGTCTCTATGTATGCTTTACGATAGAGTGTTTTAAGAGGAAAATTTGTATGTTAAAAATATGCATTTAGTAAAGCAATACGGATAGATTTAGATGTTTCTAATACACTGTCTTAAATTAACACATTTTCGTATCAATATTGGACCGTGCGAAGCGGGGGCGGGTCGCTAGTCATGGATAAACTGTAGCTATGTGCGTTGATATTTCTTTAAATAGTACTTCAAAGTTAAGTGGACATTAAGGCGTCCCTTTAATATCAGTGTGATAAAACGCAACTAAGTTAACAGTAATAATGTTGAAAGGTTTTATTTCTGGAAACATGTTATGTTCATAGAACATTGGTTTATTGATTGACGTAAAATGACGTCAAAACACAATCGCTATTGTTGAGAAATGAATTGAATTTTGAATATTGGTATTGACTTATAGCGTAATTAATCGGACATGTATTTCTTGAAAATACCTTTTTTTAATTCAGTAAATGTCTTTTACGTTAAATTTGGTAGATATAAACTTATATGACAAAATTTACCCGCTTCATTTTCGTCTGGGTGGTAAATCAAGTCTTCATATCTTTTCTGTCATACATATCCTTCCTGTGGAAGTAAATATAGCCTATGGTACTCAGTAATCATCATCTTCCCAGCCTTATCCTACTCCCGTAGTGTCGGCGCGCCGGGATTTCGTCCTTCAAATAATTCTATCATCCATCATCTCGGTCATTACTTCCTTCTTGATGGCATCTTGTACTTGTACCACACTCATAATTAACGATTGATAAAAACGTGTTAATTCGGCTTTTTAATGATGAAAGTATTTCTGAAATCGGTATAGTAGTTTTTGAGTTATGTCAATACAAACAAAAATATAAATCTTTTCTCTTGTGAGTAGTATACTACCGTATAGAAGGTCTTTATACTACTGTATAGATGACCTTTACCTGGTTACTAATGTACATGTATGTATGTATTACAACACAATAGTTTCCGCTCCAATAGTCACATACAATCGTAACGTTGAATGACGTATTCTTTATAATTTGTAATGCAGTTTATATATGCATTTAATTTATCACTGGTATTGCGATGACTTCAATGATAACTGTAATACTTTGTTTTTACATTATTTTAATTTTAAAGTTAGCAATATTTCCCTTTATTGTACCTTTTCCCTTCAAATCTACATCCCTTTCCCATCATCTCCTTATAAGAAAATAGGGCAAAGGTTAATAGACTATCTCATCAGACAACAGCACTGGAACCATGTCTTCTATATGGGATATTGTGGTCAAAATTCATACAGCAGTTAATGCTGTGTACTAACACCAGTATTTTGCAGGTGGTGGAACCTATCAACCGTCTTCTGGAGTCGGTGCCGTTCGAATGCGTGTTCTACTCGCTGGACTGGCACCCGCCGGATCACGTGTCCTTCATTGACAACGTGCATATGCGCGAGCTCCATGTCTCCAGTCCGGTGAGTAGTCCTACCTCGTACACCTTCAATTCAAATGGGGAGAAGAAGTATGTAGTTTATCGTCAGACTTAACTGGTGTCACCTACCTGGTCTATCACTAATCAACAACAATGATATGACAATTGGAAACTTTTATATAAGACTAATTTTCGCCCTTGATTCCACCCCCATGAAATTAAAAAATACAAAAGTGAGTAGCCTATGTGTTCCAGACTCCCCTCTATGTCTATGCCTGATTTCATCGAGATCCGTTCAGCAGTTTTGGCTACAAACTCTAACAAACATCCATCCATCTAAACTTTTGTAAGATTGAACAGCCTTATAAGTGCTTACAACAGCAGCCATTTTCATGTAATATTCAGAGGTGATACGGACGTCGCCAGATTTATAAGCTAGCCCTAACGGGCTACTGTTAATATAGTCTTCTATTTGAAATTTTCCGATTCTATCCAGCAGATTGCCTCTTCTGGCGACACTCATCAGATGTGATCTGAAAGTATTTATGCAGGAAACTAATAGCGTTAGGTAAAATACTGAGGATAATGGTAACTATGCATTTGAGGGGCTCCAGATAGTATACTGTAGTGTCGTGTATGATGTTGCCGTGGTCTAGGTGTCTGCGGACAAGGCGCAGGCGTATGACACGGTGGTGTTCGCGGGACCTCCGCCCATGAAGCAGCGTCTGTGGCCCAGACATTGTGTGCAGGACTCCTGGGGCGCTGAGCTACACACCGACCTCAAGGTCTGTGCAACCAGAGACTAAGTAGACTTAACTCTTGTTTAGTCATCATCAATCTGCTCTTGTTCATAGGATCGACACAATATGTCCTGCTCTATACATCTCTATCAGCCTCATATCTGAATTCAGTCACTTAAAATATCCTCTGCAACACCATCCATACTTCCTTCGGTTTTTCTCTACATTCTTTCTTCTACCATTCTTCCTTAATACTTTCTTGTTTATGTCCTCACCATTTCGCCGCATAATATGTCCAACCCACGCTAATCTGTTCCTTCTTAATTTCTCCACCATTGGCCCTACTTTCAAACTTCTAATATACAGATTCTTAACTTTATCCCTTCCCTATAAAAGGCTAAAGTAACATCCTTCAATGGAACAGCCTAACTTCTTCAAAGCCAAAGTCTCCAGTGCGGTATTGGGTTGGATTTCCAGGTGGTAGAGGGTGCGGTGAAGGTGTACAAGGGCACCAACTCTGACGTAGACTCGTACTCTGTGTTCTGGGACAACAAGAAGCTGACGGACACCAACCTGAGCGTGCAGCTCCGCGCGCGCGGCGTCACTGACATATACATCTGTGGACTGGCGTACGACGTCTGTGTTGGTACGTCGCACGATTATACACTTAATTGCTTAACTCTTAATGATCAATATCGCATAACACTTGTTTATAGCACGTCATTCGTGTGAGGGAATAGTCTTTCCGGCTTCAAATACTTTCTGTGCCACTACGATTTTTGATTATCTTTAGTAGCTTTAGTGCTAATAGTAGTTAAATTCTGCTTAGGTGCGGCTTAAACTTAATTTTATCGTTTACATTTCGTAAAATTTAAATGACCTTGAAGGTCGTTTGGAGAATTTAATTAGGAATCTTTGCTTCTTTCCTGCTATTGGTTTGTAGTTTTTGTCCCTTTCTCGCACGGCATTTTTTCTAATTTACACACCCGCTGAATTCAGTAACATGAAAATAAATAGCCTAAAGCGTAACGTAACTTTAAGTCTTTGTACTAAAAACAAAATTATCCAAAAATAAACCATGAATGCAGATATCTTAGATAACAAAGAATTACTAGCGAAGTTTATACAGGAGCAACAATAGCTGATGCGCTGGCCATCGGGTACCGCGCGGTGCTGGTGGACGACGCCAGCCGCGGAGTAGACCTCGCTGACATCGAGAAGACCAAGGCCACCATTCTCTCCAACCACGGCGTTATCGTGCACTCCGAACAAGTCAGTACTTGTACTTATCGACAAACATATAGCCATCTCTCTTACACACAAAACATAGATCTTTAAAAATAAAACTGCTGAGCGATCCTGATTGATTTTATTAGATGAATAAACGAAAACATGAAAAAATACTATTAGATATAAAAAAAATATGTCAAATGAGGTTTAAACTCAGTTTTTGTACTATTTTTTTTTAAATATTAATTCTCATGTCCACTGTAAGTGTTTTGTACCGATGTCATATATCTTATGACACTCCGGGATTGAAGACGAATCGAATGACACCGCATTTGTCAAAATCGATTCAGTCATTCTGTATTTAGGCTGTTACAAATGATTTTTTGTAAATACACGCGAAAAATATTACTGTCCTTGTCAGCCGAGTAAAAAAAAGTAAGTTGTTGTAAAGAAAAGAGAAAGAAATAACAGATTTTTTTGACAATCTTCCATATTCCAGGTACTATCCATGGTGGAGGGTCGCGACCGCCGACCTGAGCTAGGCTACAAGCTCGCTATGGAACTGAAGCACGCCATGGAAGACCAGGAGTAGATCCTCCTGGACCTCAGCAGCTCCCGAACCCTGGAGGCAAGTCAGTTCCTAATCTCAGAGGTTCTTTTACAAAATTGGTAATTTTATTTTATAGCAACACTTTTATGACACCGATCTGTATAAATGGATAGGTATTTGAGAATGACAGCTTTTGCTTCGTTCTGATGTAAACTCGCCTGTTGGTGTTAATTTCAGTTAAAATGTCGTGTTAGTTCCGATTCTCGCCACCGACAATCATTAGTGGCGTAAATGAAATAGGCATAAAATATAACCTGTCCATTTATTGAGGTCAGTGGACTATATGTCCTGTTTAATTTTGCTATCGGAACACTAGTAATTATTTAGAAAATAATCTGATTTAAGACGGAAATATGCAGTGCGTTTAAATAATGTGTAAACTTAATAACTTAAAGTGAAATAATGAAAGCGATAGCATGAAATGTTACGCTTTATTCCTACTTAATAGATCTGAATATAATTTATTAATTTATGTAAAATAATTTATTGGGAAAATTAAATTTAGTGACTTCTATATTTGGTCTGGATACCTTAATATTTATTGTGATGTTTTTAATTTTTTTTTTAATTTGACCTCTGAGTATTTATTTATTGTTTCGTCTGCTGGACAGATTTTTGTTATTTATATTTATTTAAATAGAAGAACTATATTAAAATGCGTAAATGACAATACTTAGGAAAATATATTGTCTATGGTCGATTTTGGCTTATATCCTATTACTAATGGGACTTTTTTTGCTGATTGGTAGACAAAAGTACAAAAATTATAAGAATTATGCACCTCGTGTGAAATTAGGTAGATTTAGTCTAATTATGACATTTAGATTTAGAATAGTTTAGGCATTGTCTATGACATGATATCTTATTTATTTAAAAAACAAACACCTTGCTTAATTCTTATGGTCCATTAGTAAAGTTGTAAGAAAAAATAGTTTTCTGGTATCTGCAATATTTTGTTAAAGCGTTGAATATATATCCGGCTCGAAGGACCAAAAACGATTGAAACGCAACCATTTTTTTTTGTTGTAATTCTGGGTTAATATTCTTACCATCATTTAGTTAAATAAAAGTACAATATTTTAAATTGTATTGCTTTAGTGCTATACATTTACCGGTGTTTTAGTTGTTTTTTTTCAGTGTTTAATTATTTTCTCAAATAATGCAAGTTCCTATTGGTATGTTTAATTTTTGGCATATAGAATAGGATAAAATTAATTTCTAATTCCACTATTTTTTTTTAAAATGTCAGAATTTTGATCATAACCTCTCGAATATGTATTAGTATATTTTTAATATATAAGTTAACGACACTGTACTTAAGTGGGCAAAGCATAGCTTAGCACTACGTCACAATGTTAGACATTCCTTTTAGATCTAGAAAATAAATGTCTAGGACATATGTATTATGTTTTAAACTTAGCTTACAACAGAAATGTACTTACATTTTTTTATTATTTGACATTTTTAAAGTTTCTTTTGTGAAGTTTCCAATATTTGTTTATTTTATTGTAATTTTAAAATATTTATGCACGATTTGTATGTGTTGTAAAAAGTGTCTCTAATACTGAATGAAAGAGATGGCTATATTTTAAAACAAGTGTATGTGCAATGGAAACTGTAGGTATTTTGCCTTTAGCAAGTGATAGATTGCATTTCTTTAGCTTATGACCGCAGAGAATAAATATATGTAAATTAACCAGTGTTTTATTTCTGTACTCGGGAAGGAAAGGGATGTACAGGGTGTCCGGGAAAGACGTGTACAGTTGACTACCACATCATCAGCCACCAGCTTACTAAAGGTCCCCACCGAGTGGCTCGGAGCCTGACTTAAGTTAGGGTGACTAGGCCATAGTCAACCACGCTGCACTGCGGGTTGGTTGACTTCACACATATTGAATTTCTTCGCCGATATGTGCCGGCATCACGATGTTTTCCTTCACCGTGAGAACGTCGGGTAAATTATGTACATATGAAAATTCAAAATTCACATTGGTACACGGCAGGATACGAACCCAAGACCTGTAGATTACGAGTCAAGTGCTTACCACTGAGCCACCGACGCCCTTACTTGGTCGAAAATACGACGATTTAACCTAAATACCACTTTCCAAAGTCGCTTTATTTGGTAGCTAGAGTAATAATTCCCCTTCCTGATTTGTCTGGTTATGTCTCGTGTATTTTGATTTAGCAGGGCCTGTCCCACCACTGGCTGATGAAGCTCAGATAGCTTAAAAATGACGTCACTGTCAGAAAATGGAAAAAATCCGATATTGCCATCACATATTTTACACGTTAGTTTGTTAACAATTTACAATTTGGTGAGACAGCCCTAAGTGTAGTTCATTATATCATTTTTACGAAGATAAACTTGTTTGTTTACGAGAAAATGAAACTAAAAGCCAATATAAAAAGCAAATTAAATTTATTTCCATCAAAAAGATTACATCATTATATTTATTATTATCTATGATACAGGATTCAAATAAAAAATACACTACATTTTACGCTAAAAAGGATAGATAGCAATTACCCAGATTTTAAATCTGAGTTTCTAAAAAAAATTCAAAATTTCTAGAACAAACATTGAAAATTATGAAAAAATGTCATGTTGTGTGAGATTTTAAAAAACCTGTGCTTATCCGATAGCTAACATGAATTTCAAACACTCGTTTATGCAAATAGTGTACAAAAACCTTTTTAGTACTAATACTTATTTACGATCACAAAACAGTTGACTTTTACCTAGGAACACTACTTTAGTATTCTAATGGTCACTAACTTCCATTTAGTGTACATTTATAATAAAGCAACCCTAAAGGATTACTAACGAGACACTACGAACAGTTTTGTGGAATTACATAACACAATACTGGGTGTAAAAAATATTTTTTGGTAACTTTGATTTCTTCCACAAAATCAAGTTATTTTATTCAACATTCAATATATACATATACTAGCTGTAGATTGCGACTTCGTCCACGTGAAAAAAAAAATCTTTTTAATGGTGAAATGATTTTTCAAATCGGCCGAGTAATAAGTTTTTAAGTTATTTTAATACATACAAAAATATAAATCTTTCCTATTTATACTCTTTATTTACGGTTTAGAGTGTTACACACTAGCGGTTTACCGCGACTTCGTCACCATAAAAAAAAAAACCTATAATCACATCAAAAAAGGTCTAGTATTCCAACCAATGGGGACTTGTGAAAATTGTTTAAAATTGGTCGTTCGTTATCAGCAACGTAATAATAACGTAAGTACACTTATTTTAGTGTACGGTTTGCTAAAAATACAAGTTAAATGGTTATCTTTAAATTAAATATAAAAAAATTGAAACAAGTGGTATTATAAACATTTTTTGGCAGAACAAAAACAAAAAATATTTTTGTAAAACGACCGTCTCGTTTTACAAAAATATTTTTTGTTTTTATTACACATATATTAAATAATTTTATAAAACAATGTTCATTTTAACAAAATTAACAAATGACACTTGTATATGTCTCATACAACAGCTATAATGTTTGAAATGTTTCTCTTTTATTCAGAGACTGAAATTGGTGTCATTATTCTTGTGATATTCCAAAATGGATTCATCAAAAAAACAAAATAATCCAACTATACCAACTATTTGAGCAAGAAAAAAAATCTACATTATAAATCCACATTCCAACCGTAACATTCAATTAAAAACCCAATCAATATCCATTATAGTTTACTGGAGACTATGCAGCGGTAATTCTAGAAATAACCTCGCGTCCCAATTTCTGTGCTATAAACGTACTATTTTGTAGTCAATTACATTTCACATATGTTCTTAATTACGTTTTACGATTTATTTTGACATAAGCAGTCAGTTTCAGGACGGTAGATGTCAGGTGACCAAAGAGCTTACGGAAAAAAATATTTCGGGAAAATCCCTTTAATGATTATTCAATACTGCCATTAAAACACGTTTTTTTTTGTGTGAATGGCAGCATGTCGCTTTTCTTCGCATAAATTCTTATATTATAAATACGGCATGGTAAAAAATAAAACAATATCAAATTGTTAATAAATTACTTGATATCTTTTTTATTTTATTTATTTAAAACAAAATTCATTCATAATACCACATAGCTTATTTAACAAATATATCATAAAATAATTACTATACAAACAATTGAAACTAGAAAAAAAAACATAAGAACCTCATTTAAACTTACGTAGTACATCGTCACGTCATTACGTAGTAAATATTGAATTTAACATTAAGATTAAATTCTTACAAATGTCTTCAGTCATCAAAAAGTTGTAAATAAATAAGCAGTCGTCGTGATTTCTACGAAATACACAATTACCAAGTCATGTCTAAAGTCAATGTAGGCAAGGAAATATGAAAATATCAGGGATATCAGAAAATAGCGTTTCACAGTTCAAAATACATTGTGTTTGATTACTTGTTAGGAGACATGCTTCTAATAGAACACAAAAGAATAGAAAAAGAGAAATTTAAAAATAGAATAGTGAAAAATAACTGATTAAAGTTTTGTAATCAACACAATGCCGGCAAGTTTGTTAGGCTGGTGTTAAGCTGGATAAAATTTTCTGTCCTAAAACGCTAGATGATATTTGAAGGATAAGCATTGCGAGTTGTTTACTGCAACTGCCGTTTTGAACCAAAAACATTGCAGCCTTTTTGTAATCGTCGAAACCCAGACCAGCTAGGTAATCGTACACCATGTCGAATACATCGGTTAATTTTGATTTTATTTCACTCCAAACGTCTCTCATTGCAACAACTAGAACAATACAAATAAATAAAATTAGAAAATTCAATGGTAATTTAGAATCTTTAAAAAAAAATTGAGGGTACTTTAAAAAAATATACATTTTCTTTGATATGTAACTTATGTCTGTTTTCTTTTTTTATATTATGAATAAATTGTTTTACTTACTGACGAGCCCAGCACCGCAAGCACCTCCAACGACTCCACCTATAGCCGCGCCAGTTTTACCGCCATAATGATTGCCAATCAAAGTTCCAGCGACCGCCAGTCCAGCGGTTACTATCAAAGCCGCCTTAGCACGAGGACTTTTCCATAAGACGCGGAAATCAAATTGGTCGCTAATTTTTAAGATTATATTTTCCAAAGATGAAGGGTCGAACGGTAAAGCGCATGAATTTCTTCTTTCAATGGTGCACAAGTCGTAGTCAACTTCACCCTCGTCATCAGATGAATCGTAACTGCTGTATCTCAAATCCATGTTATTCAAATCTTCTTTGCTTTTAATTGAACCTTTAATAAACTTTTAAATATTTAAAGATACTTCACAACTACTCGGCACTGTGTAGTGAATTTCAAATTAGAATTCTGGGTTCTGAGTTCTGACCAGTTCTAACTATGCCAGCATTGCCAGATGGATTTGGTTGTGTGTTGCTATAATATTTTGAACTTTAATAATTTAGTTGACTAAGAAGCATAACGAATTTAATGTTGTTAAAAACAAGATCAAAATATATCGACTGAAGTGCTTAATAGTCTTAGTACGTGTTATATTACTGTAAAAATATTTCGAGCGTTTCGAGCAAATATTTGTTGACGTGTTTTATTTACTCTTTGTCGTTAGTGACATTGAATAAACAAAACTAGTCTTTGGCATCAGCTGATTTTTGACAGGATGTCATTTCGCAAAGTTTTGTTTTGATTAAAAGTTGTTGATTTTAAAGTAATTCTTTGGTTTGTTGTGTTAAAACTATGTCGCAAAAAACTTTAATGAGCAGACTTGGGAGTAATATCCTAGAAGAGTCACAGTTACTTGCTGAGAAAAAATGGATACTGGATGCACTAAATCAAATTAAAAAGCAACGAAATAGTCTTCAGGTTAGTTTTGATTGCTAAAAACATAATATATTCAGGTTTTTTCTTTTATATTTAAATAAATTTATATTTATATACATTTTTTTGCAACAGATAGAAAGGCTACAACTAGAAAGTAAAAAGTGTCATCTCAAGGGGGAGACAAACTCTAACTTTGAGAATAAAACTACAGCGGACAATGAAGTGCCAGGCACATCCGCGGTCAATTTAATGCAGTTAGCACCACGGGGCAATGGGATTGCGGACATAGACAAGAATGGGCTCATGGATGAAGATATTATATGCAATGAACAGGAATTAGATTTGTTGATACTGTCAAATTGTTTATACGGTAAGTAGTGTGGTAATATCATCATCACCAGCTCACTATACGTCCCCACCGAGGGGCTTGGAGCCTACACTATTAAGGGGTGACTAGGCCATAGTCAACCACGCTGGCCAAGTGCGGATTGGTTGACTTCACACATATCTTTGAATTTCTTTCGCCGATATGTGCAGGTTGCATCACGATGTTTTCCTTCACCGTAAGAACGTCGGGTAAATTATGTACATATGAAAATTCGAAAAATCGAAAATCACATTGGTACATGGCTGGATTCGAACCCAAGACCTGTAGATTACAAGTCAAGTATTCAAACCACTGAGCCACCGACGCTCTTATTATAATCGTGGTAATATCATTACAATCTTACTAATGGATTTTTCTTAGAGATTCCCATTTTTTTAGACAGAGCATAGTCTGGATGAACACAGGTTACTTTTGTGTATTTTTAAATTCCACATGTCATGGGTGAAAGCTAGTTATTGATATAATAGTAATATATGCATAAATTTGTTTTCAGCCAATCAGAATGCTCAGAACAACATGGAGGAAGACGAGGAGGATGAAGAAGATGTAATAATTGACATGAATATGTTAATGAATGGTAACAAGTGACCACAAGTGGTAGAATGCTGTTAAGCTTTAGTGCACTGTTGGAGAAATACCACATTCAACAAAAATGAAATTATTGCAAGGTTTTAATTGTTCCTTTATTTCGATCTTGCTTTAAGTATGATTTTCTTAAAAGGTTAAAAAAATCACACATTGGGTTAAGATTGCAAAGGTTGACATAACTTAGAATTGGCTGTTCTTGTTCATTTTAGAGATTTTTTATTTAGTCTATGTTGGTTGGTGTATATTTTCTGAATTTTGTACATTGTGTAAAGTCTTATAAATATGAACAATTGTGCTATCATAGTTTTCTAAATAAAAATTGTCTTATTATATTGCTAATTATCTTGTATTTATGACTATTTCTGAATACTTTAGCTTCAAAATTGTCATTTATGCGCTTGCACTATAGCGTCATAGCGCAACAAATCAGTAAGTTAACCTTAAGTAATTAAAGTCTTCAGTAAACAAGCATTTTAGTGACTCCTCCATATACTTAGCAAAAATAAAATTGCATAATTTTAGGGAAATGGAATGAAATAAAAATATAAATGTATATTAACAAAGAATTTTAATAAATTTACCTTTTAAAGTATATTAAGTTTTAAGTATTATGTACAGGCTTCATACAACAGTAGTCAACTAAATGTCCCTTCCTCATAAAATAAATAATGCCTTACTTATCAAATGGCAACCCGGTACAGATTTATAAACCGATATTTTTTTTTTCTAGCATTGTCATAAAAACTAGAAATGTCTGAAAAAAAATTAAAACATCACTTAGTGAAATAAACGATTTATGTACATTTTTGATATAATTTAGATAATAGCATAGTATTAAGAAAATATTTTTTTTCAACTAAGACAAGAGCTATCTTACCATTCGCTTGGACACTGACTGATAATTAAATTTACAAATTTTTATATTTACTGGAAGTGTTAAAATCTTAGCATTAACTAATTAAGTTGTTTCAGTATATTTTAGTATGGTAATACCATTCATTATTCAGTCTTTCGTCATCTCAAAGTTCAATCTCGCTAGACTACACATACACAAAATTATCTATACCGAGAACATCCACCGAAATGTACACTGTCTACATTTGTATACATTTAAACTTTGACACTTGTATACAATAAAATATACACATACTAGCTTTCGCCTGCGACTCCGTCCGCTAGGAATTAAAAAAAAAGTAAGTAGCCTATTCCTTCCAGACTATCCTTTACGTCCATGTCATATTTCATCGAGATCCGTTATTCCGTTTTGGCTACAAACTCTAAACAAACATCCATCCATCTAAACTTTCGCATTTATAATATTAGTAAAATTTACGTAACTGTCAGAAACAAACTGATATGTGTTAAGTTATTTTGAAACCGAAGAATATAAATATGGGATCGGACTAGGTATATGAAACACAAAAATATGGTAAGTAATAGCCATCCAAAAGCCTTGAGGATACAATTTCATCAGTGTTGTTATTTTACCACATCCTAGCTCAAGCCTAGAGCTTAGTTGGAATGGTTAAAGGAAATATTAGTAGATTAACAAAAATCTATTGACATTAAAAAAAAAAACTTTATAATTCAAAATCTAAAAGTTTCAGTAAAAATCGACTTTCATTTACTTCTTCTTCTTTTAAATAATAGTGGACATCGTTATGTCGATGATTTTGCCAACGTCAAGATAGATGTCAAACTTGTATGAACTAATTCCATAGATGTATACAAGTGTCCAAAGTTTAGCAAATGTATTATTTATGCAGCTAACTGTACTATATTTCGGTAATGCATACATTAATTAAGTTACAATAGTTGTTTAACAAAAGCATTTTTGTACAGCTCTATATTTTCAGGTATTGTACAACAGGTTTCTTTGTTAAAACAATTTAAAACAAACATTTAAATTTACCTTTTCAAAATAAATTCATTAACCGCCAGCGAAGCTTTAAAAGTCTCAAAAAGCTAATACAAGGTATATAGCCTTAAAGCAAAAACATATAAAAAATAATTATATGAAAAAATTAAATATTCTGTATATATGGGGGGGGAATTGTTTCTTTTTACATTTAATATTTATTCTTGAAATATAGCAAAAAGGTAGAAAGTTTATTACATCATAATAATCAAGACTATAGTAAATAATTTACCGTTTATAGTGGTTTTATAGAATTTTACAAATAATATTTTAAATATACAGTTGTAACCGTGGGATTCTACGGTTGGAATTCAAAGGTTTTTCCTAAATTATCGTCATCTCGTCAATGGAAACCTGTGGCAAAATTTATAACAAACCTTAACTGTAACCTTAGACCTAAGTTAGGTTTAATAATCACAACGAATTAGGTTTACATGAATTACTATGAACATCGCTACTAGACACAAGCTCAAGTCGTGGTAATATACGAAAGCGTATTATTTTTTTTAATGACACTGATTGCAATATTTCATTCAAGAAATTTAAGATCGCAAAACAATTCTGTACTCAGAGATGATTGTTTAACGCTAAGTGGCGAAATAAAATGTGTCCGGGTAGACTCGTCGGCGTGACGTACATACTTGTCGAGCGTGGCATACGCGTGGCGACGTGGCATACGCGCGGGAGTGTAGCGTATGCTTGGGGGCGTGGCATACGCATGCGTGGCGTACGCTTGGAGGCGTGGCATATGCGTGCGTGGCGTACACTTGGGGGCGTGGCATACGCATGCGTGGCGTACACGTGTGGGCGGGGCATCACGAGCGCGCACAGGACGTGTAGAACAGTATGTAGGCGGCGCTGGACTTCACCTCGCTGGCGGGGATCTCCGTCACCACGTGGTCGTCGTATTTATACCATCTGGAATACAAGCCTTATTGGACATTCGATATTGAAGGAAAGAGAACAAGAAAACTACACCAAAATCTACTAAGATTATTAATCTTTAGGAGCCAATTCCTACAACTGTGGTAAATACAATAGACCAGATGTTCCCGTGAAATAATAAAAACTTTATTGTAATGTTACATTCCATTGCAAATGTCATTAGATAGCCTACTATCATTACTATGCCAATCTTACTTGATGCTATTGGTTTGGAGTTTTTGTCCTTTTCTCGCATGGTCATTTTTTCAATTTATTCAGTTCCTAAATTAAATAACGTGCATGTCGTATGTTGAGCTTTTTATTAAAGAAATAATTATTTAAATATATGGTGTGATTGCTGACAAGAAGTGTGGGTTAGAAAGAGAGAGGGGGGGAGAGAGAGAGAGAGAGAGAGTGAGAGAGGGAGAGAGAGAGAGAGAGAGAGTGTACTGACTTCCCGTAGACGCTGCTCTTGCAGTAGGCGGTGTAGTGGCCGCCCTCCATGGAGCCGTAGTGGTTGGAGACGGCGTAGAGGTTGTACATGGGGTTGCCGGGGCAGTGCAGCGAGAACTGGCTCATGTCCAGCTCCTCCAGCGGGAAGTCGATGTAGGTCTGCTTCTTGCGGTACGTGTTGCTCATATACTCCTTGGGGTCCACGTAGAACCGCTTGAAATGGATCACCAGGACCGGGGGCAGCCGGGAGATGTCCAGCTTCTTCACCGCGTCTCGTTTCTCCTTGCATTTGGGGCAGTTCCAGCCGGGTATCGTCTCGTCTTTGAGGTAAAGGTTTAAGCAGTCCTGTAAACAAACAATGTTAAAAACATTGTGTGTGACTGTGAGTAACTCTCGCCCACTAAGTCGGTTTATTTAGTGAATGCGTGTGTGTTGTGTGTGTTACGAGTGCGTGTTGGGTGTTTGCTGTGTGTGTTGCGTGTTACGTGTGCTACTTGTGTGCGCTGCGTGTGTGTTGCTTATGTGTTGCGTGTGTCGCGTGTGCGTTGTGTGCGTTGCGTATGTTGCGTGTGTGGTGTACCTGCAGCGTGCAGCGCGCGGCGGCGGCGGGCAGCTCCAGCGAGAGGTTGGAGAAGGAGTCGTACGTGGCGGAGCGCTCCGCGCAGCGCACGCAGCGCACCGTGGAGCGGATCTGTCCGTAGAACAGCCGCAGCACGAGGCTCTCCTTGCAGCGCGTGTACTCGTGCCACGCGCGCTCCGCCGCCGGCAGCCCCTCCTGCACACACACACATTCATACTGCATCCGACTCGAAGGACCAATTACATTTAACGACATAAAAAGTGGAATATAGAACAAAAACATAAATTCCGCCAGCTGTTATAGGGTGGGGCATACCTTTTGCGGCGGTTTGATGGCGAACTGCAGATCAAGGTGCAGCCAATCCATGAGGATGGTGAGGAACTCGTGGGAGTCCTGTTGCTCGCCGCCGCGGAACGCGCGCTGGTGTTTACCCACCTCATTCTGTAAGATACACAAATTAGCCGCGTGTTTTCAAAACATTCATCCATATTTATATCTATATGAATGTTACCCTAAGGTCCTTTGTAGCGATGAAACGGTACTGTCCGGACCACAGCGCTCGCACCACCGCCGCCAGTTCCTCCGCGATCGCACCGCGTGTGCTGTGCGACCTACATTACATTTTAACAATAAATTTCCCGACTTGAAGCTAGTAAATTATTGTCAGAATAATTAAAAGTAAAATCACGCCATATCTCACCTATTGACATGTTCAAGGTACTGTCCGTTACAGAAGTAAGTGACGAGTATCGCGGTGTTGTTGAGACACTGGATGATGGAGTTCATATAACATGTGTTGCCCAAGTTCTTCAGACCCGTGAGGCCGCGACCCTGAGTTGTACACAATAATTTTATACCTATAAATACTGGCCCCAATTATTAGTGTCCACTGAGTATTTAATCAAAAGACTTTTATTAATAAACTCGATTGACTGATTGACATAAATAAAAATCGATTGTCTCTTCAAAATCGGTTATTTTTTAAATATCGCTGTGCCTTTTTTCATTTAAAAATTGAATTAAAATAACTAACTTAAAAAAAAAACCCTCTGAAATATGAATAAAGATGGAATACGATAGTTATGTCAACAAATATTATTTATTCAACAAGCCTATCTCCGGAGTACTTACACATAAAAACCTTAAGTAGAGCAATATTATCATGTAATTAATTAATTAATTTATCTGAGATTAGAAGTGTACGTAATGGGCTTTGTTCGGATGCATCTATTTATAGATAATACTTATATAATATCATTTAAACCCGTTTTACAATACTAAAACAGTACGAAAAGAACCTTGTGGCATTTTACAGGGGGCGTTAATGTCAAAATTATGACATGACCTTCGGATCTGATACTATAGACCTACAAGTATATTAAGACATTTTTGTAACAGATCTGCTAGATTTTGGAGTTACCAGTAAGCAAAAAGTACATCATTTGTAATTCTTCCACGTTGAATACAAAACCAAACTACATGCATACTGTTTTTTTTCGAAATTATGAAAATGTCGAAACCCATGCAGTTACCTCCCCTATTGTTGAAAATATAACGCTGGTTAAATGACATTGTTTGTTCACAAAATTGTCGGATGCCATACGATTCTCGTAGACCTGTATCCATGACGGTCATCTGATAACCGTGACAGTTCATTGCTGTAAGATATCTTTGTCTTTATTTATTCAAAGGAGAATGATAGAGAGGTCAATATGTTGCTGTTTTGATAATGGGAGGAGAAACATACCCGTTTGAAGAGCCACACGATGTGATTATGGGAGTACTTGAGCCTCACTTTCACCTTCAGCACCATATTAGCTGTATCCAGTGGGATACATCGTTGCTCGTAGCGGAGAATTTTGATGGTTACTATTGCCGTTTTTCAAAGGTGCTTTTTATTGCGTTTTTGTATAGTAGTTTAATAAATTAATTGATGATTTCTAATTATGTTTGTTTATTGTTAAGTGCGTTAATTTTGTAACTTTAATATTATTTAGGTTGCTTGTTGAGCTACACTTCTATATATGCTGCTTAAAATTCCTATAAATTTCTTCACGGAAAAAAATATTGTAATGCTTTTTGTAAGCTTTTTAAAAGCTTTGAACTCTAATTTTCACTTCAGCACAATCGAGTACGATAGTAAAAATTTTCCACAAATTCGTTTGCAAACACGAATTAAACAATTAGAATAAAATAACGCGGTCTCAAGGTCGTTGTAAATCACATCAAACCCAATGAATTTCCCTGTATTTAGACAGGGGAAAGACCAACACGAGTAAGACGATCAAATACAACATAAATACTGTTGATATAATTGACGCGATCATTTGTTTTTTTTATTTTTTTCCACTGTTGACACAGGCTATGCGTCCAGCCACGACGATACAACTGAAGGTTCTATGTCCGTCCGAAAGGGAGGTAAGGGTGTTGGGTTGGGGGTGGCATTAGGGTGAATACGTGTACACGCGATATTTTTCAAGTGCCATTATTGTTTGCATGTCGACGTGGAATATAAGTAGAATTTTTTGCTACTGCAAATTTCAAGTTGCTAGTTATTTTACGTCTACGTTGCAATTTTTTAGTTTATTTTCAAGAAATCTTGTATTTAAAGCCTTGTTAGAGTAATTGTGATTTTTACGATATAGTGGATACGTTTAAAGACTTCTACGATATTCTATTTTCCGTTTTCTGTCAACGTTACTCCACTATTTTCCCATCTAAATAAGATTGGTCCTTCTAGCAGTATATTTGGCTTTACTTTGGCCCTTTTAAAGTCAGGCAGTCTTCATAAGACCATTTGTTTTCATACGATTTATACAATGATTAAATTTACCTTGCACGCCTTTATCTATCCTAAAAAGGAACCCTATTTTAATTGTATTTAAGCTCAATTTTGTTTGCGATATCTGCTCTACGCTCTGGTTTGTATGAAACCGTATACGATGGTCACTTTACCAGGAGTCTATACAGCTTTTTTTTACTTGTTACGATATCGTTTGATTGATGACTTCTCTTAACCGACGTTAACAACGTATTTCGCAGCCTTGAGACTTTACCCTTTCGAGTATTTGTTTATTTGCTATATATAGCTTGACGTTAAGATTATTGGCTTTATGTATGTACAATACAGTATAAAAAACTGTTATCGTTTTATTTTTCTATCCTGATATAAAGAGGATAGATTTGTATTTATGTATGTATTAAAATCAAAAACTACTGGGCCGATTTCGAAGATTCTTTCACCATTAAAAGCTACGTTATCACTGAGTAACACAGGCTGTATATTTATCATTTTTAAATTTCACGCGGGCGAAGTCGCTAGCAACAGCTAGTAATTAGTGAAAAAATAAACTAATTTTAGAACTTGATGTGCTAATTTTGTTCATATTTGCATGTTTTGTCTAAACCAGAATGGTTTCTTTAAACGTCAAAGGTTATACAATCTTTACGAACACTAGACAGGGCGCGGCGATGATATCGGATTGTTTCCCCTGACAACAAGGGACGGAATCGGTCAGACGGAGTCAAAATGTCGCACCCATATGTACTAAAATACGAATTATTACTAATAGAGTAAGAAATGGGTAAAGAAAGACTAGTTTCGTCTGGTAATTTGGATTATTCCTAACCGTCACCCCGCTCTGACCCCACGTGGAGACAGATGAGAATAAAAAGTTTCATCCGTCTCACCTTTTGCGACGAGGGGACGGTTTGAACTTATTTTATATCTTAACGGTTCCATCTTCCACCTTATTGGTGATAGTTTGACCAAAAGGTGGGACGGATGAAACTTTTTACTCTTACGTGGGGACAGAACGGGGTGACAGTTGGGAATAATCCGGTAATTTTTATGCCGTCTTATGTGTAATTAAAAATAAGTAAAAGCTTATCTTCCTCAGTGATAACGTAGCTTTTTAATGGTGAAATTTTTTTTAAATCGGTCCTGTAGTTTTTGAATGATTTTAATACATGCAAAAATCCTAAAATACAAACCTTTCGTCTTTATAATATAAGTATAGATGACTGGAATGCTAAAAAAGCAGTGTAATAAGTGACACGGGCGTTGCCAATGATAGCAGGGAGAGTGGGGGGTTTGTAACGCCGTAGTAATAATGTTTCTTTAATTAACGCTATTTTGAAACAACTGCGAAAATATAAAATTAATCAGGTATCAAGTCCATTCGCTAATGGTCAAGTTGCCAAGACTAAGTAGAGGTCAAGAAAGCTTGATAGATGTAGAATAGATCCCACAGCCTTGGGCTTCTGACCTTTACACCATTGCGTGTCCAGACACATCAAGTAACACTTATTTAGATGCTAAAATTTATTTACATTGAGTTTTGATATATTTTAATGAAATAACATTAAAAATAATTAAGTTATTATACATTTTAGTTACATGTCAAAAATGTTTTATTAGATATAATTTTTTGAGGCAGGTTTTAATGAATTTTAGGGAAAATTTTGATTTGTCTATATTTCAAACATCTTATTACAGGTTTTATTTCAGAATATGTAACAAAATAGTGTTTAAAACATTTATTTCTTAAAATGTATCCATATATATTCGAATACAAGTCAAGAAAATGCTAAATAACCGAGTTTGCGTGCTAGAAAACATTTCAAGGTGTTTTTTATGCGTCGTTTATTTCTTGAGTTCGGACCTAATCCTATAAGCTTGTACTAGATAAGTTTTATATAGCTTTTATTAAGAATAATGTGAAAAAATCGCCACTTCTTTTTACTTTTACAGTGGTAGTGCCCGCTTTAACATCTTAGCACGAATGGGCCGGCACGCCCGGTGTAATACCACGACCACACAGAAGACAGGCGTGAAGTGGAAGCAATTCCGTGTTTCGTCTGATGAGTGTGGTGCCGGAGGCCTAATTTAAGTCCCTTTCTCTTTATCACCCTTTTCTTATAAGGAGAGGATGGGAAGGGGAAGTGGATTTGACGATGGAGGAGATGCATAGGAAGGGGAAATATCCTCTTTATGTGCGTCTCCTCCTCCGTCGTATAAGGGTAGGCAACGCATCTGCAATTGCGGATGTCTATGGGCAGCGGTCGCTTCGCCATTTTGGCGGATTCAAGTGGCCGCTTGCTCGTTTGCCACCTTATGTTATAAAAAAAAAAACTTGTGGAAAGCGTTATGAAATATTTATATCTATTTTGTCAGTTCTGTTCTGTTTGTAAATATATTTATTTATATATTGTGGTATATTTACTATATAAAAGTTCATTATTTCCCGCGCAAGTAATGTCATTACACTGTCCGCTGTCGCTACGTGTCACGTGACATTGCACGCGGTCATATCGATTTTTACTAATTGGTACAGACAGCAAAACAAGACTGTCTCTAATGATTCTTACTTTCTATTATTTTAGTAAAAAAATAGACTTCGTAAAATCGTTTTGATTTCATTTTTAATTTTAAATGCATCAGTATCGGTTTTAATTTTTTTTTTGTAGTTAATCCATTACATGTTGACGATTTACAGTTTAATTATGACCTTTTTAATGTAATTACGATATTTTTATTTAAGTAGAAAATACTAATTTCAACTCAGAATTTCATAACTTTAAACATTTATTAAAAAAATCGATCGAATTGACTTTTTTTGAAGTCGGTTAATGTTTTTTAAGTTTCTGCCCTTCAACCGAATTACAGTTTAAAACAAAATTGGACATATAAATGAGATTAGATTCACGTGTGGCAAAGTGTGTCAAAAAGCGTGCTCGAAGTCTTCATGACCCGAATGCCACGTGTGATAGCACTCTGCATGACTCTGGCTTCGTAACACGTGTCAATATAACCTGTCTATATTTAGTGAAAACCCAAAATACACGTAGAAACTAGTACTTATGTCGAATTCAAAGTATCACAATAGCTTCTGCCCACGAATTTGTCCGGAATTATATAAAAACAAAATATGTAGCCTATAAATTCTTCAAATTTTCAGTTCCGTAGATACGTAGAATCTATACCAATGTTATAAAGAGGAAAGATTTGTATTTTTGTATGTATTGAAATATCACAAAAACGACTGAGCCGATTTGAAAAAGGCTTGTACTACTAAAAATCATGTCATCACTGGGAAACATAGACTAGTTTTCATACTATTTTTTTACACGGACGAAGCCGTAAACAAAAGTAAGTATCAGATATAATCGTTCAAAGTCGAAATCTATCTTTTTTAATCCAGAAAAGTCATTCAAAATGAAACCTTACAGCGTATATTTAAAGTATAACCGATTAGAAGAGTTTGTGTTAGGGGTACAGAGTGTCAGTATATACTCACGACGCCGCCCCACACGGGCTGGAAGTCCCTGTGCTGCATGTCGCTGGAGGGCGCCACCTTGTGCGGCTTCGTGCTGCGGTCGAACGCCGGCGCCGGCACCTCCTCCTCTTCCTCCTCGGACGCCTGCTGCTCACCGACAATTACACATTTGTACACACTTGTACACACTTGTGATTAAATATGTACACACTTGTGATTGTAAGTGTACACACTTGTGATTGTAAGTGTACACATTTGTGATTGTAAGTGTACACAATTGTGATTGTAAGTGTACACACTTGTGATAGTAACTGCACATACTTGATTGTAATTGTACACACTTTTGATTACAAATATACTCACTTGTGATTGTAAATGTACACACTCGATTGTAATTGTTACACACTTGTGATTTCAAAAGTACACACTTATGATTGTAAATGAGTGCATTACTGATTGCAATTGTATACATTAATAGTCATAAGTGTACACAATCATGAACACATATATTTGGATTCACAAAATCAAATTAAGCGAGTAATTCTAAAAATACTAAAAAAATGAAACACACACCTTAGGTATATTGGGCGAGGAGTGTGAGCGGTTCATCCCCGGCACGTCGGCGGACTCCTCCGGGGGCTCCATGAACGTGTCCCCGTCGTCGTCCTGACAGAACACTGATTACTCTAACTATGTCATATAATTTTTGTGTCAGTATTTATAATAGACATATTACGTGAAGATCTTCTTATAACCAATTTCTGTTTTCTACTTAAATGCTTTTATCTTCTATTTTACATATGATTAACGGATCTTACTAAGTTATTGGACTCCGCAGCCGGTGGGTGCGTTGTTTTATATAATACTAGCTTTCGCCCGCGGCTCCGTTCGCGTGGAGTTAAAAACAAAAGTAGGTAACATATGTGTTCTTCCAGGCTATCCTTTAGAACTATGCCAAATTCCATCGAGATCCTTTTAGCCGTTTAAGCAACAAACTTTAACAAACATTCATCCATCTAAACTCTCGCATTTATAATATTTGTTAGAAGTTAGATTTTTAATTTTATTTTTAAAATAAAGTAAAATATACTATGAATGTTTGTCAGAGTGTATAGCCAAAACTGCTAATAGGCAATGTGCATATGACGCCAAATTGGACCAAACTTTTTTTAGCATCCTTGTTGCTATAAAAACGTACTTGCAAATATTTTTTTAATATAATGTGATTTAGTGGCGAAATTTAATCATTAAAAAGTGTCTTTTTTCAAATTCCCTCGCTAAGTTCTAAAACGCACACTATTGGTCGAAGTAAGTGGCTTATCTAATATGGCGTCGCTGTGTTGACAATACACAGTTCATTTACGTTAGTTTATATAGAAATACACTCTTGAAGTATTTTACTGTAGACACGATATCAAAACTAACTTTAAAGTAAAAAACAAATGAAAAAAATCATTAACTACCACTTATTTGTACCAGGAATAATAAAAATGAATCGATTTTTGGTTTTTTAACCTTGAGAAGCAATGAGATACTGTGTTGTTTTTTAACATCGAAGTGACATGTTTGAAAGAACACATATTCTATTTACCTTTTTCAAATCCACGCGGATGAATTCGCAGTCGTAGTGATATTATGAAGTATGTGAGTACCTGTGGCTTCCTTCGTGTTCGTGCTTCGGTTAATTTCCGCTTCCTCTCCGCCTCCAGCAGCTCCCTGCGGCGGTCGAGGTGGTGCCGCGCCGCGCGCACCTCCGCGATGCGCGCACGCCGCGCGCTCAGCTCCCGCAGCGCCGCCGCGCTCGCCTCCTGCCGCGCCGCCGCCGCTACCATACAAATTACATATATCAGGCGTTGGATTAAAAAAATAAAGAAAAAAGTAGCCTATAACATTCTCCAATATATCAGCTATCTGTAGTCGAAGTTTCACCAAAATCGGTCCTTCATTATCGGAGGAGAAGACACACATAAAGAGGACATTTCCTCTTCCTATGCTTCTCCACCGTCAAATCCACTTTTCCTTCCCATCCTTTCCTTTTAAGAAAAAGGTGGAAAGGAAAAGAGAATAAAACTAAGGCTCCGGCACCACACTCATCAGACTGTACGCGGAATTGCTTCCACTTCCCGCCTGTTTTCTGTGTGGTCGTGGTATTACTGGGGGCTTTTTAAGAAAAGGGTGGAAAGGGAAAGAGAGTAAAATAAGGCATGTGAGTACCGTGCGCGTCTGCGTCGCTGGCGGCGCTGGGCGCGCGCGCGCTGTCGGCCAGGCGCTCCTCCTCGCGCTCGCGCCGCTGGTACTCCTCCAGCTGCTCGCGCAGCCGCTGGTTCTCCTGCTCCTGTGCCGCACAAGTATTACATTCATTCATACTGAAACTGTTTTATGAACATTATTTATTTTATTAAAACAAATTTCATCATTAAAAAGTGTCTTTTTTTATAAAAATTCCTCGCCAATTTTTTTAATTTTGATAACTCGGGTAACCAAGTGTTAAGAATGAATGTGTTTGGCTACAAAGGAAGAGGAAAAGCGAAGAAAGTATGGATGGATTGTGTGAAAGAGGATATGCTTAAGGAAGAAGTGGATTCAGATATGGCGGCTGATAGAGATGTATGGAAGAGCACATACTGTGCCGACCCTCCGTAAGGGATAAGGGCAAATGGATGAACTCTGAGAACCAATCAAATACTGTCTTGTTGTTTGACGACGTCACAACACTTCGGGCGTTTTAGTCGCACGAATATTATTGTGATTTTATTCAAATGTTTAGCTCAAGAGTTAATTTTTTCCGGTTATCTTATTATACGTAAAAACGTTAAAAAACAAAAAAAAACCCTACTATCATTAACTAATGGTATAAATCATTAAACAGTTGTCTGGAAATGGTAAGCTTTGTAAAGAGGATAGTTACCATATCGAACTGCTTGTTCTCCAGCTGCATGAGGAGCGAGGAGATCTCCTGCTGGCGCAGCTGGTACATGGCGCGCAGGTCCTCGCGCTGAGCCGCCTCCCGCTGCTCGCGCACCTTCTCCCAGTCCTGGACAGAACAGAACAGCACTTCATTAGTATACTTTTCTTTTTACGGAAAACATTGTGATGCCTGAATTCAAAGATATATGTGAAGTCTACTAAGGGTAGGTTTCAAGCCCCTCAGTGTGGAAGTATAGTGAGCTGATGATGATGATGAAGAATACAAGGTCCAGTAACGTGAGCAGTGTCCAGGTACCTGTTCAGCCTCGATCCTCTGCATCTCGAGGGTGAGCGAGGTGTCGGCGATGCGCTGCTGCTCCTCCAGGATGAGCTGCATGCTGCGCGCGCGCTCCTCGTACAGCTGCACCGCCGCCATCTGCAAATATTACAGTTAAATCTCCTTTTCGAAAGTCTGTAAAACACTCGTCTCTAAAAGATGCAAACTTAGTAATATTTTGCATAATTCCAACATTAAAACGTCAGTAATAATTACCACAGTCGAATACCAGTCCAGTCTTAGAACGTTACTGTCAAAGAAGTACAAAACGTCACGACATTTAACCTATCTAGTGGAATATAAGGGTCATTACCAAAATAGTCAACAAAAAGACTACAGTAAAAATCCTTAACACTTTATAAGCTACAGACTAGCTTGTTTGTTTAAGAGACTAACATGTTTTGTCACTAAACTTTGTGCGTTTGTCATTACTAAAATATCGTTTATTTATCTATACTATTATAATAAAACATAAACACACACTTCTTTGTTGCCTAAGATGTCAGCAATTATTGCATATTTTAAAATAATTCTTTTTTTTTTAATAAAAAGTCCTACACTTACTTCACGCTTTAGGCTATATATTTTCACGCTATTATATTTAGTTGGTAAATAAATTGGATAAAAACCCTAATGTGGGAAAGAGACCATAAGTTGCTGCCAACATCAAGGAAGCAAGGTTGTCATGTCATGTTATTTTGACATTTGTAATTGATAATTTGACAAATGTAAAAATAAAATTTCATAATTTCATGCGAATGAAGTCGCACGGGAGCAGCTAGTATTTATGAAAAATTAAAGTAATTACTTTACTACTCCTATCAACGACGGGCTCGCCGGGCTTGGGGCGCGGCGCGGCGTGCTGCGGGGCGTGCTGTGCGGCGTGCTGTGCGGGGTGCTGCGGCGCGAGCTGCGGGGGCGAGGGCTGCTGCGCCGGGGGGGACGGGGGGATCACGTCAGACCAGTTGGGGTACTCTATCTCACCTATAACACACATACAACATCACTATACTACCTCTCGGGCGCCCTTGAATCGGAATGCTAAACGCGTATTGAGTGACAGCCCAAGCCGAGGTCCCCTCTCGGGGGCCCTTGTGCCTAGTCACTCCATGGAGCGTTCACCGAAGCGATCTAAGAGCTCGGTGGCCTCCCAATCCGGTAATAATAACGAAGTAACGGTTCGTGCCGAGGCTCCTGAGGGAGCCATCGAGCTCAGTTACTCATAAAGGAGGTTTAGGCTAAGCGCCATCTGCGCTCGGCCACCTCAAACCCGGTGAATCTGTAAATGCCTCTTCAAGGCAAACAGTGGCCATTCAGTCACAAAAAAAAAAACACTATACTACCCCACTGAGGGACTTGGAGCCTACCCTAAGGGTGACTAGATCTTAGTCAACCACGCTGGACTGCGAGTTGACTTCACACATATGTGCAGCAAGCATCACGATGTGTTTCTTTACCCTAAGAACGTCCGGTTAATTATCTAAATATGAAATTCGGACCGAAAATCACATTGGTTCAGCGGAATTCAAACCCAGGACCTGGTTATTATAAGACAGATGCTCAAACCCCTGAGCCACCGACGCACTTTACAAAATAATGCAGTTCTTTCTCTCTCCTACAAGGTTGCTATTTTTAAGTGGTGTTGAAACTTCAAGACGATTTGTTATTTTACCTGATGTGGTCAACAATGGTAGAGAACTAAACTGTAATACTTACCTAACATATCATCAAGCATGCTATTCTGACTGGGAGGAACAGCGAGGTGGTTGGTAGTGAATGCCGGGTACTTGAGCAGCCAGTCTTCATATCCTCCGAGCAGTGCCAGCGGCTGGCGAGCGTACTGGACTTTTATGTCCCACTGGAATTAACAAAGTTGTAAGTATGCAGCAGGCAAAAGGTTAACAAATGCTTGACATGAAAAAAAAATCGTTTTACTAATATTTTAACGAGAAAATATGAAATAACTCAAAAGCAACTGAGCCAATTTCAAAATTCTTACACCATTAAAAAGCTATGCTATCACTTAGAAACATAGGGCATATTTTTTTTCTACTTTTTTTTTTTAATTCCACGCGATAAAAGTCGCGAACAAGAAATAATTTTATATATATTGTATTGTCATATCTGAAGAGTTTTTAATTAAGAAAATGAAAATAATTTATTAATTTTACTACTAAATATTTAGTACATGTTTTCACTATACTAAAATGATGCAATCTTAATTAGATAATTTAAAATTAATTAAAAGTCATAACAAATTCTGCTTAAAGCATACCTTTAGTAGTATAGTCTTGAGGAGATGCAATGTCTTCCCAGGTATGACAGCCGTGCTGCTCCAGTCCAGCATCACGATGAGCTCCATGGCGGCGCGCTCCGACCACACCGCACGGGACGATGACGGCAAATTCTGTTCTAGAACATTCGCTGATTGCCTGCAACAATCGTCATAATATAACTACAATGCCAACAAGATTACTGCAAAGAATCAAAACAGCAGGAATGAAAGAAAATGAAAAAAAAAACAATCACAACAAATTAAAAACATATTCCTAGTCTCTTGCATGAAACAGAAGTCATTCAGTCATTCATTCAATTTTATCTTATTGGTTAGTTTTTGAGATTTCCATTAGAGATGTGTCATATCTGTTTTTTTTTAAATCGTACCTGAATCAGATTTCGATTTTCAATATCAGATATCAAAACTATATACTATAATATATAGATATTTTTGGCTCGCATAACCATTTTAGAATCATAAATCATAACACGGTTGAAATGAATCATTAACTTCCACTAATATATTTAATTTATTGTAATGAACACTAATATAATTTTTTCTGTTATTATTTTAAATTGGAACTATTAATTACAAAGCCTATTAAATTAGAACAAATTAAAGGGTCTTCAAAAATCGTATTTCTAAATTTTTAAAACGCATAGAAAATTAAGGCAAACTTTCTACCGCAATTACACATTTCGAAACAATTTAACTAAAACGATGCGACGAGGTCGACTTCAAGGTTAAATAAAAAAAATTTAAATTTATTTGAAACTAAGCTTTATTAGTCCATGACAAAAATACCGTGTTTAAATCTGCTAGGTAAGATATCAGAAAACTATATTGATAATATACGATATTTTACAGTTATTTGAAACTAAACTTTATTCGTACAACAATAGTATTTACAATAGTCTATAACAAAAATACCGTGTTTACATGATATCCTACATTTATTTGACACTAAGCTTTATTCGTATAGTAATAGACGTTAAAATAGTCCATGACAAAAATATCGTGTTTAAATCTTTTACTAAATATCAGATTTTTTGAATTGCGACGGATATACCTTACCGCTCTAATGCAATATATGTCTGTCTCATGCGATTTGGCGATTTGTCGTACAGATGATGCCGATGCGTGTCGTACCGCGTAGGTAGAAATATATAGTTATTGAAAATATATAGTTATGGGACAAGCCCGTATACGATTTTCAGATATTGATTTAATATATAGTTTTTGAAACTATATATGATTTGTATCGCCCACCTCTAATTTCCATTATTATTTATAACTAGCCCGCGCCAATCCGCGCGTATAAAAAAAAATTTACATAATAACATCCATCCATCTAAACGCATTTATAATAGTATGATGCACAGAAGTGACAGATTGGTCTTGTGAAGAGATAAATAATAAAAACAAGCAACAAAACATTTCATATTATAAATGCAAGTCACTTCATATGATAGTGAAGTGAATAAGATAAAAAATCTTCTGCAATATAAAACTTGACATATTCATTGAGTTACTTAAACAAAGGCAATTATTACATACTAGCTATTGCTCGCGATTTCGCCGACGTGAAATTAAAAAATAATAAAAAATATAGCCTATGTTACTCACTGACAAATTACCTTTCTAACAGTGAAAGAATTTTGAAATAGGCACAGTATTTTTTGAGTTATTACAAAACATACAAAAATACAAATCTTACCTCTTTCTAAAATAAAGTATAGAAATATAGATTTAAAATAATATGAGTGAAATATATCGTACCCTGGTGAAATACATTCTTCAGGTATACTGATACAGGCGGGGTAATTTATGTGAGATTCCAAATAGTCCTTCCCCGGACGAGCATCAAGGATCATTACTTTCAATTTCCCACTCTTGAGAATTGAATACAACTGTTCACTCTTAATTGTTACTTCATCTGGACCTAAAAGAACAAATTTACATAAAACTTATACTCAAGAGAATAGGTGTCCACTAAAATTAAGTAATTCTGTAACAGGTGACATAATTGCTTTTATAACATAAGGTGGCAAAGCAAGAGACCGCCTGAATCCGCTAAAATGGCGAGATGACCAATGCCCATAGACATTCAAAATAGCAAATGCAGCCTTAATCTATGGCGGAGGAAATGCACATAGATATTTCTCCTCCCTATGCGACTCCTCCACCGTCAAGCCCACATTCGCTCCCTATCCTTTTCTTATAAAAAAGAGGAGTTGAAGGAAAAGGGACTATAGTTGGACCTACAGCACCGCACTCATCAGACGAAACGCGGAATTGCTTCCATTTCACGCCTGTCTTTTGTGTGGTCGTGATATTTCACCGGGCAAGCCGGCACATGGGTATGAAGATGTTAAAGCAAGCTCTACCACTGTCAAAAACATCAAAACATTGACTAAAGCTGGTTTTGGAATCTTTGTGTCTCCACTGTAATAAGGATGAAATTAAAAAAATATATAGAAACCTGGTACTCCTAAAGGTTGTGGTTGCTCGTGTACTGGGATGGCTTCAATTGCTTTCTTCCTATTCTCGTCAATCATCTGCTTAACAAGTTCATTCTCTTTTATATCATGCAATCGTTTTGCTTTCTGTTCCTTTGCATATCTGGAAATCAAAAAGAATTTGTACTTCCATTTATAAGGCATTTCTAATCTTCATATACTAAACTGACTGCAGCATAAGTGTGTGATTTTCTTATTATCTCTTAAAATCACTTAGCAAAACACAAAAATGATATTTAAGGCCTGTCCCACCACTGGCTGATAGAGGCTCAGATAGCTTAAAAATGGTGTCACTGTCAGACAAGGCAACAAAATCCGAAATTTCCATCACTTATTTTACATGTTCAATTGTTATCATATTTACACTTTGGTGGGACAGGCCCATAAACATGTATAAAACAGCATTTTATTGGTAAAGATTAAACTCCAAATTCAATTAAAAACTTTGACTTCTGTCAGGTTAGTATTGCTTTTAAAGTGAAGTGCTTAATATATCTTTCAGTATTTCTTCGGTGGTTATTTTTATATATTTATGGCGTTCAGTTGGTGGAACTTTGTAATGTAACTTATGAAGAATTGAGATACACTTTTATGTCTTCTCGTGCTTACAAACAACTTAACAATGCAAATTTAAAAATATACCAGTTACATTGTTTTATTTAATTATAAAACATTCTGTTTAATATAGCTTAAGCTAAGCAAGTACTAAAACTAATTGGATATTCATGTGCTCATTTTTGAAGTATGATATTTGGTACAAATTTCAAATCTGCGAGAAATTTATTTAATTCAAAGATTCTATAAAGGAATGGTCACATATCACATAACATGGCATTATGAAAACTTAGATTTTAAAAATCAGTTTGATACATTTAATAATATAAACATTTAGGATATTGACAGTATTGTAATTTATTTTATTTTCAAACAAGAGATATGCATATAAGAATAAATTACAGAAAATATAGCATTATAATAAATACAGATACATGACATACCTATCAATAAGGCTGTTCTTTAACATTTCAGCTGCATCAATAGCCTTATTGGGATTTTTTGTTCCTAGCATGTTGTTGTAGTAAGTTTTATCTTTAATGTACTCCTTGTCCTTGCTGAGGAACGCCACAACGCGGAGATATTTCATATAGTAAACGTAAGAGTTTTCCTCATCGCCTCTGTCGCGCTCCTGTTCAGCTTTCTCAAACAATTTCTGAGCAGTTTTACATAACCTGTAATAATTATTATCTTGTATTGATTTATAGTACAAGTAAACTATAATTTATATTTCATTATTTACTTACAAATGAGCTCTTTTCGATTTTAAATCCGGAACATTGTGTAATTTGTCTAAATCTTCGATACATTTGCCAAGATGAAGCTGCAAGCGACGCGTCTCCGTCATCTTGATAATTTTGTGTTTTCGTGAAGAAATCACTGTCGTTTGCACAGTAATATAAATAAAATATCTGTTCACTACATTTGTTGTAATTAATGATGAATTAGTTATTATTACATTAAACGAAACAAAAAATCTATGAATACAAATATCCAAGTTCGAAACGTCACAATTTCATTCAGCTGTCAATCAATTATTCATTCGGTCAATCAGATTTTTTAATTCATTGATATGGATACGGAAAAATTGAACGTACTCAATTAACTCTTTGGCAAATAGTGTACAGTTTCTGCAATACAACAATGCAAAGGAAGATTACATTTTCATTTAAATTAAATGATTTTTTTTAATACCTCCTTCCTTTCTTCTTGAAAATTGTTTTTCTCTCTTTAAAAAGTAAATTGACAATTTGACATTTCCTCTTCTGACATTTTCTGACATGACATTATTTATTGATTTGCAAAACTTGACGTTTAAGTTTAATGTTATTGCAACTCGCGGAAAACCCTATCTGCGCAAGTTCTCATGCGCAATGAAGACTTGGTCCGTGTCTCCTGGTCGATTGCGGTGTTCCATTTAGTTTTTCAGCTGACTACGCTTCCCACAGCCGCCTACCAGACGTCTCGCGCGTGTCATGTCTGTTTGTGTCGCGGCGTAGTAAGACTAGAGTGCTTGTGTCCGTGTAGTTGACTAGCTAGTGCCAGTGAAAATGTTTTCAGGGCTCACAAATCAGGTTTCGTCGTGGATGGGAGCAGCCAAGGGCGAGCCCCAAGATGAAGAGGTGCCCACCCCAACCAAGGACGCCACTGGAGAGCAGGCGGAAGGCGAAAAACAAAGGCACTCAATATCATTGTTTACCTACTTCTTTTGTTTCTATTTCGTTCTATATATTTTTGTTAAAATTTCTAAAACTAAAAATCTGCAGAAATATATAGTAAAGTACTATTAGAAACCAACAGCTGTTAATTGTTCTATTAAAAATGCACAGATTGTGCTATTTCCTTTGTTGCATAATTTACAATGTACTTCCAACAGAATTAGGTCAATTGTATAATTTCACAGAAAATTATCTAACCATTTTGCAAAAAAACTTCTGATTTATGATTATGTAACAATTTTTTTATTTTATGATGAAATTTCCTAACATTTCTTATCATTACAGTCCCACCAAGGGAGCCAGCAAGTTGGACCTGATCACCAACGTGAAGTCACAGATGACTGGCTGGCTGGGATCCGGGATACCCATTCCTGGTTTAAGAAAAAATGAAGCCGCGCCCACAGAGGCTGCGGAGGTAGCTCCAGAACCAGCTGAGGCAGTGGAAGCCAAGCCTGAGGGGAAGGATGATGATGATAACTCCAGGTATAATAGGTACGGGGTTGGCAGATGCAATGAGTTTGCACAATTTTTTTTTAGTTTTTTTCATTTATTGGATGTCATTACTATGAAAAAAAAATTTACATTTTTTTTACAATTTGTGTTACATATCAATTTCAAATGTAGATGAAGTATTTTTATGGTATAGAAATGACATGCCACTAAATTTTAAACTTTAATGTAAAAAATCGCAAAGCAATAGAAATGTTTCAATACATTTTTTAACAAAAATTGCTTTTCTTAATATTGTGTCAGCACAAATGCTTAGCTGAGTTAAAGATGCTTTATCATCAACTTTTCATTTGCTTTTGATGCACCAATTTAAAAAAAAATCACGTTTTTTTTGCATATCAGCTATGTATCAAAATTTCTACAAAATATCTCATCCAGACCTAAACTCATATTTCATTTTGATTTGGAAATTAACAAAAAATTTAAAATAAAATTTGGAAAAATGTCATATTTTTTTTTCAAATTGGCCACATGTCTACAATTATTTTTATAACATACATCTACTTTATACAAAGCAAATAAAACTTAACATTTCTTTTCTTATTCTAGAAGCATCTAGAAATATAACTTTGTAAACTCATTACTCTGCTCTAACCCCATTTTTTCTTTATCATTGTGCATATTTTATGATACTATATTTTTTAAACAAAAAAAATGTTTCCATACTTTATCTTATATAATCAGCAGTTCCTAGGGGCAAACAGGAAGTAAAAATTCAAGTATATAACAAAAAATGAAATCAAACTGATACCTACTTTAGGTATAACAAATTGTCATGAAAATACACAAAACTATACAAAAAAATCCAAAAAAAAGTATTACTTATGGGTTATATTAATATTTCATTCATTTTGTTATTTTTTGTAAGTTGTAGTTTATCTTAACAGTGTTATCTATCATCAGATTAACTTTACGGCCGATTCTCTTTTGAGGTCCATTGGGAATAATAAATCTACATGGGTAGATTTTGTGGGATTTTTTGCTTAAAAAAAATGGGCGTGGCAACATCACTTGCGCAGACGTGTTATGTAACTATGCAATAATACGTTTACTGAATATGGTTAGAACATGAATGTAGTTCACCTTAGGATTTACGTCAGCAAAATACGGATTTGTTCAAAAAAGATTTGATTTGATTTGTTGCATTATTATCAAGTAATTAATAAACCTATTAAATTATTCACAATAGATCCGCATTGCAGTCCCGAATTTATGTATAGAATCGGTCATGTATCGCTCTAAATCGATACTCTTTAGTTAATTTAGCGTTACTAAAAACTCGAAAAAATCGTTATTGTCTATTTTAACATTATCAAGTTCTAACACGTAAAACAACAGAAGGCTCACATCTACGATTTAATTATTAAAAACTCACGCAAGATCTCTAGAAAACCTATTAAAATACTACATAACAAGGTACCTGGTAATGTACTAAACATTATTGGATGTTTTGCATGCACTTTATGGTTTTTTTTTGTTATTATTTTTTTTTAGTATGTGTAATGTATAATTTGGACGCAGCGCTACCGGTGGAGCGGACAGCAGACCAGCGTCGACTGGCGGTACTCCAACTGAGGAACAACCAGGTGGAGTTGGCAATGGTAAGTCAAACACTAAAAATTATAGTAAAGCGTTTGATTTCGTTGATCACTTAATTTGCTAAAATGCACATATCTAGCTATGCTTGTATAGCGTGTAATCATGCTTTTATAAGGTCTATTTAATGTATCTAGAAATTAAAGACTGGTAAGTAAAGGCAAGTTTTTTTTAGCCGTTGACTATGGAGTGCCACAGGGTACTACTTTGGCCCTTATCATTATTGTATGACCCTTTTCTCCTTACTGTATGACCTTTTTATTTTTTTTTGTTTTGTAGTTGCTTTATGTTTTTTTTTGTTGATGCCCAGTTTCAGGTGCAGGAAATAAAAAGTTGTTCTCAGTTGATGCAATAGAAGTGCCTGATATGCAAGAGTGTTAGTATCTTTTTATTTTATTTTTTAATTATGTTTTAAACTCTGTAGTGTTTCTATAGTTATTTAGGTCACGTTTTATTTTTTACTTATGTTTTACGTGTTCCGCATTTCGTTAAATGTGAATGGCGATGACTCATTTCAGTAAATTTCAAGGTAAATAATTTTTATTTCTACAGACTTGAAATTGTTTATTGATGCAATTTTCTCGTCTCTATAGTCTGACCCTATCGGCCTTCTACTCAGATGATTTCCCAAGAGCCGTCTAATCTTTGAAACTCTTATCAAGTTTAGGATAGAAATGTATTCCATTTATTTCAGACATGTTCACGTATTATACTTTTTTTTAAATATTTTGGCGTCTCATTGCCAGGTCGTTGTTATCTATATCTCAACTGAAGAGTTTGAAGACCACCTAAGGGTGCCTAGACTGTGTGGCAATCAACCCAGTAAGGGTGGTATTGATTGCCATTGCGTAAAATAATCCCCTGTTAATAAAATAAAAATAAATGTATCTTGGCTTTTTGCCCATCTTGGTCAGTAATTAGTATCAAAATCTATTCGTTAACAGAATCTTCGGGTTTGTAATAACATCAAGCGTATTGTTCTGTGTACAAATTCGTATATAAGCTATAGTTCCATTGTGTATCGACAGTAACGACGAAGGCAGTCGCCGGGGCGAAGTCTCTGGGCAACTTCCTGTACTCGGCCGTCAACAAGGCCGGCGCCAAAGTCAGCGAGGCTGGTGCCAAGATCAAGAAGACGGTGGAAGAAAACGTAAGTAGTATTGCTTTAAGTTGTAACTTTTGGGATGTTTTCAGAAGTAGCTTAAAGTACGGGATGTGAACGCTGAAATTTTTTTCAGATTGAAGTCTTGAAATAGTATTTCCGGTTATTTATAAAATGTATTGTTATCATGAACATTGTTTTTTACTGTTGTATTACTGAGTCACGTTTATTAAGTCGTAAAATATTTCTTTATTATCACATTTGATGATTTTTTGTGTTTTTTAATAGTTTTCAATTATTTAATATTATCTACACAACATAGGCGTCGACCATCTCTATCTCTGTGGCTAGACTTTCGTTTACGCCCACTATTAACAAATATGTCTCAAGTAAAAACTTAGTCAAATAATTCGGTTAAACATCTAATTTACTTTCCTAGATACTAAAAAGTATATAACAAACAAAGACAATAGTAAAATCTAGAAATATTTCACGTTTTATCGTAAAATTCACCTTAGTTATGTAACCGCGCGGCATCTGAAAGTAAGATAAATATCAATTTATTATCCGTGTCGCTCCCAATGTACGGGGGCTCGCAAACTCAGATTTATTGTTTGGGATATTTGTTATGATATAAGAGAAATTTATTCTTTATGTAATACTAGCTTTCGCTCACGACTCTGTTAGCGTGGGATTAAAAAACTAAGTATCCTATGTGTTCTGCCAGACTATCCTCTGAATCTATGCCAAATTTCATCGAAATCCTTTCAGTCATTTAGGCTACAAACTAACAAACGTCCATCCATCTAAACTTTCGCATTTATAATATAAGTAAGAAGTAACATTTTTTACTCTGTAAAATGTCTATGCAATCAGATCAAGCATGTTAAGGTTTTAGCCAAAAGATTACAATATTGGCCACATAGTAACGGTCGTAATTTGAGTTCTGTTAACAGGAGCAATACATACATTTTAAGCTTAAGATATAAAAACATTAGTTACAATGCCTAGAATAAGTTAGTGAACAATAAAATATATCATTAGCTAAGTAGGCCTAAAGAATTTAACTTAAGCCAAGTTTTATTTGGCTCTTGAGCTATGTTATCCAACATTTTTAGTGTAAAAGGCATAGCTTGATTTATTATAGTTGTCTGAATTCAAGTTGTTTTTTGAAGTGTTGCCAAATCGGTTACATAAGTTGTAAAGTTGTAAAAGAAATTTGCTTTTCTTTATTTAATTCTATTGTGTCTACCTCCTATTGAGTAAGGAAATCACTACATTTGTTACATTTTTATTACTTCTGTCTAATCTATACTATGTATATTATAATAAAGCGTAAACACACACTTCTTTGGTGCCTAAGATGTCAGCAATCACAGTATATTTTCGAATAACTCTTTTTTTTAATAAAAAGCCCTATACTTACGTCACGCTTTAGGCTATATATTTTCACGCCGTTAAACTTAGCGGGTGACTATTTTGGATATTTCTATCCAATGTGGGAAAGAGACCATAAGTTGTTGCCAACATCAAGGAATCAAGGTTGCCATGGTTTGACATCATGTCATGTCGACATTTGCAATTGATAATTTGGCAAATGTGTACAATAAAATGAATTTTTTATAATTATATGCGGATGAAGTCGCATAGGACTTAGCTAGTCGTTTAATATTTTGTCTAGAAATTTTACGTAGTTGTAAAACATTTATGATCGATTTAATGACTTTTGTCCAACTTGAGTGCCAAATAGCCTCATTATGTTATTTGCCAAGTCCCACGCCAACTTTATTGCTTTCAGAAGCCAATCATTAAGTTATTATTTTACCTATCATTTTTTGACAAAGTTGATTACTATTGACAATCAAATACAAGTCTATTTTAGAGACTGAAATGTTATCTTCTCTTTTTGGATTCAACGATTGGAGTCTTACACTCTTACATTTAAAAATTCAAGCCCTTAATATACCTTCTCCCAGATTTTTCTTAACGGTAAATTATTCTATTTTGATAACATCAAGTTTATACTATTCGGTTTAGCTAATCACTCTCAGCATTTATATTTTCGCATCTTAATCAAAAATAGTATTTTTTTATTTTAGGTATTTTCGTCTCCTTAAGCTTCATTATTATCTTATCAGCAATGCAATTAATTACTACGTACAACTAGATTACCTTTACAATGTTCTTTATTAGTTTCTTATGAAGCAATGACTACCTCCTTTCCTGTGACGTAATCATTCAGAGCAGTCGTAATGTCGCCTGAGTAAACGGACCGAAGTGTTTGGTCGTTGGATTTTATTGAGGGGTCGTAGTTAAGTAGCGGTGGCTGTGATTGTAGGCGGTTTGGGATCATTAGTGCCCTCGTATTAGTTTGCTGAGGTCGGATAATGTAGGGTAGATGGATTAAATCATTACGTTACAATTTCTTATTATGTTTTATTTGAGACTTGAGACTTCTGTTTTTGAACTAAATTTACTACGCACTTGCTATTACTATTTTATATAACTCCTGAATCGAATTGCTTTGGAGTAAGAGATGTGTAATTAGGGTGTGTGAAATCGTACTTTTATAAAATGAAGCTTGTCAAATTCAACTCCCTGTTGGATTGCTTCATTCTCTTGACCTACTTTTGTCGAGTCTCGCACTGCCTTCAATATTCCTTAGCTAGGTTTCAACGAAATTATATGACGCGTTACGTAATAGAATCGAAATAGAAAAGCTGTATTTTTCTTTCGACATAACAGGAATTGGGAATTTGTGCTAGCACTTGGTCCGAATGAACTATATTACTGAAATAATTTCTTACAGAAGCTTTGTTGAAAATATTGGAGCTTATACATTTAGTTTCACTTTAAATTTTTGTGGAATACGTTCTTAGGTTGGAGTTAGCTCGTTCGATATTTAAGCTCCGTTCTCGACCTGTTTCCCGCCGCTTGCTCGTAAATGACCCTTTCAGCTGTTGAGTGGCTACTTGCAGTTCATTATATGTAGTGTACTGAACACTACGTACTAAGCCTAAGATGGGTGTTATCTCTACTCCGTCATTAGTTCGCCGTGAATCTTTTGTTTTTTGTACTTAACTTAAATCTGACTTAAGTAACAGCAAGTCCTTATAACGTCTTGTAGCAAATTTTTTAATATCCTGTTTTCAATCGAAGCCAGTATAATGGCCGACAGCCAAGTAAGCTGTCGGATGCTCATGTAATGCGGCGTGGATAATACTAGACAATGTGGGCGTTGCTGTCTCTACCTACCCCCAGGGTTGATATTAAATTACAACTACTATATTACTTTCTAATATAATTTATTTATAGAAAACTTGAAACTGTTTTCTTCATTGAAGTTTCGTGGTTAAATTTATTATTCGAATTAAACTTTTAAACTTCATTTGTAGCTTTGTTAACTATGAAATACCAATATTTACATTTTGGCGAGTCTAGAATACCGCTACGTGTTTTACTACGTAGCACTTTGTAGACTACCACGCTACGTAATGCGTAGCGGGGAGCTTGGACTCACTTTGTTGTATTATAAATTCAACTATAATAAAAAAGTGTAACTGTATGGAATTGAATCTAAATTTCGTCCGAAAAGCGATTAAACTTACGCTGTAACTACGTCAAAGCTTCATAACTTTGTTAGAGCTTAATTTTGTTTTGAACGTCAGTGTTGTGGAGATATTTACTCTGTTGGTGAGGGGAGTTTGATTTAGTGTGCTCGTGTAACTGGCGCGTAGGCGGTATTGAGTAAAGCCTTGAATACACTGGTGTGCTCAGAGTTCATTAAATTGAAAGCCTTTTATACCGTATCTAGTCTCCATATAGAGACAAAGATACTATGTCATTTATTTTGAATCATATGATATAGGGCGGTGTTTTTTGGTTTTTTTTTAATTATTGAAATGCACTTTCCGAAATGTTAATTTGGCAAATACACTATAACAGTCTTTTTTTATAATAAACTAGCTGTTGTTCGCGTCTTCGTCCACGTGAAATTTAAAAAGATAGCCTGTCTTACTCAGCGATAACGTAGCTTTTTAATGGTGAAAGAATTTTTGAAATCGGTCCTGTAGTTTTTGAGTTATATCAATACGTACAAAAAAATCTTTCAATTCTTTCCTCCTCTAGATATTTTTATATATCAGTATAGATATATTAACAGTTTATATTTCTAAAGTATTTGCTAAATTCTAGTAACGTGAGTGTGTCCGCAACCTAATGGTGGCTTTTAATACGCCCCACCGAGTTTCTAATGCATTCTGATGAAGTTACAGCGGCCCCGGAAGCCTTGTTAACGTCTACGTCGCAGGAAATGTACACTGCAGCTATGAGTACGTAGTTCGTAGTCTAGTTACGATGAAATGTTAGATGCATTATATAATTATGGTGTACCGTAAGACCAAGTTGACGACGTTGAAATCAGCGGTGATCATTTGAAAACATTTCTTTACTAAACACTTTTCTATTTATTTTATGGCCAAACTGGACATATTTGCCCATTTGTGTGATTTTGGTACAAAGATTGCTTCCAATCTTGTCAAGGGGACAAATCTAAAAGATTTTTAATGAAAGTTCTTTTGCCAATTCATAAATAACTGGCTGTTGCGACCTCGCCTGCGTGAAATTAAAAAAAAACGTAGCTAATGTTACTGAGTGACAATGTAGCTTTTCAATGGTGAAAGAATTTTGGAAATCGGTCCAGTAGTTTTTGAGTTATTTCAGTACATACATAAATACAAATATTCCCTTTTTATAATGTCAGTATAGATGAGCAAATAATGAGAGTGGTATGAAGTAGAACAGGTTTGTACGATTTTGCAGACTAGACGGCGTCGTATTGGCGTCGGGTTGTCGGTTGGCACCGGATTGGCGGCCTGCCAACCGTAAATGGGACGTTGTGTAATCCCAACCGATTTGTCTGCACCATGGTAACAGTGTACAGGGGTAGGCTTAGAAAGAGATGGATGGATTGCGTGAAAGGTGTTGTGATCATGAAGGAAGTGATTGAGATGACGGAAGAGATATACCCGGCGGACGAAAAACTGATG